GGATCGGAGGTACGTACTCGCGCCCTCTTCATCAACCACTCGTTGTGAGGTCGGATCCGATTCGGATCCGACTAAGATAAGTATATAAGGAGACACTCCCTGTAGCTAGCTCTGTAGACTTTTAATATCCTTTCGTACAAGGCCTATAGGTGTCTATTCGAATTAAGGCTCGTTTGATGTCCCACGCACTCCCATATGCCTCTGAGTGACACTACCGCCGATACTGATCCGAGTAGTCTTGCCTGCGCCGTTACAGTTCTTAGTATAAGCTAGTCTCTTTTTAGCTCTAGAGGCGTTTAAAATCTGTTTTTTAGAATAGATATTAACGGTCTAACCTTAATTCTTAAGAGCCCTTTAAAGCGTTCTAGAAGAAATATCTAAACTATTTTCTCTTATTAAACACTTCTTTTGTTTCTTAGGACTTCTGATAATATCTCTATTAATAGCTCTTAAGGCTCTAGAAGATACCTTAGAAACCCTGCCTCTACTAGCTCTTTCTTTGGTAAAATAACTTATCTTCTTTTTTTTAATTCGGTATTTAGCGTTATAAATAGCACAGGGGCTTTTGTTAAAGTATTTAATAATGTTTACTAGTGGTACGTTTACCTTTAGTAACCTATTAAGTTGCGATTCGAAATTTGATAATTTTGCATACATAAGAGGAGAATATAGTTCTAAGTTTCTAAGAGAGAAAAGATATTAATATATACTCTAATATTACTAATCGCTGACTAATATAGAGCTTATATAAGTGGTACCTAAAAATAACCTTTATTTATTTTTATATATTAAACGTATAAAATATAATAACTAAGATGCTTATATAATTACTTAGTAAGTATATTACTAATATATATAGACTAATGTTAAAAAAGTCAAAATTTACAGCGCGAAATTTAGAGCTAAAGTTAGAAGATTTTTTTACTCTAGGTTTAAGAGGACATATAGCCTTCCTAGTGCTGACTAAGTAGGAATAGTAGACCGCCATCTTAAACGCCAAGAAATTGCCTATTCAACGATATATTTTTTATTAGTTTAGCGCTAATACTCATTGAGCAATGGATGTTTAAAAATCACAACTTTTTGGAGTTCTTTTTTTTTTGTCACCCCACTGTACTTACATTCAAAGTTCCACATTATAATATAATGATATAGGAAAGCGTGAATACTGAAAGAGTAATACTAGTTAGCTAGCAAGAGCGACTACCATACTAACATACTATAGATTAAGTTTCAAAATTCTCAGGCATAGTAATGAAGTCTATATCGCATTTTGATTCTGGTCTTGATTCTTTAGTAGAGATGTTGATGCGTTCAGGCATAGTACGATTATCGATATACGCCATCCGTAAGTTCGCAAGGTTAGCGTGACTGGGCGGTGGATTGAAATTCATATCTGGTTCGTGTGACCCGAATATTAGCCATTGGACGACCAGGACTCCAAACACTACTGTTAATTTGTTAGCGTAGCATTCTACAACGTGAGAGTGGCTACAAACCGTCGACGATACACATTGTATAACACACAAATATGATCTGACTAGTTGCATTAACAAAGTAAACAATTAGGTTGATTGCGCCGGCTACGAATGTCAAGATAGATCCAATGATATTTCTCCTAATCATTTTCTTGACACTGGAAGCTAGTGGGTCGTCTCTCTCGACATTGCTGCGCAGGACTCCCCTGAGTCCAGACGGACCTAGAGCAGGAGACAGTGAAAATTCATCCACGACAGTCGTTGGACCCCGTGCCTGGCTCTTCAAAATAGGTAAGATCAGCCAGATGAAGACGCCCGTGAGTGAGAAGTTAATCACAATATCAGTGGAAAATGTGGTGTAGGATGGTATCATGTCGCTTCCGGTTCGACAATGACCATCGTGTACACTAATAGCAGAGTGAGGTGTAGCGATGCACCAGACAGTCATGCCTCCGAAAAATCCAACGGTCATGACTATGCCGCCAATCCACATCGTGTCGTGTCTTCGCGCAAGTGGTTGACATGCAATGTGTGTCCTTTCCAGATAGAATATATATCTACTGCATATGAACCATCGAATATTCGTCAAGTGGAAGTACTTTTCGGGATTGCTTACAGTAAAACCTTCAAGGAGAAGTACAAGGATAGACACACTGTGATCGATGCCCGACATTGCTTCCAAGTGGTGAGATTGAGGTCGTACACTAGGATCATGCCTGAGATAACAAGCATCATAGCCACCACAGTCTGCATATGGCAAAGAACCCAGGCAAATGGCAAACTTTCCTTTCTCCTAAATTGTTTTACACGAAGGCCTGTGATGTGTGAGTGTTATAATGTAAGGTTAGTTGGCGAACACACCTAATGCAAAGGACAGAGCACATAGGCAGAGCGTGGAGATGATGCCATAGACCAGCCGGCCGAGTGCGCCCGTTTCAACACGAGCGATACTCTCTTGCTCCTTCTGGCGGACGATTCGTGCTGTGCGCGACCCCTTGACAAGTAACATCATAATTATCCAAGAACAACTCGCTGTCCTGATTCTTAGTAATACGTTGTTCATGTATAAATATAAGACAATGATGTAAACCAAGCGGTCGAGAGATATTATCATTTTGAGAATCAGGAGGAAACCTACATTAACTAGCGGTGGAGCATAGGCCAATCGGATCCTGCGGAGTAGATCCTGGAAGAACATCGTTTTAGCTAAGACTCAACAAGGGAAAGAGGTACAGGGGACGGAGATGCAACCGACAAATTTCGGGAGTTTCAAAAGGTAGAAAGAATAAAAAAAATGAAATGTTGACCTGAGATATAGTGAGGATCTTATGAGGTGTAGCTCCCCACTAGAGATTTTACGATACTACAAAATTATCGGGCAGAAACATAGCAAATTTGGGAATTTCGAAGTAACGTATCCATCCTGAGCTAATTAGCTGTAGGTACTTGTCCAGACGCCCACTCATGAATATGTAGTGAAACTGAAGTTGCCCTCTCACTTATGGAGAAAATGGACAATGAATAACTATTGTTTTTGTAAGATCCTTTCAATGAGGAAAGTGTAGCGAACGACTCGATACAAGAGTAGATCCCTAATATAACTACCCTAGCTTTAAACCCCAACAAATTTTATTATTGTACCATCTTGTATCTTTTCTTACTAATTGTGGGTAAAGAATAAACAAGAGCTATAACGCTCCATAAGTTCTCTAGACATTTCCTCGTCATTGTGTTTTTAGAAATCGCATAGCTAGCGTTCGTGTTGAAGTACGTTGGGAAAGTGAGCATGGCCTATACATCGATCCTAGTGAACTTTGTTATAGTGCAATTGCGCAATAACGTAGATGAATTCAGGCGGCCGATCTTTGCTTCTCTCTTTATCTTCGCAGATTTTATGCAAGTGCCTGGGTGGTTGCCTTTTGAAGTAGTACACATAGCAGAAGGTCTTGGGTTTCTACTCATGTTGTTAGCGTGTATATTTCTTTTCACAACAAAATTGCACTTAATGAATCAATCATGAATGCGTATATAGACAACTTCATAACTGTGCTGTGTTACTACAAGCCAAAAGGACAATGCTGGTAGTGATTTGTGTCGCACCTAGTCGGGTGTAATGTAGCCCTGCCAACTGAACTAGGAAGACCATTAGGAATAGGAGCTATAGTGCAAACTGTGCGCCCAAGATGAAACACAACGCCTTAGAAAAGGCCACCACTGCAAGTGTTGTAAGCGCAGTACGCATTAGTCTCGCACTCAACGTTGGAATCTCTTTATCCCGCGATTCACGTAGATTACTGGCCCAATATTTTACACTATCATTACGCGAACTTAGTTTATAAAGGGGGTTTGCATTCGGCGTCGAGAGAAGGTGATCCAGGGGCTGCGCTGACGCTTGATGACGGAGCAGGCAGTATGCCTTGTCCATTTGGTGTCCTTGTGATGACTGGTGAGGTCTAAGAAGCGGCCGAAGGTGAAGAAGAAGAAGAAGAAGCTGAAAAGTCATTGCAGAAACCTCCATTACAGGTGTTAAATGCGTGCTCCTGGTCATTCTGGCACAAGGCCTAGTAGTTACGCATACCGGTTGTTGTGTCAAGTTGACAGCATAACATTTGGCGCCATCAGTTCATGGAGTGCTGCCTGGGCTGCAATTTCGTCCAATAGGAATTATGCTGCCAACGGAAGACGCTTCAGCGCATTGTGCTGCGGTATAGAATCCGGTGGTGACTAGGGCGAAAAGCGGATACTGCATACTGAGAGGTGCGGAAACATTGATGATATGAGAAACAAAGGACACCGAGGTACGGAGATTGGAACGAAAGGAAGTATTTCAATAACAGGTTTATGATATGCGACAGGAATATGGAGTATGAAAGGCGACGTTGCTCTGTGATCTGCAATATGATACTCCTCTAAGTTTAGACTTGGGTGCATGAATGATTTCTGAATTGAGTGAATTTGGTTCTTGTAGCCCTACAATAACGCCCCGCATTGGACTCGCCACATCACATCGGTCATTGTTTTGTAAAATAGAAATTCGAGGCTAAATATGATTCCTGGCGTAACTGCGATGCCTAAAATAGTGATATGGGTAATAGTGTCTTAAGCTAGTGGTGCACAGTCCTCTATTAGGTAGCATTACAAAGTGGCGAATCATATGTGAAAGATCACCGCTAAGAATCAATGCATACTTAGTTCTACTTCTAAACAAAGAGCACACTAAAGTAGCTCACAAAATCGCCTGCAGGTTCTGGTTACCTAATTGGAACTTACTGTTCGAGTACACGCAGCTTTGCTAGCCCTCTTAACCTACAACATCAACCACTCTATGCTATCTATAGTGAGAGTTTGTTCGACCAGCCTGTAGTAACGGAATCTGTACAACTGCCTGCCCCTTCTGCCAGGTCGCCCTTGCTGTGCCATCTATGAATAAATATGCAAAGGCACACTGTAATATCCTACTATTCTCTCTGAGAGAATGGTATTATTTTTAGCGTAGTGTTTGGACACATTGAACTTATTTACCAGTCTGAACATACAGAAAATCTATTTTTCATCTAGTAATGCACCCCTCTTCCAAGGTTGAGTATCTGGGAATTCAACTTTACAGGGGAGTGCATCCTGGTCCCAATATAACGTTGCGTGTCTGAACCATGCTGCATATGTTCCATCAGCAACATCAGAACCTTCATTATCCCTCCAAAGACTTCCCAACGTCTCCTTATATACAGCCAATATCATTCCGTGGGCCAATTTAAAACCCCAGCTGTTCTGTAACACTGTCTGGATGATTTTCCTTGCTTTCTTCTGCTCGTCATCTTCTTTTGCCCCTTGCGCTGGCATCTTTGTTGACATCAACTCAAATTGTGCCCTTCCATTCCAGCTAGTCAACTCGTTAATGAGCTGACTCCCACTCATGAAGTCGATTCCGTACACGTGATCTTTAACGTAGTCTGGCCCATTCCATCCTTCTACTTCATCAACCAGACCCATGACCATGCTGACGACCTGGCCTTGTATAATGTAGTCTGTCAGCATCTTTCCAGCTTCCTCTTTATTGATAATAGGCTTTCCTTCTTCTCTTATCTCGAAAGACCCACCCTGCAAAGGAACACCTTCGAGTAATGGATGTGCGTGCAGTCCTACAGTATCTGTCCGACCCTCCCAAAGCTTGAGAAAAAGTCTGTGGCAACGAGCGAAGAGTTCATTGCCTGGTTTACAAGCAAGGAAGTAGTTTGTAAGATTCCTTCCCTGCTGTTGTGGGCCTCTGTAGCTCAGAACTTCGTGATCAGAAGAGTGGTTTCCGATTGTTTCATTCCACAGACGATCTATATCCCCAATCTGTATCATCCCAACGTCCGCGTAAATGCCGCCATATTTGAGTAACAGAGGCCAGCGGACAAGATCAGAGGTGTGTTGCGCGGCGTACTTTCCACCTATTGTTCCTTCCACAAAAGCAGTAGGAAACAATTTCCGGTCTTTTATGTCTAGAAGATTTGCGATATTCAAGGCATCGCTAGGGTGGCAGCTAACTACGCGGATCGTCCAGCCCTTCTTCGAAAATCGACGATGCCAGGTCCGAATGTTACGCTTTGTGTAAGGGTGTAAGGCGCTAAACCCAGCATGCCAGAAAAACCATACGTTTTTCTGACTGACGACAGGTCTCACACTCTGTAGCTCAGAATCGATATCTTCATCTGGGCGGAGATCGAGTCTTTCGTGCGGAACAGCATGACAGCCTTCAGGGATAAGGTGGTAAAAGTCCATTGTGTAATAAAATGATTGGTGTGTTTCCTTGCGTATGCTTGTTTGAACTGTTTAAAAGAGTTTCGGAACTAACATAGTAATAATGAGGTGATATGACTCATGCTGGGCAATGCCAAGCAAGGGATCCATCTACTGCGCACGGGTGCGTAATGCGCCTCTGATATGCATGTGGGTACAAGGATACAACGATCATCATACAGAATGAGATTTTAAATATTAAGATTACTGTCATAAGGATGAGAGGCCTTCCTATCAAAGACCGTGATCGTCTCTACAGGATATCGCACGTCCTTCATATGAATGCGATATCTGTACAGCCGCTATCGTGGCCCTGTCAAATATGGACGGATGAATTCTGCGAGTAGCGTAGTTAAGCTACTAAGAATAACGCCCACTAAAAGCAACTACAGCTATTCAGCCACGACGCAGCAACCCGAGAGGGGCCAACATAGCCTGCAAACCCCTTGAGCACACATGTAGCAGCATGGTTGGATTGCTGAATGTTTTTTAATCCAAGGTCAGGATTGATATTCTCCTACATATAACATTTGTACACTTCTTCGTCACAGTCTCAATGCGGTCCGACTCATCTTGACCATCATTTGAAAAGATCCGCATTGCAGCAGCTCGGTTGCGCCTCGCATCATGCACCTGCTCGCCTCGAGCGGGTACGTCGCTGAGACTTGAGATCTGTACAAGAAACATCCCTATTGCACCAGTTTCCTCAATGCCTTGGTTTGCCCCCTGGCCTTAATTTATGTTGTTCGGTTAGCACTATTGACTTGCAGGGAGTCATGGGTGCACACGAGGGAGCATCCGATGTGCTGCCTCTCCAATGAGCATGCTACTGTCTTTCGTTTAGGTTATGTGAAGTGGGTAATAGCCCAATTTCCAGAGTTCAGGGTCTTTATTGAGGCTTTCTGCAGTTGTGTTAGTCGATGCAAATGCGTGGAATAAGATGAGTTCATTTTACTCACCTGCGGATCTCCATAAGAGCGTGATGGGAAAAAGGTGTATAGGAATTAGCTATGTCTACCTAATGCTTACCAATATCAGACTTCTCCATGGAGTCACAACCATTACAAGTATTGACTTTATAGAATAACTCTTAGGGTTTGGCTTTTAGTAATAATCAAGAGGGATCATTCTACTGGAGCTTAAAGCCCGGACTTTGCCCTCCTTGGCTCGGAGATATACCTTCATTACGAAGTGTTTTTTTTAATTATAATAGTTCCTGGTGGACTAGAATGGGCGTTGCGATTCTTTTGTTAGCAATGGTGGGCTGATGCACCATAGGTGGATCAGATATTTACAGAATAAAAAGAATACCTTTGTTATTTTGCCTCTAGATTGTCATTGTTTGTATGGTACGTGATCTTGAGCTTGGTCATATTACATATGGGTGCATCAATCTAGGCCTAAGCTACGTTACATCGCTAGGCTCAAGAAGGAAGGTCTCAAGTAGCTTGGCAAAGACCTGCCATTCGCAACCAACGCCGATAAGCTTTGCTCCACTACACTTGGCTATGATCCGTGACGCCTTCTACTTCTAGCTAATCACCGCTGTCTTTTGCCATCTTGGACTTGGGTGCGAAGCGGCGCAATTTGGAAGATGGCGGATCTGAACGCTTTAGGATTTGGACAGCGAATCACGCCGACATGCGAGCTGTGTCCATGAGCTAGTGGCAATGATGAGCAGACTTTAGCCAAAATTGGGTTTGAGTTCAGCTGTATTTTGTTTTTGCTGTGCTTATATATTGTGCGGCTGTGAACTACAACGGTTCCTGGAGTCCATTTTCTTCATTTTCACATCCGAAGTTCCAGCCTAGTTGGCGGGGCTCGGAGTTCACTCAATTCTCCCTTGTGAGCTTGCTCGCGGTATTGATTTTCGTTCACTTGAGAACCCTTCTTGCCGGTATGCGGTCCTCTAAATTGATAGCCGCGCTCACTCTTGCGCTGCTGCAGAATACCAATGCTTTGAATGGAGCCATTCAAAACCAGTGGGATTTGCTTGCCCAGATGGGCCTCAATCCCGATGGTACACCTGTTGAAGAGTATTCAGCCAAGGTTGCGTCCTTCGAATCTGTCAAGTCCGCATCAAGTGGGGACATATCTGCTTCCCTGGCTGCTGACCCCGGACCTATCAACCCCGAGTATATTGAGCTCCCATTGGATCACTTCGGCTCGGGCGCTGGCAATTTTCGCAACAGATACTGGGTGAATACGAAAAGCTACAAACTGGGCGGTCCCGTCTTCATCTATGATGTGGGTGAAGCTAATGCCATTACAAGCTCTCAGTTCAGGCTCCGCAATGAAACCAGCTTTTTCAAGCAGATAGTCGATGAATTCAATGGTATCGGCATTGTATGGGAGCACCGATTCTATGGCGATTCGTCGCCCATAAACATCTCAATCGACACACCAGCAGAGGCCTTTAGGTTCTTAACGTCGGAGCAGGCACTTGCGGATGTTGACCGCTTCGCGAAGCAGTTTAGCAGAAAAGAAATCAATGCAACGCTCACTCCTGACCAGACACCATGGGTCTTTATTGGCGGTTCCTATCCTGGAATGAGGGCTGCCTTCATGCGCAACTTGTATCCTGACACGATTTACGCTTCATGGGCTGCTTCGGCCCCAGTCGAGGCTAGAGTTGATCAAACGTATTACTTCGACCCAGTATGGCGAGGCATGAACGCGAAGGGCTTTGGAAATTGTACCCGGGACATCCAGGCTGCAGTCAGATACATAGATGGGGTCATGGATAAAGACAAGCGTGCCACTGCTAGACTGAAAGAACAATTCTTAGGTCTAGGGGCTGCCAATAGCTCGAATGCTGGATTTGCGGATGCGCTTACTCTTATAACCTCGAGATGGCAGTCATACGGCATGGAGGGTGATATTTATGGGCTTCGTCAATTCTGTGACTGGATTGAAACTGACCTTGCGAACGGAAATACGGCACCGAAGGAAGGATGGGCACCGAGCAAAGGCGCCAAGTGGGTGGTAGATAGGTGGTCCACCTACCCCAACTTTGTGACCATGGTAAATGATTATTTTGAGCTAGAGTGCTCGGGTCATGCGAACAAAACAGGTGGACATTGCATCTTGGACGGTGCGTTCAAGGACCCTTCAACGATCAGCTGGACATGGCAATATTGTACCGAATGGGGTATGTCTCAAATTTGTTCCCTCAAAACGCTTCAACCAATTCTAATTAAGTACAGGATTCTTCCAAGCCGCCAATATTGGCCCTCATCAACTCATTTCAAAATACAACTCGATTCAGCATCAGCGCGACATATGCCATCTCCAATTCCCTAACGCAACCGCTCCTCTCTTCCCAGAGTTGCCTAACACTAAAAAAACCAACAAAGTCCTTGGTGGATGGTCCATTCGACCATCGAATACTTACTGGTCCAATGGGGAGTTCGACCCTTGGCGCCTGAATTCACCTGCTTCTGACCTGGATTTTGCACCAAAGGTAGAAATCACCCAAGACATTCCCAAATGCGGAGTAAGCACCGGAAAGAATAAGCTGTTTGGTATGGTTCTGAGAGATGCGGCACATTGCTTTGATTTCAGGACAACGGGTGTTATTGTTCCTGATGGGCTCAAGAGTCGAGAACTGTTTAAAAAGGCATTGAAAGAGTGGCTGCCATGCTACCGTCCAAAGACAGGACTTGCAAAACGATGGAATGCCTAAATTTGGAAAATTTGAGTCATCATCCTGACTTACTAATATAACTCACCCTATCATACGAAAAAGGCAAGATTCTTTCTTTTTTTCACTAGAACATAGGATGGGACCATGGACCTGATTGACATGTTCCTTAGCTATACTCGGTTGGAATCAATGCTGTATTACCAAAATGTGTACTTGAATATTCATCAGTCCAAGCTCTATCATACGAACGAATCAAGCTCTATTATAACGGATTGAGTTTACGAAAGCAATAACTAGGTATTAAACAGGATTCATTCAAGAAACCGCTGAGGACCGGCTAACAAATTCTATTTCAATCAGGAGAAAAGGCCAATGCTAGCTAAGTTCACGCGATAGTCAGGTAATATTATAGAACCTAGGTGTGAGGGGCGCCGCACCTAGGTTCTATGGATAGTACCAAGATATCATAGAGGATCCTTCGGAAGGACCGGTTGCTTACAGGGAGGAATTTTGCTTCATTTGATTGGAAAATCAAAGGATATGTTTAAGCAGGCCAGAAGTTCAAGTTCTCTCGATGCAAAACTAAGTGTTACTTCTTATAGTGCAAGGAATATCTTAAGCTGTCACCAAAGTATGCCCAGTGTGCTTACCTTGATACATAAGACTAAACTCAAGAGCAGTTCCAATGACCGTCATCCCGATCGAGTGATATATGTTCTTGTAGTGCACCTAAAGCTCAACTCACATCGAGAACCATTATGTTAGATACTAAGGAAGCAGCGCATTAGTTGAGGTTGGACTCTCCGTATGAGATTAGGGGTGATGATCTTGGGGGATTTGCAGATGGGCCTTGGCCATCGCGGGGTGGGTCAATCGAGATCTAGTAGATCAGCAATCTTACGGCACAGCACATTCCCATACATATCTAATTCTGGACTTAATGTTTACTTTTTTGTAGAGGCGATAAAGCAATGCAAATTTTCTGATACGCCACGCCCGCTTTTTGCGCATTTGAGTTGTTCCAGAACTTATCAGCTCCGTGGAGTGAAATTAGTGCAGAGCAAATTCTCAACGGTGGGGTAGACACTAATGGCGCGACCAACCCGAGCCAAACAATGATTGAACAAGCGTAGCCACTTACCCACCTTACCCATTGCCACGGCAAGTCATTGCCGATTTAGGGCTGAAACGACATGGGTTAGAATCAGAGCTAGTCTGGGTTTGCTTGCGTTCCGAGTTGACGGAAATTCCTTCTCCATATAGGTAGCACGCCTAGTCGCCTACAGAGTCATGTCAGCCCCTTTAGAAAAGGACGTGCAAAGAGCAACGCTTCCATAACAGTCCTGCTTGCGCACCGGATCTTGAGTTTGACCCATTTCTACACCAAATTTCTCACGACCAGCATGGCGCGCGATGACCGATCCGGAGAATTCATTGGTGTGCTTGGCTTCTTCATGTGCATCTGCATTCTGCTAGTGATGCTTCGATGTTACTGCAAACTAGTAATTGTGAAGAACTTCTCAGCCGATGACTACTTTTCTGTCCTTACGCTGGTTTCATTCTTGGTCTTTTGTACCCTAGCGCGTCTAGGTATTTCGAACGGAACTGGAAAACGACGATATCTTATTCCCGACGAAAACTACCCAGTTGGCATGAAGGTGTGTAACATCATATTCACAGTATAGCCTACCTTGATATTAACTCGTAGTAGTGGTGGTGGGCCTGCGAACCGACCTATGTCATTACGAACATCTTTCTCAAATCCAGCATCGGTATCTTCCTGTTGCGCATCGCTCAGAGGAGAACTCATCGCATCATTCTTTGGACTTCCCTGCTTTCCATCCAGATATACAGCGTGTACTTCTTCTTCATCTTCACCTTCCAGTGTTGGCCGGTTTCCTTCTTCTGGGAGCAATTTCGCGGTGGTAAAGGCTACTGCATACCCTCCAAAGTCATTGTCAATTCGTTCTATGGCTACTCTGCGTTGTCATGTGTAACCGATTGGACGTTCAGTATCGTTCCAATCTTCATCGTGCATGGTCTACAAATGAACAAGAGGAACAAAGTCACTGTGGGCGTTGTACTCGCCTGCTGCGCTATGTAAGATCATTCTACCTTCAGATCATCCTGGGTATTGTACACTAATGCCTTACTAGTGGTTCCTCAGCGACTATTGTCCGCCTGCCTTTCATCAATGGCCTTAACGATATCCCCGATTTCCTCTACTCTACCATCGATGTTGCAATCTGGTCTACCTGCGAAACCGGCATTGGCCTTGCTACTTCCGCCGCTGCTACCCTCCGCCCCTTGCTCCGTCAGGTCCTCAACGATACGTCAACGCACGATAGTGCCAGTCGCAAGCGCTCGCGCGCGTGGACCTCTGGCCATCCGTCACGAGCAGGATATCAGGAGCATCCCAGCCAACATGGCGATCATGATATCCAGCTCACAAGTCATAGTTTGAAACAATATAATGTCCAGGTTACAGGTGGAGATAGGTCAAGTCCAAGTAGTAGTACTATCAGACTAAAAGACTAGTCATAGGATAGTCAAAGCATAGTAGCTAACAAGAGTACACTAAGTTATAAAGATATTGTTATAGTATAGCAACGAGATATACGTAGCAAGCTTGCGACTTGTAGAGATGTGATTACGAGACGGATCTGGCCAAGCAAGTCTTCGTTCAGCTCCTGCACCGAACGTATCTCGTAATCACTCTCGTTCACAACGATAGCTATGTGGAAATGGTGTGGGCAGACGCACCATACATAATCCCCAGCCTTCAACTTGCGGATTGTAGAGCCAACTGCACAAACCCTGCCTACTATTTCCATTCCGAAACTTATCAAATATAGTTTACCCTTAAGAGTGTCAACCAACTAGGGATGTGTTAGCGTTGCTCCAGGATCGTAAAAAGAAGGTGTTATACGTACCAGTGAATTCAATGCTATAGCACCCACGTCGATCAATACTTCGCCCTCAGCCAGGGGTTCCAGGTCCTGCCTGTGAAAATAAAAGCTTTCGACCTTTCTGACGCTCTGAAACCGTAGCGCAAGGGCATAATCGCCTTAAGAGATATTGCTCATGGTCATGTTGAAGGCTAGATTGCGCCCAAACCCAGTTTTCTCTATGTAATCACTCATATAGCAACTAACGTACACTAACTCATTCTTCTTCACCAATTCGGTATCCATCTCTGCGTGTGAGTCTTATTAGAATACCATCTCAGCTTCTATAACAAGCAGCACGCTATCACTGTTCTCTTGACCTTTGTTCTTAATATCGATGTGTAAACTCGAGAGATGGAACGAAGGCTGCTGAGTTATGATGGCTTTGGCAAGTCCAAAGACAAGAGACTTTCCTGTATCGTAGCCTTATATCACTCCACCATCGGTGACCCACAGTGACGTAGTTGTCAGCTGCGTGTAACGCTGCACAGCCATCATCTCAGCCGAAGTCATGCGCGCCAATAAAGGAATTCCAAGCTCTGCTAACATAACGGTGCATGCGTCTCAATCGAGGGAGTTTGGCAAAGCTTCGAGTGCCATGGAGCACGTGTCGATGCCTAATCGTGTGTATTTGCGCTCAATGGCGCGCTGGATTGGCTGTGCCTCATGTTGGTAGATCTGTGCACTCAGTAAGAATTGTGGTCACTATCTAGCGTGACGACAGAGTCGAAGGATCCTTCCACCAGAGTTGCTCTAGATGACTTTGCCTCGTTGACCTTCTCGATTTGATTAGCGTCGACATGCCCGTTGCTACAGTTCACGTCGTCAGCAACATTGAGATCTGTATGAATATCTTTACTTGTGCTACGTGCTACTATGAGGGTCGTGCAACTGACTGGCTCGTCGTAATTATCAAGCATAATGTCGACTCCAGCGAGGCCTGCGTCGAGCAATACCTGCTTCCATTTAGCCTTGGAAACGAATGGCCTACTCGGTCGCTCATCGTCCGCACTGAGCCAGTAATCAGGCAGGGCACCAAGCATGAAGCCAGTAAAAAGCCGGTCTTTTGTTGTCTCTGTGATCACGAGCTTTCCATCGCGCTTGAGAAGCGTTTTGAAGTTCCGCAAACAGGACACAACATTGCGTATTGCATGTGTCACTTAATTGAACATCAGCAACTAGATCGTGGCGGTTGGTTACAGTGTAGACTCACTTTTGATACAAAAAGGATATAGTACAAATCCTCCTCAAAATCCTGACCAGTGGGCTCATTCTCAATGTTGAGGATTCCAAAGTCTAAATGGCGATGGTCCTGGAACCTTTCCCGAGCAACACCTAAGAAGGCCTTAGAAATATCACTGAAGTCAAATTGATCGTACTTAGGCAGCGGTGTGTGTCCTTCTAAGGGATTCAGCATGATTCTTGCAGCTCCACCCGTGCCTGCATCCAGTTCGAGTATGCGCAACCGTGGACTTTTGTGAGCGATAAGTGTAATGACATCTGTGAGACTGGCATGAGTACTGGTCTGGCCAAAGCCATTTCCATAGATGTGCATCAAGAGATCATTCTCTACAATAACTTCAAGCGCATCATAGCCATAAGTTGGGTGTATCGCGCTCTGCTCTGCCGCTGCTTCTCGTCGTCTTTCTTCGGGCAGTCCGAGCTATCGTGACTGAATGCGACTGCCATAACGGCTCTATGCAGTGTATCAGGTCATAAAGGAGTCTTTCTGGAGTGCAAAAACTTAAACACTGCGATATCACCACTCTCAGCAACCGCTTGGAGTATAGGCCTTTTGTGCTGTTGCTCTCCAGCCGTGGCAAGACTGCCGCCGTGCTCTAGGCACCATGCAAGCTCCTCCTGTTCCTGGATACAAGACCACATAAATGGCTCCTGGTAAGATAGAGGCTATTCTGCCCAATTTATTTCTCAGCCATGAGTAAGCAGCAAATTTAGAGTTGAAATCGAAACGTTTTTACCGGGAACCCTAATATGTTTCAAACTGACGCAGTGTCTAATCATATCGTATCGCAGCAATCACAAGTTTCTGATGTTCGTATTCCTCATGCAGCCCTTGCGTATTGTTCTCCAATACGTACTCCTGTAACTCCGACTCATTACTACCAGTCGCAGTACTAATAACAGCTTGTTGCTGCGTGAGTAAATCTTGTGTCTAATGCATCTTAAGCTCGCCTTACTATGCTTGCGTGGTCGGCAATAAATGAAAGATGGACAATTTTAGGAAGAATGATCTAGTGTGCTTGCCAGCAGATGCTTTCAGTATTGCAAATACGAAGCTGATAATAAATCTGTTCAATATAACGAAGGAGACAAATGGTGAGTAGGCTCACCCGCCAAGACTCCGCATAGCTATTACATTCGCTATGAATAAAGGAGCATTAGCTCTCCACATTAACTATAGAGTCTCTGTCTCTATTGTATTTGGAGACTTTTACATACCATTATCGTATATATCTAAACTATCTTTCCCTCTGGACATGATAGCTTCTCTGTCCAGGCATTCATGGGATATAAATAGGGCTTATTCTGATCCTTGCTTTTCATTCCTGCCTTTCATCTGCTTTTTTTCCCTCGGTTATACTTGTATGACAGATCTCCCTGCCTTGCGGCGCAAAAAACTCGAAAAGTCCGTTTCCTGTTTCAATTCGTCACCTTTTTCCGATCGAAAACTTGTATTTTACTTCTTTGTTGGTGTTCTATTTGTAGCGCTCCTTTGATGCTAGCCCTTGGGTAGGCGGTTTGGCGAAATGGTGTTAAGGAAAGGAGGATCGCAAGTGGTGGTGAGGAAAGCGGAGTTGAACAGGTTGGGCTAGGGTAGCTAGCGATATAGATTTGCTCTCTGGAAGCTTGTGCTACATGTTGTTTCTGTGATTTATGATGTGTCTCGTGTCTTGTTTAGCGGGGTCGCTGTGTTAGTATGATTGTAAAGTACTTAGAGTGTCAACGTTCAGTTTGAGAAGAAGCAAGAACAGTAGTAGATGTTAAAAGAAAACAACATACTCAAAGCTAGGAACAGGACGATTAAGTAGGAGGAGTTCTTTTAACGCAGCTAGGAACAAGGCGGGAAAAAAGAATATGATGAGACATTGAGACTAGCCTCGGCGTTCAATAGTAGAAGAAGCTGTCCTTTATTTAGACGGTCACTATACGCGGTCCTGAGATTTTGTGTACAATATCTTGACTTTTTTTAACCCAAAAATCAACTATCCAGGTAAATATCCCTGCTCTACATTATTCGTTTCACATTGTGACCTTTCATGTATTGGCGTGCTCTTTGCATCTCCCACTATTTCCACTAATTCAACAGTGCTCCCTTGCTCCTCCGTTTGCGGCTTCGTGGGATAGCTACCTATGGTGACTTGAACACTTCTATGAATAGCAATATTGCCTCCAGTTCGGCCTGAGCCAGTATATCTTGAGGTGGACATGACGCTGTGTAGAATCTTGGGGCAGAAGAATTGGATACCGAGCTTGAGCGACGGCATGCATACACAAATAATTCCGACATATATTTCGATCAAAGACCAGAGTGAAGTATCAAGAAAGTCATCTGATAGGCTTATTAGAAGAAGCTATATAAGAAGAGAAGGGAGCGGCATTACAAGTGAAGTTTGTAGATTTTGCAAAGTTGACTAAAGCGTGTAGCCGGATGATTGAAACGATAGTTACCCTGTATTGATATTAGCATCCTCCAAGGCACGACGCAGATATATATCAACAAAACTTACAAGAAGCCGATACTAAACATGAATAAGACTCCAACTTTCTTCTTCGTGGAAAGATGTAAAGCCCAGATCTGGGGAATAGGCAGGCCTAACATAACAAGGTCTGTAAAGATACTAAACGATGCCGTGACAAACCCGATAGTGTTGTTGTTAAGACATTTGCCTTTATGCTCGCCACCCAGGTCCCACTGCCACCAAAAATAACTCACAGGAGAGCAAACAAATGTACCCAAAAAAGCAAAGGCAATCGTGTAAAGAAGCGTAAAGACAATAACAAACCAGACCAACTTGCGGAAACCGCTATCGTTGAATATGCGGAGGTAGAAAAGGCCGAAGGCAATCTTGCCAAGGCCAAACTCTATTCCGTAGAATGGTACGGAGATCCAGAAGTATAGCAGTGTCAATCTAATGTTTTTGAATGAGACTTTCCATATGTCTTGTCCGAGTCCAGTGAATGCTTCTTAAATTAGCGGTTATCCTTCCAATGTAGTCTTAGAAACGCGAGGACTCACACATCATGGTTGTCAGAGTAAACATAAGTATGTTCAGCACCTGTAGAATGTTAGTCGCGACAGGTGCTTAACGAAAAAACATACCAGTATCAAAGCCATGTTCCCGTCGTCGAGCAGTTGCAAGCGCCCGAGAGCAAAATGGGAATAAAATCGCCCTAGGATGGCCACAGTACTTAAGGTAAACAAAACGGAGTTGACCGTGCGATACAACCCAGATCTGTCCCGAACTGGCACCTCGCACATGACCGTGGTGACGTTCAGGGTCGTCAAAGTCTCCCGAGCAGTGCATGACGTGGAAAAGCAGTTTATGGCGATCAACTGCTGCGTTCCATTGTTGCACCGACAGGACATATCCTTAAGCGGATCGCATATGGAATTGGCGAAAGAGCTGGCGAGGCATTTTTGCTAAGCCAATTGTCAACTTAGGTCTGAGGAAGCTCAAAATGGAAATATACTCACCGCGCAAACTGGTAGAGTAGCTAGTGGATCAAGTTGGCCCCAAACAGGAGTGACAGCGACGCGGGACATGAAAAGAAAACACAATATCCAAGGAGAGTGCATTCTACTCAAGAACAGCAAGTCTACGCATAGAGCTCCAAGCACCCCAGAGCTGGGACAATAGAAGGCATGCACAACACATAAAAACGAAGTCACGTTGCCGATGATAAGTAATACAATCTGGGGACTGTTTTAAAGTGGGAATCTAGGCCTTGTTTGGTCTTAAGCGGTCTACTTTCAGACTTTCGTCACTTAAATGCACTAAACGACCTCAGAACGTATCGTTTTACCTGCTAGAGGTGGAGCGCAATTCTTATCTAAATACCTGAATATATCATTGGATGGTCGAAGACACCGTCGTGAACACTAGTGATAAGTGGGAACTACTACGCATGTAGATTATGCGGATGTGGGAAGCTTCAGCTGCAATAACTGAAAGCGCTGCAAGAACGATGGGTATACCTGAGATTGTGGTTCCGTAGCGTGCGCCGTGGCTTGGATGTGATCAATTTTACGTCATAGCCTGCTCTAGCTTTCACTGTATTGTTTTTTGATAGTTGGTGTTCCAGATCGAGTTACCTATTCGTTACCAGGCAGCACGCCACAAAACCTTATGTTTAAAACATAATGATAGTGGCATTTTACGATGTAAATGGGGCAAAGTAGGTCATGGAGGAGCGCACGGCATTTGCTAGGAGTAGTCTCGTCTTGGAAACAGTAACGATAACCTATACACTCAGACGATTGCTCAAGCCTATAGAAGAAAAGAAGAACTGTAAACAAGATCAATGACAGCATTGCAGTGCAACCCGAGAAATCAAATCTCCAACATTCCCTTTGTGTATTTTATGCCATAAGCTGCGCAGATGGGCAGCCGAGTTGTTGAGGATCACTCTTCTTCATAAATAGGGGTAATACATTAAGTTTGTTGGGAGTCATAAAACCCCTGCATACTCATATTTGCTTTTTCGGTCAGGGGCTTGTCTCGCTTAATATGCCCCACCTTTTCGGAGAATGCCGACGAGAATCAGCTCCTCGGATCTGCAACTGGCGCTATGATAAAGCCTCAGCCTCACTAACTTCCATTGAACTTCGCAGGGACATGAGAGTGTTCTGCTGCAGGCCACCAATAGTCTACGGTCATAAAGTGGCGTATATAGTATGTATAATTTTCCACCGGATGCAGATATAGAGAGAGAATCTTTGAAGTCTTACGACCTTCTCCATCTTAGCACCTACCGCAGCTAGAAGAGGGGTTTACGTTTGTCACTTTCATCTTCTTGACTGCAGCTGCTATGGTGTATATCAAGATACATTCAACGTCATTGTCTGTCGTCTTTGAAGTCCACTCGAAAGTAGGAAGTTTCATCGATGGATGAATAACTATGCTTTGCGTGGATGATGTTTCTCGAGACTTCCCCAAAGTACCCACTGCTCGCAGGTCGTGGTGCTTCCTCGCGGAATGGTTACCTCTGGCTCTCAGGCATTTGATGATAAAAGGAATCCAGTGTGCCAAAAACAGGAATTGTAACCCATCGTTGGTATTCCTCGACAAGATTCCGTTCATCTCGCCTCGATGGCGTTCATCGAGCTACTATCAGTAGTTGAGCCATGCGTCATTGAGGCATCTATGGTGGAGCCACCCGAATTGTTCGCCAGTAGCTTAAGATTCCCTAAACTAAGAGTCAGATATGGACGATAGCATGGTCATATATCGCTAGACGTACGAAATGCGAAGTTTAGGCTTTTTGCCAGTGAAAAGAGGAACTCCGTGACAATAGTCAAAATGTCGAATAGTTGCCAGAATATTCTGATTGAATGTCAGAACCAAGTATCAGTACGCAAGCCTGTGCAGATCTGTAGCGAAGACACCAGGCGTTCCTCTAACCTTTATTTCTGCCTGATGGCGCATGTTTAGCGAGGCTGAAGATAGTGTGATGCATTTGCTCCGATGCGACGTAAGCTGCCTATCATGTGACTCCGCTCTATGGAAAACGCCTGATGCGAATACCATATTAGTGGTTTATGGCCATTGCAAGGGTTTGCAGCCTCTCAGTCTTGAGCTAGACGATTGCGGTTAAGGTAACCACCAGCAGGGCGTGGCTGCATTGTAGACTTGACACACGACAAGGCTGACCAATAACCATACTCTGAACCGTAGCACTCTGCACATCGCACAGCTCAGCCTTCTCAAGCGAGTGCGGAAGATGAATTAGCTGAAAAGTGTGGCTGAGCTGACGGGGCTGCATAGCCACTTTTGTTATTGGTGACATTGCGTCTCGTTGCAAGCTTTTGTAAGGCTACCGTCAATTGTGGCAATCTCTTGACCGATTACATACACATATTAGATGAAGGTAGCATAATGGTAATAGGATCTGCACCTGCGAACGAGGAGATTTAGTAGTCTATGGTTTCTCGTAGAGGTTAGCTCCATGTAGGAGCATACTATCCAGCTCCCTCGCAATGGTCTCATTGTCCATCTTTAATTTCAAATACTGCTGCTCCTTCCCCTCTCCTCCTTCAACCCAGACATTCGACCCGTTGGGAAAGACATGATTGTACCCTCCCGATCCCCCGTATTCGAACCACCCACCGAGCCCTTGACATGCATACACTATTGTCAAGGGATCCCATGAATACCGTGATCTGTTGTACCCAATATAATGTTCGAACGCCCTCTTCACTGGATCATTCATGGGGCCTTTTGTTGTTAGTATAGCACCAGAAGATACGGCCTCTCCAACTTTGGAGCCCAGGTACGTTATGCGACCGGGCCAGGTATTGACGACATGAGCGGTCGCGAGAGGATTATCAGACCAGAAATTGAATTCGTATCCGGAGGGATAGTCGCCACCCATGACGACTAACTCCGCAACTTTAGCCTGAACAAGTTCAACGCCCGACAGCATCGAGTACTTGTCTGCTGTTGAATTAAGGAGTACTGAGAGCTATTCTAGTTAACACTAACACTTTCTCATAACCTTCTCGACGGAGAGTGCGCAGCTTACATTCTCTAAAAAGCCGATACTAGCAATCGTCACGCTGTTGTCATCTTGCTCCGAAAGCACCTTCCGATACAATTCCACGGAAATCCAGGCATCTTCGGGTTTGAACCACGGTAGCGAACCACCGGACCAATGATAGGCCACCTTGCTTGTATACTCGCCAAGTTCATATGCCCAGTCATCAAAGAAACTCTCGTTTGTGATAGGTCGGCGGAGGCCAATGGGAATACTTGGATGTCCGTAGTGTGCAAGGAGAGCCGAGGTGGCAAGAGCAGAGTACGAAGAGGGATAATTCACATTTACAGCGAGGAGAGAGACACTAGGGTCAGTCGCAGCGAGAAGGAGAGCAGCGGCGTCACTGGAAAGTGTAGATTAGCATCGATGCGGCATTGAGCAATAGTGTCACACGTACTCAACATCACTGAAGATATCCGTGTCAATAATTAATGCTTTGCGATCTGGAACTACAGCTGCGCCGGAGAGAACGAGTGAGACGAGTCCAAGCTTGGGTAGTAACCGTCGTGGGGAGGCAAAAGTATCGAAGAAATATGACAAAGCTTCCATTGTGAGAAGTGCTTAAAGAAGCTAGGTGCGTTTGGGGGAATAGCGCAAAAGTTGCAAAGACGTCAGTAAAAACAAAGCTGCAACGCTGGAAAATACGATGGCTGCGTGAAATGCAAAGCACAGACATGCGGGGTGATTGAGGTAGTAACAATCCATCATGGCGGGGAGAGGAATGACAACAATGGGTCCGGATAATTTCAGTCCTGTCCAGCACTATTGCTAAGTTGAAATGATATTATGTACATGTACGTACGTAAGAGCTTTATCAGTGTAGTGGAGTAAACCATTGGGCGCCAATCAGAGTCGAACACAAAAATGCAGCTACCCCGGATTGAAGACCCACTTTCAAGCTTTGAAGATTCGGCGAAACGATATGTTAAACTTATAGCGCCAGTGGAGCTTGGCTTGTTTGAAGCTCGGTAGTACTATGGCGGTACTGCTGTAGGCACCCCTGTAGGTGAGAACTTCAACAGGTACCTGTGTACTTTGTTTATTTAGAGAGGCGGTATGATAGTAAAGCCTTAAATATGCTACTGAATGGCAGACTGGGAACGTAACCGAAATCCCCTGCTTTCTTAGTAAAATCCAACCGTTAAATCACCCATCTAGGTACAGCATGCTGTTCAATCTCACCAGCGTTAAGATTCAACGGCGAAACCAGACACATTCCAAGAGCAAAGGTCGATCCATGCGTTGATGACTTCTAATTCAAATATACAATCTGCTTCGTATGTCCTGGTCTCCCTAGCTCCATATGTGAGATTTCTGCGCTTTCTCCTTATATATTGCTTCCGCCCTTCGGCTGTTTACAGGATGGCTATAGAGTACTCTTCGATTTTCTTAAGGTCCTCTTACTTGTTCCATAAATCTGACCCCACGTATCGTTGTCCTTTGCACTATCAAGTAAACATAATACCCCACCACTCTTCGCAGTATCAATCACACTCAACTACCACGAGATGAAGGTATTGCTACCATGCATCGTTGGAATTCTTTGCTATATTCGTCTAATCATGGATTAGGGTTTCGGTGTCGCTGCTGCCTATATCATCGCTATCGCATTGGCTAAGGTCAATGCCCGTTCCACTAGCTACAGATACCGGGCCTGCTCTGATAATGACACCAAAAATGGGTTAGACGACGCTGCGACTAAGAACAACTGCAAAAATATCAACGTTGGACAACTGAGATGGTTCGATGATCGCAACGGCATCAAGTGACACTACTACTGTCAGACAATAGATGCGTCCAATTATCGCGAATGGAAAAGGCAATGCGATAACAGCGATCCTGAGGACTGTTGGGACAAGGTACACTGGTAATGCCGACTGTTAATGTTTGGCCTACAACAGTCAGAGATGCTCATGGCCAGTCACTAGGGATATGCTGCCATGTAACAACAGAACGCTTTCGGTGCTCTCTTAAGAGAGCAGAGAGATCGATAAGAGCATAATCAATACGCACTCATTTGTTGTATTCCATATACTTCAAGAAGCATCCAAACACTAGCTTTTCTTACTATAGTTATTATAGTACTATAGAGAGCATTCAAACCACCACTAACATTGCTCTACCTAGCCTGTATCTGGCCAACTTTGCAGTCAATTAGCACTCAGGAATAAACCCTACAGCAGGTTAGTATTTCAACAGACAATACTAATTATACCAGGTTGTAGACTTACCGCTCCAGGTTACATAGTAAAGAGACACCCAGTTATTGTTTGCGACTCCACTTGCCTGGAGCTTACCCCAGTATCTAATGTAGGCAATTAGTTACATCATCCTCCACCGGCCTTCCGATCATTACGTACGGATTCCCTGATACGACAGTCGTATCCGTGCCTCTAAAGCACCGGATTCGGATGCGTGTTCCACGTGAGTACTGGCCATCGGCCGTGCACGAGGTCCGCGGGCATTGGCGATGCTTGAGTGCATCAGCCGTGACGGTGGCAGTAATAGCCCGCTTCTCCAGACTGCGGGCCTTGATGTCCTGGAGGACGGGGAGCTCGCCTTCGACTTCTGGGGCAAAGAGCAACGCGCCTTCGGCTTCGGCCGTGGGGGCAGAGAGGGCCGTCAAGGGCAGGAGAGTGGCAATGGCGAAAGCAGTAAACTTCATGGTAAGGGATATCAGAGAGTTGATTGAGATTGAGACAATTGAGAAAGTAGTAGTCTGAAGCGTAGTGGTTCTTTACTTCTGGCAAGAATCAGCATGGGTTTTATATCTGCCATCCCCCTCCCCTTCTCTAGAAGTGGCTACTCTCAAACCGGTAACCTCATGATCATGCAAAGGTCCAGAACCGCTTCAAAATACGAATTTTACGAGCCCATAGCACCTTGCAGCGGAATATCATATCCGCTGCGCTGCCTCTAATCTTGCATTTAGCCTCAGCAAGTTCAACAAGGAAGGCTGGAAAAGAAGCGCCAAGGGCTTATGTTCGATATTGAGCCCAGGGGGCCGATACCTCGCATTGCTCGTATACCCAGATCCCACCTAGCAGTACAACGTGAGATTTCCTTCAACTGAATGAGTCCTGGTGAGTGGCTGCAAGCATTATTCCGTTTGCAGCGCCTATGTAGACTGGCGAAACGGGCGAGTATATGAATAGTAACCAAATTATAAGAGGGAAGTACTAAACAATATCGCGTATTCAGACGGCTAGTCTCACTCACGTGTTGCTGAGCATATACATACTTAAACGAACCTCTCATTACATCTAGTTCGTACATAATCACTAGCCGTAGAGACTTTTACCACCAAAAGAACTTTATAAAGCATTTGTAGAGCTTATTATCATACGTGTGGGTGTAGGTGTAGGTCTGTCTTACGCTAACCTTTTGCACCTTCACTCCTTAGTAACCTATATTTTGTAGTAATGTAGGTACAGGGGAACCTGCAGGATAGCTAGATAGATGATTACTATTATTGTACTAAAGAATCTCTATTTTGGTGGAAAGAATGTCAGGCTAGATCACCCTAGAATTCCAATTAACAATGGTAAGCATCTATCTCTTAGCCATTCCGATACGTAAGTGAGGCGGTTGTTAGATTACCCCGCTTCGCTCGTACATCATAGCGATTAGTGCCACAAAGGCCTGCACAAGCTACCAAGGACATGCAAGCTAATTCAGAAAGGAAGCGCAATATTAATAACATAATGAAGCTATTCCGTTATTAAGCTCCATACAGTTAGCAGACCTGAACCTTGCGCAACGTATTCTAGGTCCCGGCAATGCTACTCAGCTTATGCAGTGCTACATTGTTACTCATCCAAAACAGTAAATCGATCGCTTCTTTGGGCCTTAGAAGGTGGCATAACTTACTGGCTGGACGCTGAATATAGCAATGACAAGGCTAAATTCATGTAACTTAATTCGCTGAAATAATTTGCTACTCAACCCCTCCTGTAGATCGAATGCAGTTTTTCTTTTTCACTTCTTTCTGTATCACTATGTCTCTATTGTACCTACTTTACTAATTCCATCATATCTCACAAGAGACCGCAATCTTAGGAACAGTTATAACACACAGCCTCGCTTATTGCGATGGATATTGATTATAAGAGAGAATAGTGAAATTTATAAGATCTTAACTACCGTTATTCACATGCTTTTTTGGTTCTCAGAACGTTTCACGGTAGAAAAGAGGGACAACTTTTGGAGATCTGTGAATAATCTTCACCGGAAGTTCTGGTTTCTATGGAATTTATGTGATCCTTTCAGTGGATGGTTCAAGGCACTTGTATCTGATCATGGGTGCGATTTTTAGCAAATAAGTACACACTTTGAGAACGGTTCATCCTGTTTTACTCTTTTGGCAACATGCCGTGCCCTTGCCATTCCGCTCCTCCTACCTTAAATTAGTAGTCAAGTTTGACTGAAACCTCATTTATCTATATGCAAGACTAAACGACTTAACTCAATTTTGGGGTTTCGAGTGTCATTGTTCCAAGAAAGCAGTGATATCTTAGCTTTCTTTTGCGTCGCATGCTATCCGCAACCTCAATGTATAAAGTCCAATTAACTCGTTGCACTCAATTGGGTTCTTAAATATCCACGACCACAATCTAAGAGCGAATAGGTCAAACCTCCCACGCAGCCTTCGCAATAGCATACTCGCTATACCCCTGCAAAGCTCCCACCATCCACTTTCCCTCGGCAGACTCATCGCGCCCAAGTACTTGCCAAGCCATAAGAACCGCCCACTGAACAACCGGAGAAGTAAACCCTGTGGCGCCGCGATATCTCCTATGTTGCAGATAATCCGGTATACTTCGTGCAATGCTGATGCCTGCTGCACGGATGAGATGGAGGGTACCGCTGGTTTCCACTCCCGGAAATCCTGACTGCGCCTGTAACTCTTCAGTCACTTCGACGATCTGAAGCACATGGATCATAGCAGTGGTGTATAGCATGAATATACGTGCGATGGAGTCGTTTTGGAACTTGTATACCATCCACAATGCTTGTGGAGCACCTGCGCAAATGGCCTCAAAGTCATCTTCCGTGATACACGAGTTTCCCTTTTCACTGTCCCATTGCTGTTTCCAGGTTTGCAGGAAGGTAAGCAAATCCCTAGCTTTCGTTTGGATTTCTTCGACCCTTTCTAAGCGCACGGGGTCATGTGTGTTGCGTGTTCTGGAAACCTCGTCGCTCGCAGCAATCAGTACCGTGCAGTCTGCCATTACCTCATGTAATTCTCTTTCTTCTCTTGGTTCAAGTGAGAGAGGCGTTTGCAATACGGCCTTCCATCGCTGTCTAGCAAGAATAGATGGAGATCTATTTCGCAACGAGGCAAGTAATATCATATGGCGAACACCTTTGTACAACTCCAGTGTTTGGGTCGAAGCATATGCCAGCGAACCTGGGTCACGAAGTGCTATGAGTTGTTCTAGCCCCAGCATGTGTTTTAACCAATTTCTGGGGCCACTTGGCAAGCACATCTCAAGCATGGCCATGATGTTGATGACATTGATGATGTCGTCTCGTTCGTGACATCCCGGAATACTGAGTGCTTGGTTCAACTGCCGGAGGGCGACACCATGCATGTCGTAGCCCTTGGCGAGGATGCGAGCCTGGTGGTGTTGGGCGCCAAATAGTAACGTGGCAAACGTCAAAGCAGCTTGATTGAACAAAGGATTAGCGCCTGCACCTATGGTTGGATATCGACTAATAGCAAGGTCCGAGGTCCGAAGTTGTTGTAGTCCCAGGTCAACGGGGCCATTGGGATAGAGGTATCGTCGTAGATGACATATGTAGACTTCATACTCATCGAATCTCAGCCCTACATGTTGGGGTGAAGACTGGTATGGCGGAGAGACCGAAGCTGATTTCTTAACATCCTCTCTCTTCCAAGCAGGTGTCATTGTCACGCCCTTCGTTCTATTCGATGGATTCTGAGTCCGTCTTGACCTGATGATTTTTCCTTCAACAAACACGAGCGTCCTGGGACCGTCGCAAGCAATACCTAGCTTTTGACATCTTTTACAAGTGGGCTGTGTCTCGTCTTGCGCAAAAACGTCAGCCTGTCATTGCGGGGACACGTACAAGGACGTTGCTTACCACATTTGACGCGGCGCTTGCGGCAGTTGAAGCATCCTTTGGAACGGCCAGCTACATTGACCATTGGTAGTCATGGGCTAGATACGACGCAAACGAATATAGTAATTCGCACGAGATGATTGCAACCGAAGAAGGTAGGTTAGTTAATGCGGGCACTGATGCAAGTCCGTTGAGTTAGGCAACTACGCCTGGCGTAAGATGATCTCGCGCATTGAGCCGCAACAAGTTTAGCGCGGACTGGATGCCTCACATCTCGCATCACGGGTCTATATGAACACATGCAGTGTAGATGATAACACAATTTTGTGGTGTTAGAGAATGTGCACTTCCGCGCAAAGAGCCGCAATAGGCAGAGTCTTCTTTCTTGTGCGCCGTTACTTAACCATCATGAGTCGACATATGGATATAAGTCTTTCTCTCCTTCTCAACACAATACAAAACATTCTATCTACCAACAATCATCATAAACAATACTATAATCTTCTCAGAAAAATCTCGCCATCAGTCCTGTAGATACCTACTCATAACCCATCACGCCAAAACCAAAATGTCAATAGTGACAACCATCGACATCGCGTCACCCCCCTCGCAAGTCCGCGATAAATTCCTCGACTTTGCGTCTTTATCCAAATGGCATACCTCCTTCTTCTTATCCATCACACCACACGGTACTCTCGGGCCAGGACAGAAACTCCTTGTGCATTTTGCAACAGGTGGACAAAAAATGAACCCCGTGATACAGGTACGTTTGCCATTAGTATCCTAATCAGGTGTACTTAAGTTTTTTGTTCGACTTGAAGCATTTCGCTGACGGAATTTACTAGCAAAACACACCAACTGCATTTGCATGGACAGGAAGTATACCATTCTTGTTCACGGGTACACATTATTTCCTGTTCGAGGAAAGCACAGCGGTCCCTGGGGGGTGCCGCTTGACGCATAGTGAAGAGTTTAGCGGGGCGCTGGGGTGGCTCATGGGTGGGAACGCTGTTGCAAAACAAGTGGGGTTTGCCGAGAAGACAAGGAAAGGGTTCGAGGTGTTCAATGCCGATTTGAAGGTTGCTTGTGAGAAGGGAGATTGAGCTGAGAAAATACTAATCTTTTTCTATTCCATGAGGAGCTATTACACACTATGACGCACGCCAGATTTCTTTGCGGTACAGGTGTTAATTGGGATCATTATACATAGACTAAACTAATCATGTAACTTTTGATTGGCTTTTCAGGTCGTAATCATCTAGTGCGATTTCATGTCAGCCATTTCTCATCAAGCTTTAACCATGAGGCCCCGGCCCTTGAACGCCACCCGCGCACAAAATAGCAGTGCAGCACTACTGAACAGCAAACACCCCCCATATGTCCACAAATCATCAAAACCACCGTTTTCCTGGATTGCGCCCCCAATTGGTGTACCGACAAGCAATCCTATGGCCACAATACCAAAGCTTTGGCCGAATCTAGTGCCGATCTTGTCCCGCGCGTCGGCACTGAGGTGGACGATAATAGTTGGGGGCAGACTGACGAAGGAGCCAGAGAAGAAGCCGTAGAATGCCATCATCACGATGATACCCGCTGAAGAAGAGACGGCCATGAAGCAAACGCAGAGAATACCGGAAATCAGCGCGCAAGGGATTACAACATTGAATGGCCCGATCTTATCCGACAACTACGCACATGACATTAGCAAACGATGACTTGGGCAAGATGGGAAGGAAGTAAAACATACCACATTGGGAAGGATTCGGCCAAACATACTGGTACTGTTCATGACAGCCAGCAAGTAAAACGCCAGCCCTTCACTCGTGATTTGCTCTTGAATCGCATACACCTGTCCAAAGAAGAAGGGCATATACAAGCCCATGAAACCCAGGAAGAAACCCGTAACCTGCAGACTGTACGCAGGAATCAGGAACGCACGCAGATCAAGCAGCGAGCGCGATTTTGCCGGTAAAACGCGCACGCGCATGCACACATTGGGTATGACCATGGTGGCCAAGATAATGAAACCTAGGACTCTAGTCGTCCAGGCAAATCCAATTTGCGGGAGTAGTTTGTGAAATACAATGGGGTATACGACACCACCAAAAGAAGAGCCGGATGCAGCTATACCAATGACGGTGCCAATTTTAGTACTGAAGTAGGTGGAGAGGATAGCCACGCTGGGCACAAAGAGACAGCCTGTTCCGATGCCGATGCAAAAAGCCTGAGCAAGAAGGACTTGCCAGTATGCATGGCAGAGACTCAGCATCATCTGGCCGAAGACAAGCAAGAAGCTGCCGACAAGGAGCAGTTCACGGAAATAGCCAGCATCGTAGATGGGACCTGTAAGGGCGCCGACCATCATGAGAAGGAAAGCTTGGATGGAGCCTATCCATGAGATGGACGATGCGCTTGAGTTTGGGAGGAGTGTTGTTTCGTAGTAGGCCTGGTAGGAGCCAAACGTGTTGATGATGCCCCACGAGTTGAAGAGCAGGAAGAAGCCACCGAGGACCTGGAGCCAAGCCCATAGGCCGCCATTGGGTATTTTGGACACATCGCGTACGCTTGGGTGGGCGGACCGAACTGGTTCCAAGTCTGCCCCTGATGGTTGGGTGCTGGTGGACTCGGTCATGTGTTTTTCCTGTTGTGGATGTTCGTCTACCGCCATTGGACCTGAGCTGTGGACTGAATCCGACGAGGCGAGCGATGGCTGATTGTCCGGCTTTTCGTCAAAGTTGAGTGACGCACTTAATGCTGGTGCAGCATAGCTGGTTTTCTCTGGAGACGAGGGTGTGGTATGGTCCATGACGGACTGGAGGTGAAGGAAAGTGAGCGTTATCGGCGTCAATAGTTCGACAGCGATACAAATGGAATTTGGCCGCAGAGATGAAGTAGTGGCAGTGCCTACCAACGAAAAGAGCCCATCAACAGGGGCGGAAAGGTATTTCAGGCGTGGCCAAATCGGCGAGTGTATGACAGTAGTCAGTCGGCAAGATAGTAGAGATTAGTGAGGACAAAAGCCTGGCAAAACAAAGCGGGTCGGCCAGGAACTAGGTGAGGAGCTATGGTTTGGGGAATGTTTCTGCATTTTGCTCGCGTCTCGCTGCAAGTAATGGCCGAGGACAAACACAAGGACATGCACGAGCACGAGCACGAACGCCACAAGCGCAGTGATGCGAAACGGGCGTGCGGCATGCCGAGTACGAACGGCAGCCTGCCGTGGTGGGGCTTGTTACTTTTTGTTCTTACAAATTCTCTTTCACTAGTTAATACTGTCCAAGTATGTCCATAGCCAAGTGCTTACTAGGCGCTCCGCGGATCATGTGTCGGCTAGTAGTAGACGAGAGCAAGAGCATCTCGGAAAGCACGTCATGAAACCAGATTGTGTGTCATTATTCCCGTCTCGAGGGACATGATGAATGACCCATGACCAATGGCTAATGGCCAATGGCTAATTCCCGGGGCGCTCTAGCATAGCGTGGTTGGAGCACTTTGCCGTCCTCGGCACTCGAGGCACAGGGCGTCGGCAGCACAAACCGATTATTTTTCAACTCGCGTCACGCGTCCTCGTGTTGGGTATTCATCTGTCGGTTCCTTGACTTTCCTAGCCCATGAACTCGACTTGGTCTGAGAGGATGAACATCCAAGGAGCGGGGAGACGACACGCCTTCACCTTTCGTTGGCTCACACCTCTTAGCCGTGTACTGTTACAATAGTCCGTACTGAAAAGATATTCTTACAAACAATGCAATTCAAGTCGCCCAAGCGAGACTGGCAATACACCACCTACAGCTTACGACGCGCAGCACACGAGAAACCATATATACCATACTCTCGAAAAATAATCACTCGCTTTTCCAGGTGGCCTATCGAGGCCTCTAAACTGCGACCCTGTTTTTAGCCTTTGCCCGGCCCAGAACTATCCTCGCACCCAGACGCCATTGTTGAAGAAAGAAGAAGTATGCCGTAGTGTTTTTACAGAACAATGTTCCGCTAACAATGCTGTCGTGTTCCAGGGGGGAATATGCTTCGTCATGTCGTTTCGTGCTTTTAGTAGGAAAGGCCGTGGATCAGCAACTCGTCCCTCATGTCCACGCAAAACGCCCTCAACGCTCGCTATGCTACATACTTTGTAGAGATAAAAAAAACCACACACCCAAAATGATGCTATATTTCCAACACAAACTCAAGCACAAAAATCGCTCCTGTGCGCTTATTCGAAATCACAACAAATCCGCTCGAGTAAAGGTATCGCGGCCCCCAAATAAAACAACCGAGATAATCACCAATACATCTACCGCGATTACTTTTATCCATTTTGAAGCCCTGCCCAAGCCCTGCTACCACTACACTCGTCTGGTCGTCAGCCGATAGCCAGAAGGATGGAGCGGTGATGGTTCGACCTGCTCTAAATTCTCTTCAATGTAGATGTTATTCAAACCTGACATGGAGCCGTGTTGACCCTGAGTTGACTGACTTCGAAGTGCCTTCTGTCGCCGACTTTCACGCTCCTCAATGACATCTCGCAGTTGCCTCGCAACTTCATTCGGGCTAATCCGTTGGGCCGCCGCTTGATTGAACAAATGTTCGATCAGCGAAAGAGGAAGAGAAAGGAGAATGGTCGAAAGGACCAAGGTAAGATAGCTGGGTTGAACTTGGACGTCATCTTCGGGTGGTGCATCGCCGAACCGAATTTTACTCAATCGAGGATTGTGGGCAGGCTGACGAGACTCCACAGGTACCACTGTCGGCAGGCGCGGTGCGTCCTTGAGTTCTGGCGCAATTGCATGTAGCTTGAAGTTGGCCGGGAAAAAGTATGCAATGAATGCAAGGGCGTGATTGATTAGGGCAGTCACAAAAGGATCGTCAATGTCGGAGCTTAGTGCGTATTGCAGAACGAGATCCACGGTGTCCCATCGCAGCAGCATTCTGGCGGTGTGAACGCCGCGGGACTGCATGCTGGGTATCTGTAGAGTTCTGGCCGCAGCAATATAGCCCAAGACTTGCTGCATGCGGCGACGAGCCTCAGGCGATGGAGATGATACAAACGGCTCGAGTCCGTACAAAAATCCTTGAGGACGGATAAGCGGCGCACCGTATAAGACTCGGACGGCTTCTTCCAAAGAATCACGGGTTGCCAGAGGGTCCCGCACAACGATGGTCACTGGGTGCGCGTCCCTGTTACTATGAGAAGGCACGGGACTGTGGCGAATAGCTTCTGCAATGATGGGACTGCGCATCACGACAATTCCATGTATTGGTAACGACAGCAGAATAGACTCGGGAGACCTGATGTGAAGGATGAAATCGGCAAGCTCGGCGTTACCAAACTGCGAGGATAAGTAGCCTGCGAGCTCAAAAGAAGACTCGACTCGTTCCTCTGGAGGCGCATCCTGGTGGGTGATTGGGTGCTGATCGTCTACATGTTCAATCGTAGGCATCGTCTCGAATTGAGCTTTGGTTGGCGACTGTGAATAAGAATTGAGGGCTCCGCTTGCAGCTAGGGCAGCCTCTCGAGGAGAAAAATGGCCATTGTAGGGCGCTGGAAAGGCCTGAGGGCCATTTGAAAAGAGCGGGGTGTGATACTCAACCCCGTTCTGGTAGGCAGGGTCGGGCGGCGCAATCGTATGTGGAGGAAGGTGCCAGGGCGCACCTTCTGGTGTGTACTGGGTGGGACCGGGGAAGAAGGGAGTAAACTGCTGGGGCCCAAAGCCAGGCGGAGGTCGAGGCAAAGCATGCACATCGACGTCGGATTCACGGGGTGTGATGGGAATGGCCGGCGACTCATTTGCACTCTGTGATGCTACAGCACCGCCGCTCAAGTGGGTACGGTGCGTTGGGGTATACGTGACGTCGCTTCCGTTGGCGGGTGGTGTTTGGGTGCCTGCCTTGCTCGAGGGGACAAAGGGCGGGGGAAGATAGGTCGGTATGGTAAGTTTGCGATGGGCGCCATTCACACCTGGCTTGGACTCGGGGCGGGAAGTGCGAGGTTTGGCGTTGGCGTGGCCATTGACCGCACGACGTTGGTTCTTTTCTACATTTGCATAGCTTAGTGCGTGCCCCATGTTGGCAGTAGCCCATATCGAATACCCACCAGAAGTGCCTGCAGATGGCGTCTGTCCATTCGACAGCTCCCCAGTGACGCTATCCGACCGAGGTGCACCTGCCACATCTCCAGTGATATCGGCAGAGGCCCTCGAATCGGGGGTAGGAGGTGTGTCTGCGATGGCTGCTTGTTGTCGCTCTGAGCGTACATCAGACTGGTGCTGCTGCTCTAGCTGCAGGTCAGCCGGTGGCGCTGGAGTGCCTTTGTTAGACTCTTCAGGCGTAATGGGCCTCGCTGATGGCTGGGCTTTGGATAGGCGGTAAGGAATTGCAGGTACGATGCGCGAGCCTGGGCGGCGATGGTGCGTCTGCGCCGAGTGTGGGCGGGAGGGATTGGCCATGGTTGGGCGAAAATATGACGGAGACGGGATGGACACGGCAGAAGCGGCTCCAGGTAATTGCAGGCTCGCGGGTGATGCCAATTATCCTGGAGCGCCTGTGGGAGGGGGATTGTGTGGGCGGCGAAAGTAATTGCGGGGTGGGGTCAAGGGCAATTGGGAACAGAGCAGATGGATGAGCCCAGGCAGAGCGGCGGGCAACGGGAGACATACATGGCTTCCCCGCTACCACACACCATCGCCTGTGCCTGCCTGCTCTTGGGGATCGCGCGAGGCCCAAGCTTCCTTTGTCAGCCGCCGATGACGAGATGGGAGGCACTTTCTCTGCTACTATCACTATCCATTATGCATACACACATACAACGCCGGTGACATTCAACGCATCCATTCATTCATCTATCGATCCCAATTCATCGAGATACCATCTCCAAAACCATGACAGAATATTTCTTACTACTAATTTCATCTCAACTGACGGATCAACAACCGAACTTACAGAAACGACGGTCACGTGACCGGTATCCCGAGCAGACACAAATAACCCCAGAGTTATACAAGAAAGAGCAGCAATGCAAATGCATCCATCTTGCCTGCTTCATACTTCAGTCAGAAACGGCTAGCCCTATCACCTGACAATCCCCCCCTTCCTTGTGTGTACTATACACAAACACATGCTACAGCTTGCATGGCATGAGCGATACCATGGCCTTCACAAGGCAAATCCCCACATCCACGCCCATGCCGTCTTTTCCTCGTTTATCCCTATACTTCCTAGACTAGCACTCCCTCTTCTCGCACTACTAGCATGATCCTAGGACAAACACCATTCTCTTCTTGCGACAACATTCCTGCGCAGCCAGTTTCCTCTGCGCGTCGTTCCAAAGACAGCGACGACCCTTCGTACAGTTGGGTGCCCGATCACAGCCCAGAGTATAAATTCACTCACACTGGTACTTTGAGTTTCCTCCCTTGTTGCGATACATCAAATCTGAGGCCGGCATAGCAAACAGGTTCAGCATCCTAGCAGACCCTGAGAAGTCGTCGACATATTCGCCATGGCATTCCAACGCATCAATCTCTAATGCTAACTTGCGGCGGCGGCGGTGTGGATGTGCCGGAAAGCGCCACAATATCCAAGGAAAAAGTGCTGGGATTGCCAGGCTGCGCACAACGGAAAGCATCGTTGCCCTTGGTCACGAGATTCCCACGCTATGCCTCGAAGATAACTCGTCGTCTGCTACCGAGGACCCTCGAGGTCTGAACCATAGTCGATGCCTACCAGACGTTACCACCAGTCTTTGCTTTGAAATCAGCGGGTCCGATTGGCCGCAACAGCTACAATCAGATACACTACCTACCACACTCCAATTCACGAATCCACCGCCGCTGAGTGTGAAATCATACGCATCAGTGGAAACGGCGCTTGCCTCGAGTTTCCAGCCGTCAAGGGTGCCACAAACGCAACCACGGTTGTCTACCCTTTCACATTTCCTTGATTGCCACGACGCCACAGGTTGTTGGCAGTCCAAATCTGCCTTCTCGCAACCTTTGGTAACAACAGAAGTCTCCCAAGGTTCAAATAGTCTTCCCAAATCTGCACCATTATTCCTCGCACGACAAAAGAAACTGACAGCTACGGCTTCCGGACACACCTTTGGAAAACTTTTGTCTCCCATTCTCCCATCTGAAGACGCCTTCGACTCGCATCAGACAGCTCTAGCTATACTGGGTTTGGGAGAAGGCCGTCTCGTCACCGCCCCCTCTCAGGCTCCTGAATTGAAACTTCCATTCAATCTCTCAACGCAGAGATTCATGGACGCACTACCCGTTTCCGTGTCCACTGGACATGGAACAGAATACAAGCATACTAAGGAGACTCATAGACGTAGACCGGTTCCCCTATCGTGCTTGCAAGCATTTGGAGGTTTCCGATCCGCATTCAACCCGCTCCTGCACGACAACTGGACGGTATCTCGGCCGACAATCCCATTGCCACTGCCTTCGTCCATGTGCCATCCCCTTCGCAAAGCATCTTCAATGGATTCTTTTTGCATGGCCGGAATGAAGTCTTACCCATCTTTGCACAGCGATCCGGCTTCCATTGGTTATTCAAATAGGTATTGTCCTACGACCGCAAGTTTCGTATGTCCTTGTCTCTCGCAAAACTGCGAATCCAGAGGTGACAGCTTTCCATATTTATTGGGGCCCGCCGGAAACTTGAATATGCGACATGACAGCGGCTGCACTCAGCGTCTCGGGGTCATGCCAACTCCTACTGAACCAACGACAAGCAGATCCCCTGATGAAGTCCGAGCTCAACAAGTTGACTCCATATTCGCCAATCGAAACCCATGGGTGAATGGACGTCTTCGCTCGTGCCCTCCCATATCTAGCAGATACTGCTTGGACTACTGGATAAGGGTGAGCTCTAAAGGCTGGCAAAAGGATGTCCACTCCGCTTTCGAAACTCCCAATCAAGAACTTGAGGTAGAGGGGGAATGGATTTTCATTTTTCGAGACGAGACGCAAACATCATCTTCGAATCTACGAGTCTGTGGTTACCAAACTGGCAATTCCTCTTCTGTTTGCACTGGACATTTAAGCACTCCGTTCTCCCCATTGGAAAAGGGGAACTCCTTCACAATCCTCGAGTCAAGCCACCCTGCATACTCCGAACAAGAGTTCGACCAACCCCAGAATGAAGAAGATATAGATAATGCCTTGAACGTGGGCTCTGACGAAGAGTACGAAATAGTGCAACCCAATACCACACTCTACGACCTGGACGGATGGGAGTGTATCGGCCATTCTCTCATTGCCGAATTGATGTCTTGTGACTTTGACGAGGATGACAATGAGGAATTTTTGTAAAAAAGAGACGGCGGACTCGAGGTACTATCATGGCAATGACGGGGAAGGCAAATGTCAAAAGGGTGGACATCATGGTGAGGTCAACACGATTATCTGCTCCAGCTCGGACATAGAGGTGAGAGTATGGGTTAAAGTATTAATTGCGCCGGGCAAGTGCTCGTGCATGGTCGTGGTTTAATTCACGTAATCGTGTCCTGCTTTTAGATAGTGGTACTAATACTTGAGAGATGCTCAAAATCAATCATGTCTCCCCTATTTTCATTCATGCAAACACACGTATACGTGTACATATATAACCCTAGTTTGACAGGGATACTACTGACTAACGGATACGTTTTCTCGCGCTCATAATATCACGGTCAAATGCAGTCTGCCCTAGGAAAGAGATTAGATGAGCAGGCCGGACATGTTAGTTCAGCAAGGCAGTTGTGAAAGCCAACTTGTTGGACGGGTAATGGGTATACAAAATTCGTTATCCTGACTATGAAATGCAGATACCAACGCCCAAACAAATGGAAGATTCGTCAAAGCTAAGCAACGTTCACATGACCGTGCAGCACGAGTTTTGCTTCTTAGCCTGATCCAAATGTCAGCAACAATGACCATGGTTTTGGGATGTTGCCAGAAGCTCACCTGGGTGTAAAACATCTTGCTCTGCGCACTCAGCCCCTCGCTCTTTTGGACCAAATCGTCCAGCTTCTCTCCACGCTCCAAGACGCTCTCGAGAGTCTTGTGTAGTACGACCTTTGTTTCGTCAAGCTCCCGCTGGATCTTGATTGTGGCATCGACGGTTTCCGGGTCCTGGTACTTCTCGACATATTCTTTGAGCTCGGGATACGACAGTTTGGTGGCGTCGGCTGTGAAGCCGCTGTAGGCAGAGCGAGGGTATTTGGCGGAGAACTCGTCAAGGACCTTGCGGACAATGCGATGCGCGGCACTGCTGGGGTATTCATCGTCGGTCACGACAACAGCACATATGGGATCGGCGGAAGCCAAGGCGTGAAACTTGTGTCCTGTGTGTAGTGTTAGCACAGGGCGACCTGAAGGATGACCCTATAGTACCATTTTCCAGGACATCCGTCATCTTATGCGGGGGTGTTCTTTTAGCAACCACGGCCGAAGCAAAGACAATCTGCGCTCGCCGTAAGTATGTGCGTTCCCATGCGCCCCATCTCGTGCCTGAGAGCGTAGTTGGCGCGGAAACGGTTCTAACGTACGCCTTCTTTGACGCCCTTTTGTACCCATCGATTGATCGATTTGAGGTTTTCCGCGCCCGTCAGTTCGATGGCATCTTTGGTGTCATTCTTGAAAACCTGCATCCTGTCAGCGACCCCGGGGGCGTTGTACGGTGGGCAGCGGTGAAGGGTAGGGCGTACGCCAATGTAAACGAGCTTCATTGCGGCAGTTTATTGTCTGGTGGCGACGATAGTGGAGGTAAGAGTGTAGGAAAGAGGTATGTATGGAAGAGTAGGTGGTATCTGGTGCCCCGCGACAGTATATCGAGAGAATGCGATGTCTAGGATGCGCCTGATGTAGCGCTTCGTGCGTCTCATGCCCAAGGCGACAGGGTAATGCTCTGCTTATGTCATGGCGCCTGTGCAAGGGGGGCGGGGCACGTCGGGCCGAGACCGACCCATCCACTCCACTAGCGCCAGCGTCATCTTCAACCTTGCCAAGCCGTGAATCAGAGGCCACCACCCTTACTTCCACCGCATCAAGCATGTCGCCCGCTGTTGAAGAAGCTCAGGCACAATGGCTTGAACAGCTTCATGCCATGCGCAAGGCTATTGCCGAGCTGGGTCTATCGGCTGATGCTGAAGAGACACCTGCATATGGCCATGACATTGATTTCGACGACGACGACGATTTCTCCGGAACTGCCAGTGGCGAGGATATCTGGGATATCATTAGTGATGAATACGAAGAGGGTTACAGCAGCGACCATTTGGACGAATTTACGCAGGTGTCCGCCGCAAGCAACGCTTACGATGAGCAATGGCTAGCAGCAAAATGCTCTCAAGTGGCTCGTAGTAGTTCTGGCCTGGACGCAGGAGCGCTCAAGGAACAAATAGTTGCTATCTTGTCCAGCGACAGCAATGGTCAGCCTGGAAAGGACCGACTGCAACCCGCCATAAAAGCTAACTAAAAACAGACGAAGAATTACAAATGATGCTCGCAGACATTGTTGGTTATGGGGAGTTGGACCTCGTGGCTGACCTCATTTCTCACAGACAAAATCTTTTGCGGTCGCTGCGTGAACCAGCTGCTGCTCAAGGAAATGGTGTCATGGGCCGCTTGCAGACTCGTGCCGAGCGAGAGGAAGCATTACGACGTGCAGATTGGGAGCACAAGAATGCTTCGTTGGCACCAGCCATGGATCGTACCGGACCTCAGTACCCTCATGTATACAAGGCTCATGATGCTGGGAATAAGCTGTCGGCTTATGGCAAGAAGTATGCCCTGCCTCCAGACACGGTGCATCATGACAATAATCTGTACGAGGAGTATGAGATCCCAGCCGTACCGGTAGGTACAATCGGCGCAGGACGCAAGCTTATCGAGATTCAAGAGCTGGACGGTCTTTGCCGACGCACCTTCAAAGGCTACAAGACCCTCAATCGGATGCAGAGCTTAGTATACCCTGTTGCATACAAGACCAGCGAAAATATGCTCATATGCGCGCCCACTGGTGCCGGTAAAACCGATGCAGCCATGCTTACTATTCTCAACACTGTGGCGAAGAACGTCGTTCCAAACCCTATTGATGAGCCTGGGGCTACTGACTTCAGTGTCAGGGCGGAGGACTTCAAGATTATTTATGTAGCACCCATGAAGGCACTCGCTGCAGAGGTGACTGAAAAGCTCGGGAAGCGCCTTGCATGGTTGGGTATAAAAGCGCGAGAACTCACAGGTGATATGCACCTCACCAAAGCTGAGATCCTCGATACTCAAATCATCGTCACTACTCCCGAAAAGTGGGACGTTGTCACGAGGAAGAGCACTGGTGACACCGAGTTGGTTCAAAAGGTCCGACTCCTTATTATAGACGAAGTTCATATGCTCCACGATGAGCGCGGTGCTGTTCTCGAAAGCTTAGTAGCGCGCACTCAACGACAAGTCGAAAGTACACAGTCGCTCATTCGAATTGTTGGCCTCTCGGCTACGCTGCCCAACTACGTCGATGTGGCCGATTTCCTGCACGTCAACAAGATGGCTGGACTGTTCTACTTCGACGCATCATTCCGTCCAGTACCATTGGAACAGCATTTCATCGGCGCCAAGGGCAAGCCCGGTACTGCCAAATCACGGGAGAATCTGGAGAAAGTTGCATTTGACAAGGTTGTTGAAATGCTTAAGCTCGGTCATCAAATCATGGTTTTTGTGCACTCAAGAAAGGATACCGTAAAGACAGCCAGGAGATTGTATGAAATGGCCATGGAAGAGCAATGCACCGATCTCTTTGACCCACAAGATCATCCGCGATACGAGAACGCTGTGCGGGACATGAAACAATCAAAGGGTAGAGAGTTGAGGGAGTTGCTTGGCAAAGGAATGGGTACTCACCATGCTGGTATGCCTCGTTCTGACAGAAACTTGATCGAACGTCTCTTCGCAGAAGGTGTTCTCAAGATTCTCTGCTGTACCGCCACACTTGCTTGGGGTGTCAACTTGCCTGCTGCAGCAGTGCTCATCAAAGGAACCCAGGTCTACAATGCCCAAGAGGGTAAGTTCACGGATCTCGGTATCCTTGATGTTTTGCAGATCTTCGGTCGTGCTGGTCGACCTCAGTTTCAAGACAGTGGTATCGGTTTCATCTGTACCACACACGATAGACTCGACCATTACATGCGCGCCGTAACCGAGCAACAGCCAATTGAGTCGAGGTTCTCTAGTAGACTCATCGATAACCTCAATGCTGAGATATCCTTGGGCACGGTCACAACTGTCTCTGAAGCTGTTACTTGGCTTGGGTATTCGTATCTATTTGTGCGCATGCAAAAAAGCCCGCTCACGTACGGAATTGAGTGGTCAGAAATACGCGATGATCCACAGCTGGTTGGAAGAAGGCGCAAGCTCATCATCGACGCAGCGCGCACTTTGCAGAGAAGCCAGATGATCATTTTCAACGAGACTACTGAAGACTTACGGGCCAAAGATGTTGGCCGCATCGCGAGTCAGTATTATGTCCAACAATCAAGTATCGAGATTTTCAACGCGATGATGCGACCTCGTAGTACGGATGCCGATGCGCTCGCCATGGTTAGTATGAGTGGCGAGTTCGATCAGGTGCAATCACGAGAAAGCGAGGAGAAAGAACTGTCGGAACTCAAGAAAAAGGAATACGTGATAACTGAAGTCAAAGACGGCTATGCGACATCACACGGTAAAACAAACTACCTACTCCAAGCACACATTTCCAGAGCGCGCTTGGAAGATTTCACTCTCGTATCGGACACTAACTACATCACACAAAATGCCGCGCGTATTGCACGTGCATTGTTTATGATAGCGCTTAATAGGCGTTGGGGTTATCAATGCTTAGTACTTCTGAGTCTTTGTCAATCCATTGAGCACCGATGTTGGTCCTTCCAACATCCTCTCCACCAATACGACCTTCCACAGCCGGTTCTGCGGGCCCTGGATCACAAAAATCCTTCGATTCAAATGCTGAGGGATATGGATCCAACCGAGATTGGAGACATGGTGCACAACAAGAAGATGGGAAATGTGATCTCAAAATTGATGCAGAATTTCCCCACGCTAAGCATTGAGTCGGAGATTGCCCCGTTGAACAGGGACGTACTTCGAATACGATTGTTTCTCACACCCGACTTCGTGTGGAATGATCGTCATCATGGCACTTCGGAATCGTTCTGGATCTGGGTTGAGAATTCTGAAACATCTGAGATATTCCATCACGAGTTCTTCATTCTATCAAGGAAGAAGTTGTACGACGACCATGAACTAGACTTCACGATTCCACTTTCCGATCCGCTCCCGACGCAAGTCTATGTCCGCGCTGTGTCTGATCGCTGGTTGGGAGCGGAAACTGTGCACCCCATATCCTTCCAACATCTGATCCGGCCCGACACCGAGAGCGTCTACACAGACCTCTTGAACCTTCAGCCTCTGCCAATAGCGGCGTTGAAAAATCCTTTATTGGAAGAGGTCTATGCACAGCGCTTCCAGTACTTCAATCCTATGCAATCACAAATCTTTCATTGTCTCTACCATACGTCTGCAAACGTCTTACTTGGATCGCCTACTGGCAGTGGCAAGACTGTTGCTGCTGAGCTGGCAATGTGGTGGGCATTCCGTGAGAAGCCAGGCTCAAAGGTCGTTTACATCGCTCCAATGAAAGCGCTTGTTCGAGAGCGAGTACAGGATTGGGGGAAGCGCCTCGCAGGGCCAATGGGCCTGAAGCTCGTCGAGTTGACAGGTGACAACACGCCAGATACACGCACTATTCGAGATGCTGATATCATCATTACAACCCCCGAGAAATGGGACGGAATCAGTCGTAGCTGGCAGACCCGTGGTTATGTTCGTCAAGTGAGCCTGGTCATTATTGATGAGATCCACTTATTGGGCGGTGACCGTGGTCCGATTCTAGAGATCATTGTGTCGCGCATGAACTACATCGCTTCACAAAAGAAAGACGGTTCCATTCGCCTGCTTGGTATGTCAACTGCATGCGCAAACGCATCAGATCTCGGCAACTGGCTTGGTGTCAAGGAGGGCCTTTTCAATTTCCGGCACTCTGTGCGTCCAGTTCCCTTGGAAATCTTCATCGATGGCTTCCCAGAGCAGCGAGGGTTCTGCCCACTCATGCAATCCATGAATCGACCTACGTTCCTTGCTATCAAGGCCCATTCCCCAGAGAAACCAGTCATTGTCTTTGTAGCGTCTCGAAGACAAACTCGTTTGACGGCTCGCGACTTGATAAACTTCTGCGGAATGGAGGATAACCCGCGTCGCTTCCTGCGCATGTCAGAAGAAGATTTGGCGCTCAATTTGGACCGCGTTCATGATGATTCATTACGTGAGGCATTAAGCTTTGGTATTGGTTTGCATCATGCTGGTCTTGTCGAGTCGGACCGCTCCTTGTCAGAAGAGCTTTTTGCAAACAACAAGATCCAAATCCTGGTTGCTACTAGTACCCTTGCTTGGGGTGTCAATCTCCCCGCTCATCTCGTTGTCGTCAAAGGCACTCAATTTTTCGACGCAAAGACCGAAGGATACAAGGACATGGACTTGACAGACGTCTTACAAATGCTGGGTCGCGCTGGACGCCCGCAGTTTGACGACTCCGGTATCGCGCGGATTTTCACACAGGACGCCAAAAAGGAATTCTACAAGCACTTCCTACATACTGGCTTTCCCGTCGAGTCATCATTACATAAGGTCTTGGACAACCATCTGGGCGCCGAAATCTCCGCCGGGACTATCACCACAAAGCAAGACGCGTTGGACTATCTGACATGGACCTTCTTCTTCCGTCGCCTGCATAAGAACCCTTCGTTCTACGGTCTCGAGATCTCAGCAGAAGAGCATAACACGATAGCTGCGCAATCAATGGCCAACGATTACATGGTTGAGCTGGTAGAGACATCCCTACGAGAGTTAGACGAGTCGTCTTGTGCCGTCGTTGAGTCAACGGGCGAAGTAGACCCCACCCCTCTTGGAAAGATTATGAGTTACTATTACCTCAGTCATAAAACAATCCGCTACCTCGTGCAAAACGTCAAGCGCGATGCCACCTTTGCAGAAGCTTTGGCTTGGATTTCGCATGCTACCGAATACGACGAACTCCCTGTTCGGCACAACGAGGATCTTATAAACATGGAGCTTTCAAAAGCGCTACCAATTTCTGCTGATGACTTTGGTCTCCCGATGTGGGACCCGCATGTCAAAGCTTTCTTGCTCTTGCAGGCTCACTTCTCGCGCATTGACTTGCCAATCTCAGATTATGTGGGCGATCAAAACAGCGTGCTGGATCAGAGTATCCGTATCGTTCAAGCCACGATTGATGTTCTTACCGAACTTGGCTATCGATCTTCATGCGAGACCGTCATTTCCATTCTGCAAGCCATCAAGTCAGCGCGTTGGCCTAATGATGGCCCATTGTCCGTCTTTCCAGGCGTCGATGTTGAGAAAGAAAAAACTCGCCTCGAACATCCAAAAGCCAAACCAAAGACCCTGATAGAAGTTACATCTACTGCTGCAGTCGATCTTGAACGCGCCGGGAAGTTTGCTGGCGTCTCGCACGGTGGTCTGAAACGTTTCATGGAACCTGTATCTCGGCTACCCGTCCTAAAGCTTGACTTGGGAAATGTCAATGCCATTACTCTTGAGTTCAAGGTCAGACGCCAAAACTCGGCGAGAATGCAACAGGGCGGCGTGCGAATATTTGCACCGCGTTATCCTAAGCCCCAAACCGAAGGGTTCTTTGCCATCATCTCGTATTCAAGTACTGACGAAATTGTTGCGCTCAAGCGGGTCAACTGGCCCGACCCAGGCAAGAATGGCGGAAACAATCGGGGGGGAGCTGGCAAACAGCCGATGGGAAGTGCCGCACGCTCTCTTTTGCAAGCATCAATCAAAGTTTCACTGCCACCCGATGCACAAGGCAAGAGATTGGATATCTCGGTGCACAGTGATTCTTATCCTGGGATGAGATGGGGTATTGAGGGAGTGGAGATTCCCGAGGCCCCATCAGTAGATGCATATGGCAAAGGCAAAGAGAAGGCGTAGGTTTTGAGATGAACAAAAGACTTGGCTAGAATCTGTAAGTAGATGAGAAACCAGATTCAAATCAAATTCCTTACCCCCACTTGAATCTTGCCAGCTAAAGGGGACTTGGAAATTGGGCATGAGAGCGCTATCGTTGACTGGAAAGCGTGATGTTCACATCCGATTGCTTTGAGTTCTGCAATATCTCATGTCAGTGATTTTTGAATGGAATACAAGTAGAAGCACATGGAAAATTGAGAAGATGCGGATGGGTAGATCGGCACGTTTGCATTGTGGTAATCATACGAGCCGGGATCTGGAGCTTGGACTGCCGAGATACTGCCGAAGCCAACGTGAGCTATGCAAGGTAGAGGATCGTACAGGTGTTCGTGTGTTGAGGTGTACATACACTATCTACATTTGGTAACATCATGCAATGGTTTGTGACCTGTTGCTCTTACATTGGATGTCCTGATAGAAGGGCACAGCCAGAACAAGAGGCATTGCAATTACGCCGGCAGGTACATCCGGCCCCCGGTCGTTTGAACGGAAGCATTTAGTTTGTGTTATTAGATCCAGCTTCATTTGCAAGCGAGAGGATTACGAAATTCAGCACTTACACAGGTCCGTGTCTCTGCCGCACATGTTTTGTACCGTCTCACATCATCAAGGAGATTGCTACTTATGTAGCATCGTCATCATCGCACCATCTGCAATGAGAGGATATTACATAGTGCATCTCAACGCGATTGAAGATGAAATCTTATGGGCCAGATTCTAAGTGTGTGTGCTCAACTCCCGTGTTTGGCCGATCATCAGACTGTTAGTAGTAATGCTGTTCATCCGTTTCCAGTATCGTGACAGTATTCTTTTATTGGCTTTCTAGAATAGGAAGTATGACGTAGCACATGCCTTGTCTCGTGGTGTGTTGTATCTGCTTGTAGTAGCATCCATGCCACGACCTTCTCCATCGTAATACCCCGCGCCAGCACGGTTCATCGGAGTGGCGATAGCTTCGTCGGAGTGGCCATAAACATTCGCATTGACTGTCTGAAATGACGTTGCTCCCGGTCGACAGCGCCCAACTTGGACCTCGGACGGGTCCTAAATTAGGTGGAAACTCTGCTGTCGGCGTGTCTCATGTAAGTAAGACTCCGAAAGTTACGGCGGTGGATCCATGGCATGAGGAATGAGTTGGCGGTTCATGGAAATGGGAAGACAATGAACAGCAGTGAAAAGGGCATGTTTGCAATGGGGGATGTCTTTGGCACTCCGTAGTGTAATTGCCAAGGTGGTTCTCTGCTGGGGTTAAATGCAGGGATCACGAGCCTTCGGATATGTAGCAATGCATTGGCTTGAGCAAGATCCTCGTCGATAATACTTAACAGCCTCGTATCGTGACGAGTGCCTTGACCGGGTGATCGGCATGAGTAGACAGCGGAGCCAATGGGATTATTTTGTCTAATAATAGTGCAGTTTTCGGTTGTTCGGGAGAGCTTGTCACCGCCACACCAGCTCCGCTTCTCCCTATCCTGCACCTGCGCGTCATGGCCTCCTCACTCCACTCAAGCTTTGCGGCAATATACTAACAATGCTGGGGTACTGCCGGAACACGTGAGATTCGATGCTTGTGATACTATATAATGGCCTGTCCTGCTTCTCCATGTTCACCGCTCACCACCAACCTCCTTACTAGTACCCCTAATTGAGAATACCATCAAGATGATCCCTAATAATCTTATTCTCCTCTCCGCATTGGCCGCCAGCGCATTGGCTGCACCAAGCGGAGTCGTCAAGCGACAGAGCAATGAGGACAACCTCTGGCAAGTTCCTGTCAGACGTGACCCAAAGGAACCTGGGCAGGATAGGTGGACGCAAATCAACTCCGTCGTTACTCCAATCGACAAGGCGGCAGATGACAATCGCAAATTCTCCTACTACCCATCCCTTTACAACATGGGTGGCGCCCTTTTCTTGCTCTTCTCTGGCGCCCCAAAGGATGTCGATGGCATGGGCCAAGATGTGCGAATCTCTTACTCCACAGATGGGAAATGGAGCAAACCAGAGATCGCCTTTCCCGCGGCTCTTCTACCAAACCAGACAACTATCGAGACCTCGGAGTACTACTGCAAGCGTGGCATTCCCCAAAGAGCCTTGCAGGCACTATCCATTGTCTATATCGGCGGAGGCGAGTCTGACGCGACATACTATGCGGTTGCACAGTCCAGCGATAACGTCTGTCCTGGACACACCGAATCAGCCGGTCGCATCGCCCGTAAGCTGCGCCGCGATCCTTTGGCTGGTGAAACATTCTCAGGCGACCCATGCTGGATCGAGACCAACGACTATACCGGCAGTCATGAATGGGCTGAAACGGTCTACGGCACAAAGTACCAGATGAAGGTGTGCGATGACAAGGAGAAGATCCTCGCTGCATTGAGCAACCCACAATCCGTGCCATCTCAAGCAACATCTCTCTTCAACGAACCCCTTGTCGCTGCTGATGGCAAACACAACGTCAGCTATCCCACCAACGCAATCTACCTTCCAGGCTCTTCGGATACAGGACGTTATATGCGATTCTGGGCCGATGTCTCCATGAGGAATAAGACTGGCAATGCCTTTGTTGAATTCACCAACGATCTCACCGGCAAAGATTGATTCCCCGCGACCGAAGACGGCTCCAAGATTCAACAGACCAACATCTACAGCTCGTACAAGGCCTGGTTCGGTAGCAGTGAGGGTTCCAGTCAGCTTCGTGTGTACGTCTCAAACAGCGGCATGAACAGCGATTCATCCCAGGAAATTCTGACCGTCGCCACTTCTCGCGGCGACGACCTTGCATTCCGCAACATTGGCATCCTACGCAGCGACTCCGAGGAAAAGGTTCCTGTTGGCACTCGCCCCATCTACGGCTCCGACCTGGCTGGCTTCTACTGGCCGTCGGCCGTGTTCCAAGGCGACAAGTTGGTTGTTGCCTACAGCGAGAACAAGGCTAATATCCAGGTCTCCACTATTAACTTTGCTGATCTCCCTTGAAGTACATGATGCACACTCTTTTAATGATAATGGAGTACTTGGAACACCAACAACAAAAAGTTAACGGTCGTGGAACTTGATTGGCTTTGCTATTTGTACATAAATGGTTAATCGCGTTAGTCCTGGACTACGCTAATATACATATCCACCATCTTTTTTTCTTTTTGAATGATGTGCTTGTGATTAGTCTCTTTGTTTTTTTTTGCTGCTCATACAGACAAGAGTATAACCACCGTATGAAGTCAATGAAAGCATATCAACCTCCTAGTGTCACAGTGTTAAAACATTGAAATCTTTTTTTTCAATAAGCTGATCCCCTTCTAGGCTTCTTTTCCCACCAACGACATACCCGGATTCATTCCGGAGTATACATGTCTTTGTGTTGTAAGATATATTTATCTTTACTTTGTTTTCAATAATCTTCCTATACACGAGAGGGATCAATACGGGACTTCAACTTCACACACGATACCCAAGGAACATGCTCATGCCAATCGAGATTTCCATTCCACTCAGAGAACAACGAACAGTTCTCTTCTTCTCGAACTACTACCACACCATGTTTATCTTTTAAATTCTCCCCCCCGGGATATCCTCCACGCGCCCTACCTGCCAATAATCCTCCTCTCAAACACCCTCGCAGGAATATAAATCAAAGCCGTAATAACAAACGTAGACTCATTCCCTATATCACCCCCACCTCCAATCTGCTTCGCAAGCGGCCCCACAAACCACGTCTGCACCATACCCATAACCCACGCCACGGTCCCCAGCCCAAACGCCGCACCAGCTGCGAGTCCTAGGGGCAAGCGCGAAGGATCATTCCACGCCTCGAGATCATAATTCGCAAAGTTCATTTTGCGAAAGATGACGTGCTCGCTGCATACAATGACAAAGTACTGCGTACACCAGTACCCGAGCAGACTTAGAAAATTCTGCAGATACGTGCTTAGTTTCGCGCGGCCGCCAATGGCGAGACCGAGGATCGCGGCGAAAGAGAGAACAACCCATATTATGCGCGGGATGCGAGCGAGGGGCCGTGCAAACTGCTGGCACGAAATGGCGGCGCTGTAGATGGAAATGACGTTTGTGTTTATGCCGGAGAGTACGAGTAGGGTGAGAATAAACTTTGCGAAGCCGTGGGGGTACAGCACGGTTTGCACGAGGAAGCCGAGGCCTTGGGTGCGGTAGACTTGGTCCCAGTCTGGGCGGTTGTTCAGGCCAAACGAGACGACGATGCCGGCGCACATGCCGACGGAGGTTGGGACGGCGACACCGAGGGTAGTCAGGATGAAGACTTTCCAGCGGTTCACGTCGACGGGGTAGTGCGCATAGTAGTCTGATGCAATGACCTGCCAGGACGCGGAACTTCCGTACACGATTGCGAGCAAGGTGAGTACGCGGCCGGCGAGGTTTGCGCCTTCGAGGGTAGTCGTGGTGCTGTTATCCGTGTACTTTCCTGTTTCCGCAAAGATGATGATGAAGATGACGAAGAAGACGAACCATGCGTAGCGCTCGTAGAACAGGACGGCGCGCAGCCCTATGAACGAAAAGACTGTGGATACGCAGACGATGATGACGATGCCTACTACGAGCGACAGGTGGCCGTCTGCCACAGCCTCGAGAGCCAGACCGCCCGCAATACATGCTACTGCTGCCCACCCAATCTGCTGGATGGTGTTGAGAAAAGCAATGATCTTGGTCGGCCACCAACCAAATGAATACCGAGAAATGGAAATTTGACGGAGACCAGTCGGCGCTCCAAACGTTGCTGCGAATCCTGTCGCCGCTCCACCCAGAAGAGTTGCGAAAATGGTAATAACAACGGACTGGCGGAGTGCTATTCACACACACACAAGACACATATCGAGTCAGCTTATTTTTCTTCTTTCAGTCCCAGGGAGTTAATTTGAATGCTTACTCAACCCAAGGTCATGGCCCAAGAACCCGATTGCAAAACAAGACGTATTCATTGAGCCCGACGCCCATATAAACATCATGTTGAGTTGCTGATGCCACGGCACATGGCGCTTGTCTTCAGCTCTTTTCCTGGTGATTGCCTCGGCCTCAACACCGAGTTTAGCATCTAATCGCGCTTCAAGCGCAAGCAATCTGGCTAGGATGCCCGTGTCTGGCTTGTGGGTGGCAATGTCGACGCCATTGTCGCTCGACACGCTGGTCTTGTCCTGCGCCTTTTCCGTATCCATTGCGGGTTGGAATCAACGTGGAAAGCTCAAGGCGCAAAAGGAAAGAAAAAAAAGGATACAATGTGCCGTTGCGTAGATGGGCACACGGGATGAGTTATTGCATCCTCGGGTGTTGCCGCCGCGTCGGCGTATTCATGGGTATATTATAGTGAAAAAAGACCGTTGCAGCGCCGGTGCGGAGAACAGAGAAGGCGATCACACCCATGTTCGACTTGGATGGCATGAGGTGGGCTACAGGGTATTGATGGTGACTAGTACTAGAAAAATTGAAGATATCGGTAGGATAAGATAGTACGTAGTGGTTTTGAACGGGATCCACGACCACGTTTGGATGAAGAAAACCGGGCAATTTACCTACTATCGCTTTACTTTACTGCCATTTACTAGGCGCTTCCGCAGCTAAGCACTACTAGACATGAATGCGAGATTCCTAACCGACAATGGGTGCATCAGACCTTGTAAAGTGTAAGTTGATATCGGAACAATACTAATAAGTAAGCACGGCAGATGAAGTGCTGACGAACGTCCGCTGAACCTCATTGGTGCCAAGACTGCAGGGTCGAAGCTTAACTACGGCCTTCATGGACGTGCTGGGCGGACAACTAACCCGATTGGACACTTGTCAACGATCAACTACTATCGATCGAACCACACTGGTATCTGTCGAGTGCAAGTACCCGTGAATCGTCTTGGCCAGGTGAGTACTGCAAACTTTCCTCACCAAATGATCATAGTAGTACGCAAAGCGGCAGGGAACCAATCCATTCTTTCGAAAAAAAAAACAATGTTCCCTGTGCCTCCATAAGTACATTCAATAGTATACACTTAGTACATTTCCCTGTCCCAGCATAGACGCTATATCCATGCACTAGAGATCTTATACAACCGAGGACTGGGTCATTGCTTCCCGCCCCTCACTCCACATCCTCGTCTTCTTTGCCAAGAAATCCGCCCCCTTGCTGCTCAACGGTTTTGAAAACTCCGCTCGCTTGCGTGATAATCCAACCACGGCACGAGCCTTTCTCTTTCCCTTCTTGATTGATCTCAATGGCACGCCAGTGCCTAGACCACGTTCCCATAGTGCATAGTGGACCACCTTGTCCAGACCAATCTTGCTTCGCTTTTCCGGCTTAGTTGCCTTGACTCGGCGAAGTTCGACGTTGCCCAAGTTGATTAAATCACCGAGGTCAGCCTTTCGCTTCTTCTCAGCAGCAGATGCAGCTTCTCCCTTAGCCTTCTCTCGCGCCTTCTGGCCTTCAACGTGGATAGCGGAGAAGAGGCTGGTGGGCTGGGGCTTAGCAGCTAGGCAGAGGCTATTGTATAGGTCTCCAAGAGTGTTTGCGGAAGTCAGATCTGGGTCGGAAATACGATAACCTGTGAGCTGATAGAGACGTTTGTAAAGCTGATCATATTAAGTTAGTATCGTTTGTTATGTTGTGATCAGGAACAGCACTTACAGCAAACTTGAGGTCAACATCAGCTACTTGGATCTGTCGCCACTTTGTTTCCTCAGGCTTGGCGGCAGATCCGCTTGTTCGAGCCTGTTGTACAGCTCTCCTCAAAGCCGCAAAGTCCTCGGCCAGGCGCTGCGCTTTGTCTTCCAGAATTGAGTGCTGTGTCTTACTCCGTGACTCTTTGACAGGTTGAGTCTCGGACTTTTGAGTGGGAGGCTCTGCCGAAGTGGAAGTGGAAGTTGCCGTAGGTGTGATATCCTCGACAACTGGTTTCTCAACTGGCTTGCTACGAGGCACAGGGCGATTCGACATGAAGTCGAATGGCTTCTTTTCGTCATCCATCTTTACCACGGCTGCCCGCTTGTGTGCTGGCGTGTCAGGGTCCATGGTCGAAGGCTGCTCTTCTGTTACGACAATGTCCTCAGCTTCCTCGAGAAAAAGTTCGTCTGATTCCTCAAGTGCAGGCTCCCAAGTTGGGGCGCTTTGCATGCTCTCTAGAAGCCGCTCAAGACTCTTGTGTTGGGGAAAAGCTAGGGCAAGGTCGCCAGTATCCGTCTTGACCAACTTGATATCCTTGACCCAGCGTGGCGCGTCGTAAATCCCGCGGTTGGCAAACTTGGAAAAGTCAATTTCGAGACCAGCCTGTTTCATGGCGTAGATTTCGGTGATAGCCTGGGTGAAGCGGTTGCGCAGATCGCTGGGACGGGTAACCTTTGTATGGAGACCAAAGTTATAGGCTGTATATGGGCGTTTCGTCTTCTCGTGTACGGTTTGTGCCATCATCAGATTCTCGTCCTTGAGGGTGTATGGAGTGCCGGTGAGCTCTTCAATCTCGTCTGCCATCTCTAATGTAAGCGGGGTATAGGTGCGCAGTGTAAGCTTTTCGAATTCCACGGCCATGTCCTTCTCCACCTTTTGCTTAAGCCACTCCTCACCACCCACACGCTGGAGACCACTGATGTTCTCCGAGGGCTTGTAGTGGGGGAAGTTGGGCCCCTCGTCGTCGAGTACCTCCACATATTCGCCCTGTTCTTCTGGCGCTATGCGCACAGGCGATGTCGGGTCGTATGGGTCAACATGTGCGCCAATTGGCTCCGAATCACCGAGAAGTCGCTTCTGCCATCGCCGCACAAACTGCTGGTGTTTCTTCTTGTCTTGTTTTCCGGGAAGGAGGAAGCAATTGGGCGAGGTGGTGGAAAATGCAGCGGCGGCTCGAATGTGTGCGTAGGGTGAGACAGCGCCACGATAGGGCAGAGGCGACACTCTCTGGCATATAGACGCGGAGAGCGAATGTGAAGGGTCAGTTGCCCGCGAGGGGCGCGGTATTCGGCGCATTAGAGCGGGATGTCGAGGATGCAATTGATGCTAGAAATCCCTTCGACATGCAATCAGCAGCTCGCCAAGACGCCGAAATCTAGCCAATCACAACCGCCGCAGCCCCGAACTATTGCACCATGTATGTGTACATACTTGATACTACTTTACTTCAAGACATCTTGCTGTGCTTGCATAGGTGATTTTTTTAATGCAATGACAGACACAACACTTTCCAAGAAAATCGTACTGCCGGGTATCATTTAGGTAAACTTCTTTACTAGCCATGTCGACCCCCTCTCGTCATACTCCGCCTTTGTCACAAGGACCTCCTTCATCAGATCCGGCTGGCTAGCATATCGCGCTCCTCCCAGCCATGTGTGCTTGATGGGATCCCCCGCCCTGACTATGTTCAAAAAATACTCTACGGGCACCAAAGCCCTCAGCTCCGTCTCCAACCGCTCCATGAAACCAGCAATGAGCGAGTTTCCACCAACAACAACTATATTCGCTAGCAATCCAACTTTCAGAGCCTCTGGCAATGCACTAAGCGATTCCATGACTGCTCCGGGGAGGCCGATTTCCTGAATGCCGATATCTGAGGGGTTGAACAATAGTTCTGGCACGGTAAAGCGCTCGTTGCCCAAAGGCAACAGGTCCTCTCTTGGCCCCTGCAGTGGTTGCAACCCACGGCGCATACGCGATTTTGCCGGGTCGTGAGGACGTGCATGCCCATGTATCGCGTTCTCGTAGTCAGGCAGCACGTAGTCGACGACGATGCTCGAATCCAGCTCTCGTTTGGCTCCCAGTCGTCCTTTCCATGTCCGCTCGAGATCTGTAGCGAATTGCTGTGATGATGGCACCACGTACGATACGGCTTCCTTGATCTCATTCAGCAGGTATGTTTCCTCCATCATGTTATAGTGGCGTAAGGAAGATAGCTCCTTCAGGTAGTTGGTGAGCAACTTCCCGCCGACGGTGAGCCGCCTGACAGCTGATTGTATGAGCTTGCCATTATAGAGAGGTAATATGGTTGTATCCGAGTAGGAGGTATCAATGACTAGGAGGCACTCTTGCGGTAGCGATGATAGCGGCGAGGCGGTGGGGCTGTTGTAGGCATTGAGTGTCGCGCCCACACATCTATAATACGCGGCGAACTCGAACTGCTCAAAGACAATCTCGTCGCAGTTCTTCTGCAATTCTTTCGGACAGTTTGGTTTCTCGGTCAAGAGCAGGTTTGTCTCTTTGGGGTCACACTATGCGCCATCAGCAACACCATCTCATAGTCGCTGCAGGTGTGCATACCCACCCTTAACCCCTCACCCGCCGTCTCGCTCATGAACTCATGCTCCCAGATGGCCTTCTCCGCCTCCCAGTTGACAATGAATCCCTTTTCTACTGGTCGCCGGAAGGCCAGCTCGCCGAAATCTTTGCACGAGTCGAGTTCGGCGCCGACATAGGTGCGCTTGTCACGCGTGCTGCGCGCAATGCAGTTGGCTATGACACTGCAGTCGTCGTATGTAGGATCCGTCCCTGTCGAGACTAGACCGGCTTTGATGGTGTATGCGCCATTGTCTATGACCAGTGTCTTGTGTGGTGGTGCAGGTGCAGACTTCTTGGAGCCTTTGGGTGGCATTGTTCGAGTGACGGCGGTTCATCAGTTTGCGCGCCGCTACCAGAATCCCACATGCTAGTAACGCCTGCTCACGTGTTGCCCCACTCCCATCCAAATACCACGTCTTGGGTCGACACAATGTGTCCTATTTTCTTACAAGTCTTACATGTCATTCAGCCATGTCATGCTACGTTCAGAATCGAAATAAACGATATGGTAGTTGAACATAAACGCATGTATGCGCTCAAGCAGGAGCAGAGGCGCGCGGAATAAACAACTAAGAGAAACACAAAGCATGGGAAAAAGAAAACATGAATCGATCTTCATGAATTGAAAGAGGGCGAGACAGCCATCTGCACACTGCAAAGCCAATCTCATCGAGGACAGCAGAACCAGGCCTGTTAGAAGTGCGGAGTCCGCATGACGACACACCCCCGCACGCGACTTATTGCCTCTCTTCCTCTAACTCCACTCAGGGTACTCGTTTCCTTTGTTGAAAGACTTCTACTACCCCCGAATAATACCTTCGTTCTACACTTCACGGCTATATGCCTGCCAGTCTATGACATCAATCACTCTCTTGTAATTACACACGCGACTGACTTCAAGTCGAATACCACCAACATTCACCCGAGACTTCCAGCCACACCCAACCGCCATCTTCGCCATGGATGATGACTGGCAAGACGCGGCGTTTTCTTCACGCCACATGCACAATCGCAGAGGAAGCAGCGGCAAATCCAAACACACCAGCGCCTTTGACGTCCGCAAGACATTCGCAAGTTACTCCGTCAAATGCCCAGCCTGGCAAAAGGCCTTAACTACAAACGGTGATGCGCAGTCAGACCAAGAAGCTTCCTTAGAGTTGTACCGGCTGACCGAATCCGGTGAGGGCGTTGTGGGCGAACTCCTCCTCTCAGGTGTGCTGCGGTCATCCGTCATTTTAGCCGGTAGTCGAGACAGCCTACGACGAACTATTGCGGATCTCGAATCAGGCGACGATGCGCCTGAGGAAGATGATCAAGAGGGGCAAGGCGATACCAGTAGTAACACCGAACCAGAGTCGCCAGCGAAAACGCGCTTCGACATATTCGAGAAGAATAGCTTCCGCTCTCCCAAGTTTTGGTTCCGCTGGAGCGGCGTTCCACATGGTGTACCCAACTCAACTTCGAAAGAGAATGGTTCTTTTGAATCAGATCTGGGATATCTTGTATTTTCTGGAAACGACTGTCGAAAGTTCAAAGGCACCATTAATTGCGCCTCTTTGAAGTGGAAGAATGTTGCCATCACCGGCCACAAGATGATTGCGAGATCAGAGTCGGATACCCAGGTCACATGGGGCAAAGATGAGGTTCCGCTTTGAGGAATCTTGATAATAGATTTATTTTGGTAATCTAGTCGCCTTCTCTCTATGGTAATGGTAATAAATTGATTCGATTTGCAGCCGTGTTCCGCCATCAATCATACTAGTCAGCATTCTCGAAATCGAGTTTCTTGAGTTTGCGATTTCCATATCTTCACATATCCGGATAAGTCGAATTCATTGATCGAAATGTGTCAGTTGTTTTCTAGCAGTTGAAGTTTCATTTTCGACATGCTCAGCTACGAACATAAAAGAGAAGTCTATATGTAAAAAGACGCAGCAAAAGTAACAACTGTATACAAAAATATGATCAAAGTCATATGATCACTGGGTCTCCCAAACCTGGCTCTTTTGGGGTTCAGGTATTCTTCTTTTGGGTATCGCACCCCTGTCTTCTCATCCATCTGCAACGCCTCATCTGCAGTGACTTGTACTGGTGGCCATAAGATATAGCTCACAGGAATCCAGCAACTGATGAACTGACCCAACCACCATACTGGGGGCCATCCAATTCTCGTGAGTAGGAATATCCATCGATCACGGCCTAATAGTGCACGTTGTTCCAAATAAGCAGTACCAATCTGCGCGGCTGGATCGAAACAGCGGACAAAGTTGAGCGAGAGACCGATCAAGCAGGCCAAGATATAACAGACGTGTATCCATACCATCTGCTGCAAAAACAGTGCGCGGAAACGTCCTACGAAGCCCGAAAGATTGGGTCGCCGCTCTTTGATCGAGGCAGACAAACTCCCACTCGGCACGAAACCAGGCGTCGTCCCACCAAATTTAGCCGGCAGAATGAATCCGCAAACCAGGGAGAGCGCGTAATATGGCACAAGCCAGATATCCGCTTGATCCCAGCGCATAGCATCTCTGTAACCGACAAACAACGCCAAACTGGCTTTGTGAGCAGTGTCGGAAAATACCCATAAGCCGACGAGGCGCAGTAGCCAAACTAACTGCCAGCGTTCATGGTACACAACAAAGGGGTAGCCGGCGAGCAGGGCAAGAACGTTTCCGACAAAGCCGATCCAGGTCAAGGTGCAGTTGGCAAAAGAGCCAGCGCCGAAGACGAAGCCAGCGAGGCGTTGGCGAGCAGTACAAAATGGGATTTTTGGGCCCCAGAGGCGGAAATTTAACTGTTGACAATTAGCTTTTCTTCTAGTGTCATGCATATTCGACATATTATAGAACGCACTTACCTTGAACGCAGTCTGAACATTGCCAATCGTCTATCACAAAAGTTTATCAGCAAATCGACACTCAAAACTGTCGCATTCCAACCACTCACCCATCTCGTCCGCTGCTTGATATGCCCCCGCAACGTCTCCGGCATCTCTCCACACTGCATATACTCATCCACATACGCAACCTGCCACCCCTTCCCCAGCAACAAAGAACTACACGCCGTATCCTCGCTAATCGAAAACGCAGGAAACCCGCCAATATCCGTCAACGCATCTCGTCTGACCAGGTACCCGGACCCCACGCAATCGGCTGCTCCCAGTCCATCGTGCACGGTCTCCGTTACAGCGTAGAAGTAGTCGAGATCCTGGCGCACGTGGTCGTTTTTGGGTATATTCCAGAAGTTTTGCGGTGGGCATGCCATGGCCATTTTGGAGTCGGAAAGGAGATGCGGCATTAGTTGACGGAGCCAGTTGGGTTGCACGATCATGTCGACGTCTAGGCCTGCGACGAAGGGGGAGGGTGGATCGTTGAGTTTGGCGCTGTATTGGAGGCCGTTATTGAGATTGCCTGCTTTCTGAAGTGTCTTTGTTAGTGAAACTTATCCCAAAGGGTTGTTTAAGAACTCACGTAGTCTGGGATTTCTGGAGGTGGCCGGCTGGCGTAGTGTGCAAAGGGATATTTCCGCTGCAAGTGTAGTATCTTATCCTGTAGGTCTTTGCTTCTACCATCGTCACAAAGAACCACACTTAAACGGTTTGCCGGCCAGTTCGTCTCGCATGCAGATCGTACAACGTTGAGAATGGTATCGTGGTCCTCTCCACACGCAGTGATCAGGACCGAGATGACGGGTACATCTTCGCCTTGGAGGAAAAGCTGGGGTCGACTTGGACGTCGGGGAACCAGCATGCGGTTAAAGTAGAGAAAGATGGTAGGTATATATTGAAAGAATTCGACGACGAGAAAACACCATGCGAGAACTAGCTGCTGGTTGCCTTGGAGTTGTGTGTAGACGACGCAGTAGACTCGAAGGCAAAAGTATAAAACGAGGGCTATGGGGGCTAGAAAACCCGTAATGCAAACGAGTGGCCAGAGAGCATCTGGTGCTATAGCCATTTTAGCGGGCTAGGGCAGGGTATGGAAGAGATGGGGCAATGAGCAGAGCAGACAAATGCTCCTCTAATCTATCCTCAAATTCACAAGGCCAGTAGATATAATCTCCACTGACGTCTTGTTGTTTTTAAACATGATTCATTAACCCTCTTTCCCCATCCTTATATTTTTACGCTTATCACGCAGTCCATCGATCGTGCGCATATATGCATATGTGGGTTTAGTGATCGTCGCCAATGCAATGTCCACAAATTAGATACCCGCCAGTAATTCCTAGGTCGGGGTACGTACCGGCCCTTTCCGAGTGCTCCAATGATGACGGCTCTATCTTCGTTTCTTCGCCCCATTGTGGCACTCTGAGCAGCCGTATAGCTTGCTCATTTTCACGAAGAAAGCTGAGACTAGGATGATAAAAAATCAATGCTCTGTAAGAAGTAACACGCAATTACATCACCTGCAAATTGCAAAGATCTCCTCCCCATATACAGGCTACCCTCCTTAGGGCCTCAGCGCAAACAAGCAATACCCAAAAAACCCTAATATTGACGACATACGCCTAGAAGAAGCATCCCAACAAAAACAACCTACCCAAGGCACACACAAGTCAACAACAAAAAAGGGCCCACCCAAAGCACACACCAATCAATGATGTTCCACGCTTTTCCTTTCTAGCCCCGAAATACCTGCGGCTTGTAAAGCCACTGCTGCAAAGGATGAAGATTGGTTCTCAAAAGCAAAGAAATAGCAATGTGAGGCTACGGTAGCGTCGATCGCAACGGAGCGAGCCTAGATCATGTCGGAAGCTATGATCTCATGCGTGTATGGCCATTGCGTTAGTTACGAGAAGCAGGTTCTCAGGGCGCAGGGTATGTTTGATCGATAGCAAGCTACAAGGCCTCATTGACCACAGTACTAAAGAGCTGCAAATCCAAGGCTTCACCGAGGAACAAATAACATATAAGGTGTTCAAGAACATAGAATGTGAGGGTTCAAAAACGATTCTGATGATTCTCAAGCCTGAGGACGGTGATTTCTTGTCCGCCTTTGTCCAACGACACCGCCAAGAATTCAACTTCACCCTTTGAGCACCCGGACTTCATCAATGATGTTCGCGTTGGAAACATTGCTTCCGCTGAACAAAATAACCGAGAAGAGTCCTTTGCATCAGCTCAAGGATGCAAAGTTGAGGGACGCCAGTGCATCCACACAGCAGGCACAGGTCTACTTCGACTCGGAAACTGGATTCAGAAGCACCTCAGTCTACCACCCCAAAGATCTTGGCTCCAATGTAAGACTGCGCAGTCCTGCCATTATCATGGACGAGACTCAGACCATAGTGATCAACCCTCATGTGGTGGTACACGTCCTGACACATGCATACTTATCGACTTGGAGACCGCGTCTCGACAAGCCACGTATTCGTCAATGGTTGGCCTTGTTCGTCTGTCGATTTTCGGTTATAGATTTATGTCTATTGCTGAGCAGATGGGCCGTACTCTTTAGAAGACTTCTGTGTTGACTAATATCAAGGAACGACTCGACTTTTCTTGTGCATGTAACGACCAGTCAGCGTGTTACTGATGTGATGCTCAATGCGCTACACGCGTGCCGCCTCCCAGAAGCTGCCTCAACCCAACGTTTAGTATCGATACTAAGGTCGATGAAGTGATGACCAAGATTTCTCCGGGCTTCGGTTATTACGAGACAATTGCGGGTGGAGCTGGTGAAGGTGATGACTGGGTTGGAGAGGATGGTATACATGTGCAAATGCCAAACACCCGAATCACCGACCCTGAGATTCTCGAGAAACAAAGCAATAAAACTCATCAGGGGAGAGGTCCTAGTAGAAAGCTGTAGGGTGATGGAAGGTATTGTATTGTTTGAGTTATAAGGGTCTGCCGATATGCAGGGTCTACTTATAGTGGCTGTTACGTGCCTTGTCTCCCATCGAGCGTTACAGGATCAACTTACACGAGACCAACAAGGACAAACTTTGAATATTTCTTCGTTAAGTATATTAATATTATATAGAGAATCTTTCTATAACAACGTTATAGAACTCTCTTCACTGGATACTTCTTATTTAGAAAGTTTCTCTCTGTCTATGGCACCACAGTTTCTATCGGCAATTGAAAAAGGATTCCATACCCTACCTCTATCAAGATATCTCAATACTGTTGAAGTCTTCAAGGATATTTATTTTAAACTCTCTTTTCTAATTAGTTAAATTCATGAAAAAAAAAATGGGACTATGTCTTCGCTACTCAAAATACATACTGGTATTAGTTATAGGTTAAACATGATAGAAAAACCATGTAGGTTATAGAAAATAGAGATAAATTCAACTGGGCTTATTTCTGTAGCGGAAATGTGTCTAGATACTTGCAAAAGCACCTTTTGTTTTCAGATGCAGAGAAGGAAGACTCATTAGGACGAGAACGAGAGTATATGTATATATACGGACGGAAGTTTCCAAATTGTGCCTCCTCCTTGAGCGCTTATATGCGAAGTTACCTAATCCTAAAGTATTTGCGTTAATGCTTGTACAACGAATAGTATGTAGCAGATTTTTTCTATTTTTCTATTAGAAAAGCCAATTTTTGCAATAAATGGTTGTAATAACATTTTTTACTCTTTGTTTAATGATTACTTTATATACAAGATTATTTTATTCAGGTATTGGGATAAGATTAACCTTACTCTGCTACATTACTTCGGAGCAGAATAATAAGGCACTGGTATATTGAAACGATGGGTTTGAGCGTTCAAATTCCACTAACCGTGGAACCATTTTTCCTCAAACGGCACTAATAATCTTACTACGTGTTCCCTCTCAAGTGATCCGTCACATAGCTCCAGCACGGCATCTAAATAGTGAGACAAGCTCAGCTACGAAGATACCAACGACCTAGCTCCAACACTACACAAGATCTTGCCCGTGCAATCAATCTTGAGCGACCTGGCATGTAGCAATTGGCCATGGAGTTAGATCCGCAATATTGATCCTGGCGCAATCCTGAGAATACTGTTTCTGGATCTTATCCAAGAGTAGATTCAGGCCGTCCGTGTTCAGTAAACAGCGGTCCCGGGGCACCATGCGACCGGCAAGCTTTTGGTGGTTGATAGTGATTGTCTCGTGGCAAGTGACTCTTGTTCCGCCTTCTATGCTGTATTTGGATGGATCGATACTGTTGCATTGGCAGGTTATATTTGCCTATTCGGAATGATTAATTCGGAGTTCATCTACTATGGAGGAGGAAAAGGTTAAGTCATTGGGGTACACACAGAGGTAATGCTGGCGAAGATAAAGATGGCGGCTAAAGAATTGAACTTCATGATTGTGTAGCGGTGGGACATGATGAAGGCGTTCAAGACCTTTTCGTTTGAGAAGAAAGTACTAATAGTAGATGATGCGAGGCTGGTGACGGTATATTGGTTTATATGTACACAGGTCACTGGCGATGATAGCCCCTTGACTGTCTAATTTGCGGCCAGCTAACGATACTTAGAATGAGGAGGATACGGTAGTCTTTTGCAAGGCAGTTTTGCCGTATGATTCTAGACTTAGCCGAAGAACTTTTAGAAATGAAAACGCTCGGTGGTGGGAATGATCGTTCGGCCTGATCTCCTTCATAAATATGCATTGCATCGCGTCTTCACTTGCAAAGTGATTGTGATTCTCACAATACCTCTGGTTTTATGTAGATTTCGTTTTTGGTGCTAATGCACTATCTGCTACCTCAATCTAGATAGAGGCTAATCAACTTCCCCTATCAAAGCTCTAAACCCAGAAGGGAAATAAAATGGAGATGGAAAACAAAGCGGTGAAGAGATACAGAAGCTCTGCAAAATGATTGGGAAATCCGTCATAAGTAACACTACTTTCCCAATTCCTTTTGGTAAGAAGTGATTGCTCCAGATGTCTCATAGCATATGTTTCAATAATTCCCATACTAAGCCTAGAAATTGATTTCCTAATGATTTTAGCAGCATTGTCTTTCGTTCTCTACTTTTCTTTGTTAAGTATGGCGCCTGAACTTGTAAAACACACATCTATACTATCCCTTCCCTGCAAATGAGTGGTAGTACATGGGCCATCTAGTCCTTCATTTTCACGCGTTACTTTTCTTTACAGAGTCTTCTTTTTCTTGTTGTAAGATTAACTAAGGACTAGTATCATCTGTGGGCCGTGTCAGTACCAAGGCCAAATTTGCTTTCAGATTCTCGAGACTTTTCTCTAATGTTGATGGATCGCTCTCTTCTAGACTTCAAGAATCGATTACTCGAAGACAACTAGGGTTATAGATCAAATACATAGTACAAATACGACTCTTCACTCTTCACTCTTCACTCTTCAATGCCCATATATGACCGCTCTGTCTACAGAGCGAAAAAAAAAGAGCCCCTCTCTCCAACACCTCTCTACTTGACCCACTACATACATCTTCCCGCCACGCCCTCCTCGCCACTCCCCCATCTCATTTTCCGCACACTCAAATCTCAACCTAAAAATTTTCACCAGGCCAATGCGATTTACAGATGCATCAGTGATGAGAACACAAAACCAACTCCGAAAGAAACCACGCTAGTTATTTTCAAAATCGGAATTTCCATTCAAAGCAAGCGGATCAAGACTAGGATCGCCAACGGGAAGGTCTGATTGCAAATCGTACACTGACTACATGGGCTTTTCTCTCGAATCAGTGAAAGATGCGTTTATCTCGTCCTGCAAAGTGGACAGCCTCAGTATAATCAGGCCTTTCTGCATCGGTTGTGTCCTAATAAAACATATCTTCATTTCTATATCATGTGTGTTGCTACTGCTGTTGTTGGGCTATGGATAGTACTTCTCAGCTAGTTGTTTACTGTGAACAACGGAAGTTTGGATCTTGATACATTTCGACATTATGTTTTTTGTATCACACCTAAGTTTGCAAATCCGATTACTTTCATCTTCTTTTTATCGTATACTGGATTTTATCATAAACATGGAAAGAAAACGTGTAAAGTGAAATAATGGGGGTTTCGGTAATAGAATTGAGCAGCGGAAGCTTGGAGTTTAAGGAATGCTACGAGTGTGTCTTCACTGAATACCTTGTGCTGGATGCGCTAGCTTAAATTCTTAGAACCTATACAGCATGCAGCTTGTCAATCTTGACCATTCTCGCTGTCAAGACACCACTTCCAGCTTTCCCTCCTCCTCCCAACCTCATCAAGAACCAATCAGCCAGAAACTATGAAAAAAAAACCCCCCCACAAACGCATCTAGAACCCCTACAGCCCCAAACAACCGCATCAGCAACTCCCCCCTTAGGTAAGACCATCAGGCCACTTGAAACAATCACCTTCGAAAACTGGCACACGCTACTGTTTCCCAGGCACTGTGCATGTCGACTGCCGCGTGGACCAACAAGGTGATTCCATGTGGAAGCACCAGAGAAGGATATGCGGCATGAACCCGTGGCGACAATGCATCGTCTTGTGTACTTATGCTTAGTCTGACAGTAGCATATCAGTGTGCGTCATATGGTTCTTGGACGAGAAAAGAATCATCCGGTGATGAAGAGATCAAAAGTTGTTTAACATTTGTTTTGTTTGTTACTGATGATAACTTGAGAGTTCCTATTGAACCTCTTGCCGTGCATGTTGTATACTACGGGTAATGTCATGTCTTTTTTCATGATGATAGAGTGCCAGGGACAAGCACTTTGAACCCTTTCTTCGCTCTAATCTTGCATGGCTCTTGAATGTATATGTACAGTTCGAATGAGTAATCCTCTGCTCTTGTGTGATGCTCTTCTATCCCCGGGCCGGGCGTGTCTCTTTCTTGCTTCTCCCTTCGTGTGCACCTCCGCCATATGTGAAAGGTATGCTTCTTCAATACAGTGATTTTGTGGCATGTAGTTCGGCGTAGCGATGGTAGCCTTTGTACAGGGCTAGCGTTGAGAATAGCTCAATCCTCGCCGAAGACGATGAAGCTCGCCTCCTCCTCAACTTCCCAATACGTGCAGCTGCCCTCACTATCCTCATCACTGTACTCGTCGTCAGATTCGACGTCTTCCCAGTCACTATCGCCATCGTCATCTTCGATTTCATCGATTGTGTCAAGATTCTGGAACGACTCAAGCAGTTCGGTGACTGGCTCTTCAGCACCAGTGACATGAAAACTTTTTGCGTGAGAGTAGTCTTCCGAGTCTTCTGAGATCATGTCCTCGTCATGGTCGTCACCATTGTCAACCACAGTGTACTTGCCGGGTTCGTAGCGCGGTGATCTCCGATGAAAGTACGGATTAGGTCTTCCGGGCTCGAAATCCGTATCTTCTGCGAATGCAACAGCAGAATCCCTTTTGGGACGCGGTCGCTCATCTACACGTCCGGTGGTCTCGGCCCAATACAGGTCTAGTGCCTTGGACGCGGTTTGTACATTTTCGTGACTCTCTTCTGGATGCCGTGCTGACCATTCAGCCTCTTGTGCAGCCATGTTTTCAATAACCGAGAGTTCTTTGAGTGCGCCTATCTTGCCTTTGCACCACGCATTGTAGACGGTGTCTTGATGCTCGGAGCTAGTCAGAGTGCATGATGGTGCACGGCCACCTGCATTCTCAAGGGCTTGCGACAATACGTGCATGTACTTGACGTGCATGTCAATTGTACACACAGGGCATCGGGATTGAAGTTGGCCGGCTGCTGTTGGGTGCATGGTGTGCTGACAGACTGATGCAACGGGCGAGTTTGATGTGGACTTGTTGGTTTCGGAAGTGGGAGGTGCGATGTGGCCAGTAATGTCGTCGAATATGTCGGAAAAATAGCCAGAGTCTTGTCGCTTCAGCCATTGTTGAAAATCTTCGTACTCGCCGGCTGTGGGAATGTAGCCTTGCTCATTTGGTCGGATGTTTGCGTGCAAGCACTGCCAACGCTTGTACAGTTTTAGTTCGCGCGGCGACAGAATGACGCTGGCGGGGATTTTCGGATGGGCCATGGTATTGTGTGGTATCGGCGTGATGAAAACAGGTGCTAGGTTTTTGATGGGAGGTTATGTCTGTAACCAGGTGTTGTTGAGAAGCGCGATGATTTTTTGAGAGCGTGGTGGCCCAGAAATGTGATGTGTGGAGGGGATTTTGGAGAACACAAACTACGTCACGGTGTTGGAAAACCACGGTTCAGCTGTCCGGGTGAGCCGAATGTGACGACTGGTGCCAGGAGGTTTGTGGGAGCAAAAAGGGCGGCGTGAATGAGCTTCTAGTGAGCGTCTATTCGTTGGCTGGAGCGAACAATGCGGTCGCAGCCGTTGTGCGCAACGCACAATGATGGTAAAGGGTGAAGGCTTTGTCGGATCGTGTAGATTCCGCCGTCACCCAGCAAACGGTTGTGGATGCAAACAACCGGGACAGTCTACAGGGAGAGAGGTCTCCTTGGATGTGCAATCTTTCTTTTTTTGTTGGCCAACAGGCTCTAGGTAGGTAGAGAGAAAATAACCGATTTGTGGACGCCGCGCTTAGACGCGACGAACAGTGCCGACAACGTCGCCCGACTTCTCGATCTTAGGGAGGTTGGAGTACCGGGGAAAAGCCATGATTGTGGGGGAGTAGCAGCACATTCCTTGGTCCTGGTGGATATGGGTAGAATGTTCGTGAGATGTCGCGCGGGGTTTTGCCGTGCTCTTGGGTCGGCGTCGGCTGCTGAAGTGGGGGGAGGGGCCGGACAGAGCGAGAGGGAGGTTCGCTACGGGTGTGTGAACGGATGGTTGTGTGAAGCGCGTCACCAGAGAGCGCGAGGAGGGTCGCGTCTTCAGTGCTAGGGGAGGTGGTGAAGGTGAGGGTTAAGATGGATGTGTCTGTGCAAAGGGGACAAAGAAAGGGCCGTCGCCGTCTCGCCTGGCCTGGTTTCGGGCGGAGAGAGCGGGCGGGCTGTGTGGGCTGAGAGGACTGTGCGTCATGCCTGACTCATTTAATTGTCTTTTTGGTCTTTTTGGCTGCGGCTGCGGCCGGACTGTGGCGATGCAGGTGCAGGCGTTCCCTGTGCATGTGCTAGTGCACGTGATGTGACTATCATTATGGTCATGTGACGTCTAAATATACACTAGTACACTGCTCACGAATGCTACTATCCTCACACGCACATATTATCACCACCCAAGCCTGCTGAGAGCCCATGCTGACCAGTCTGACACCGTCTCGCGCCAGTGCTGTGATGCACCAAATCCAGCTGTCAATCCTTCTCACATCACTTACCAACCCGCACTTGGCCTGATGACCGTCATACGACCTCCCTCCCCGTGCCACGAACCCCGCAACATCCAACACAACATGGCTGTGTGCTTCGCTAACATCATTCCCTCGGCAGCCGAAAAGCGCCCGCATCTGACAGGAGAAAACGTATGGTTTGCTCGATAGTGGTTGCGATAGTACATATTCCGCCTTCGCCAGAGAACAAGGCTTGTGTCGGGCTACCAACAGTCACTACCCCAACTTCCGCTATGGCCTTTTCAGTGCAATCTTAAAGGCGCCGATGCTAGCCTCATATTTTACCATCATTTCCGTGGCGCATCGACATAAAGTGTCTGAATACATGGTATACTTACGCGGTGCAAAGACCTGGCTTGGTTGGGTGTGGAACATGAGTAGCAACTCTACAGTAGGCATACCTACTTACTTGGCTCAGAAAGCCGGGACCGCAAGCATACCTAGCTGCGTGCCATCGTGACGTTTCACTCAATCGAGCCCCTTATAGTCTGTGTAGCCTTCTCACCGGTGTCTCTATTTATTGTGCGCCCCTCAAGCCAGTTTAATATCTGTATAAGAGCGCGTCAGTTGCTGACCCCAAAACCTATATTTAGCGTGTCTAGCAGATGGTCTACTTACTACCAATGCTTCGCATTTGCACATGCCATTTGGCCTCGATGTTTTGAGCATCTCATTTGTATTATTCAGCTCAAAGACATGTTTCAAGACACCCAGAATGAAATATCTTGTTCATGAGCAGCCTGACCATCTTTCCTTGAGCACAAACAAGTCGGTCCTCGCAACGTTTGGCGACTTTCCGCAAACATTCCCGAAGGCTGTCCAAAATCTACCGAAGCATTCACCCGACTCTGGTTTCGAGAATGCAAATATTGTATCAGAGTTGTTTGATGTCGCTCTGTTTACATCTTCGAGACAATGTGAGCCAAGCAGGCATGTTGCAACACGCAACTCGGAGCAATGCATGCCAAACCACTCCTCTGGGCAGAAGTCAATACAATACTTTGCGGCCCTTCTAGAAGACAATCGACTAGCGAACCGGCAATGCGACATGACTGAAACGTGACATATCCAATGTCTTTGCTTGATAATGCTCGGGCGTCGAGAGCATGGTACTTACTCGCGCCATTGCGAACGGTCAGTGCTTTTGTGCAAATGCCTCTCGACAAAAGAGATTCCAGCACTAGAAACGGTCATACAGGCCTGAGAGACACGAAGCGTACTCTACGTGGCTTTGTTCCGTTCTTGATCGCTTTTTTTGGATGCGCAGGAAAGAAAACGGATTGTATTTTACCCTTTTCCTTGCGCAGTTGCTGATCTTCATATCATGGATCACCTAAGACGACCAACAAGGGCGCCAGTGCTGACCCTGCGCATCTATTCCAAGTCAAGACAAGCATCAGTCCCAGCGCACCATGGATTTTGTGGTTGCAAAGTTTAGATTCGAGTCTCGGCCTGATGGCACGATACTCGCCGAGGGAAGCTACCTATCAGAGTGTAACAAAGTGCACCACCTACGTAGTGCGCGAGCGGCTAGTGAATAGCTTCAGAAACCATACCCATAGTCGCACCCACAACCCCATTCACACAGCATGCCAATGGGTCAAAGACACAAATTAGCATCGCCATCTGAAGGCATCCCATAGCCGACTGTACTGGCGGTAAGCCGGGCCCTCCGTCGAAGCTTGCCGTTGCGGGGTCGCCGGAAGTGCTTCAGCATTCTTCCGCCCGGTCCCAAAAGAAAGTCACCTCAACTGCTCCCTCCGCCACACCAATGTCCAAACTGGCAAATAATAAGCTTTCTTCCTCCCCGAGCTGAGCTACGATCAGCGGGACTGACATGAGGAGCAGTGCATGCAGGAGACACCCATCCACGAATCATCAACCTAATCTTAGCCTGCCCTCCAGCCCCGACGCCACCTCCGGCTCCAGCTGTGACAGCCGTTTCTAGGTTACACTGGCGAGTTTCCAGAAGTCTACCGCCTTTTTTCGCATTGTGATTCGTCATTGCACAGCGCAACCTAGTATGTAGATCGAGGGCGAACTTTAGCAGGCGACGCCGTCTGCTCTTGTTCCCATGGGAAAGCTAGGACGGTTATACGAGATATCCGGCCGGCCGATCGTATCGTATATTTGGCTCGTTCTGGTATAAGCTATGATAGGAACTGAGGGCATATACCTCGCCAGCGACGAATGGGCACCCTCGATCGCTGTATCTCCATGCACGGATGATGGTGCTGACGGTGAGTCCAGTCCAGCCAAGCCTCATTGGCTTGACAATCGACACAAATTAACAGCTGTTGCTTATTGTGGGTGTAAGCGGCATGCCTAGCTGCGTAAATGGGTAACCCAGGTGCATGCAGGCGTTCTTGTTATGCGTTTTACCCTGACTTGACACTTCAAAGTCGCTCTCCCGTATTAGCCGACCAGGGCGTAACTGTATTAGGTACATACCCACCCGGCATGAGCTCCCACTGTTAGGGTCCTACCTGTTTGTTAAGAGCCTGACCCACCCTTCCTGCCCCTTCTCATCCTTTCAATGGGTCAAGATGGATCGACGTGAGGAATACCGTGACGACTTGAGCAGTGCCCACAGTTACAGAGAGAATCAATTGAGTTCTCCTCCTCCTCCTCCTCAGTTCCAGGAACATGACCAACAATACCCTACACCGACCGCGTCGCACACGTATACAAGCCAAGGCTCCCCGCCGACTGTGTCACCGCCGCTGCCGTACGACCTGGAGCATTCGCGGCACCCTCCACCACCACCACAGAACTACGAAATCTATCAACAAGGGTATGTACACGACTGATTCAACGCATATCCATCTGCATCTGCTCATAGAACGACACGTCCAAATTGCTTTTTTTTCACACCATTGTGCATTGTTCTGAGCTTGGTACAGGTACTCGACGGAAAAAGAGACTCCACACAATCAACATGCAACCACTATCGCCCCAACACCAGACTTCTCGGCGCCTCAAGTTGTGCCAGGCCAGTTCAGTCTATACCCTCAAGTCGGCCGGCCAATGTCTCCTTCATCACATGGCGGGACCACCCTCGCCTCGCCTCACGTAAGACCTTATGGGTTCAAGGAGCACGTCGATCCATCTGATGCGCCCGAGAATGCTCCTGAGCCAGTAGTCCCACCGCCAAAGGAGGAAAGGAAATGTGGTTTGAAAAAGCGAACGTTTTTTATCCTGCTCGGAGTGGTTATACTCGCCGTTGTCGGCCTCGCTCTAGGTCTCGGTTTGGGCCTCGGCCTGCAAAATGATGATTCGTACGTCCTACAAGAATGATGCTAATAACCACTTCCAAGTTGTGACATGCTAACTCTAAATACAGAGACAACTCAGCTGATCCTTTCTGTCGCGAAAAACCGCAATTATGCATTGGCGGTGCTCTCGGTGCCAAGTACGTGTCTAAGAAGGGCGCGTTCAACGGCACTGGCATTGCGCTTGCTGGAGAATCATGGAATCAAGGCCAACGTAAAATCTTTACTTTGTACTTTCAGCATCATACAGGCGACATTCGCTTCATGCAGTACGGCACTGATCAAAAGTGGATTGGTGGCACAAAAGCCCAGACCGTAGCCAGCGGCGTAAAAGACGCATCGCCCATATCCGCTGTGGCCTTTGCGATCAACGCCACCCAATATGTTTGTGATGTTGTTTATCCTTCCATTGATTTCTCACTAACGAGCACAAGACACACATCTTCTACGTAGACCGCAACAACACCATCAGACAAGTAACCCAGGACAACATTACTGACATTTGGCAAGATGGCTCCCTCAACGACCTCAACCTCAAAGCTTTTGACTCACCCACCACGGGCCTGCAAGCCTGTTGGAAAGGCAACTTTTACGGCGACGAAGATTACACCAAATTCCCAACCGCCTCTGGTCTTAACAACACCAAGCCGTTTGAAAACTCGCAGGGAATGAATCTCTGGTTCGCGACCGACGACTCGACGTTTGCACAATACGCATGGTACAGCGGGCGCCAGGACGACACATGGGTCTCCCTCAAGCCATGGGCGGGCTTTAACGGCCACGCAGGTGTAGGCTGCTACTCCTGGGGCGAAGGCACAACCACGTACGCCATGATGGCCAACAAGAACAACGCCGTAGAATTCTGGTGGAAAGACACAAACGTCAGCTTACCCTCGACCGAAACTCACCCTATCAACTCCTGGCAAAACGCCTCCAACGCCGCAATCGGAAACGTATACCCCATCACCTCGCTCGGCTACACAACCTACTTTTACGCCCAAATGGCCGACCGCACAATCCAGGGTTACAACGTGACGTATGCGGGCGAAAATACCACTTTTGTGAAAGACGAGACGTTTGCGATTACGGATCCTGCGGGGCCCGTAAAAGCGCTCGGAGGCACGCACATGACGGTTACGGCGTACAAAGACACGCATGGTCCCGAACCGTGGGATAGTTTGTACGTGTTTTTTCAGACGGCGGGAGACGACATTACGGCTTTTACCAGGGGCTTGACGGGAGGACAGTGGACGGGCGCGCCGTTGAATATTCCCGACGAGTAAAAAAAATAAAAAGGAGTGTGCGGGTCACATATTTCTTCTTTTTTTCGTTAGTTAAATGTATATATCAATGGTTTTTATTTACGGCCTGGGTCACGGAGTGCACTCTTCTTCTGTCTGGATTTTGCTTTCCTCTTTCGCCCACTATTTTGTTTTCTGTTTTTGGGTTACTAGAGACCTTACACTCTCGTTTCGATACCACTGTCCTGGACACAACGGCGTAGATTACGATACCTTTTTTTTTATCAATACAAGCAAAAACATTTGATATATATGTTCAGTAGACAGTGTGAAATATGTTTGAAAAATTTGAAAGACTTTGGATAACTATCACACCAGCAGACTATGCAAGGAGCAGTGCATGATATATATATATTTTTTTCTCTATCGCCGATAAGTTCACCCAAACTTCTTAATGCTTGTCTTTCCAAACGCCCCCACGAGACGTAGTTGTTGGCAGGTTTCCTGGAACGCATGTGGTAAGTGACGGAGCGGTATACATGTAGTAGATGAGACAATAAGAGAAAGATTTCTCAAAACAAAGAAAGACAAGAGAAAGCAATATCTCTTTTCCATTAATCCTTAAGCCGCGTACCTGCAATATCCTCTTGCGCATCTCGAAGGAGAAAACTGTGAGTGAATGGGTTAGCCATGAAACTTTTGCGTTTAAAAATGAAGAAAGGGAAAAAAACGTACTTGTACCACACGATGGTCGGCACCACAGTGCCCAGATGCCACAGACTATGAGCATCAATCATGCCCTTCCACGGCGGAAAATCCAACAACTCCAAACTCATCGCCATGACGATCCACGCAACGCAGATACCGGGCCAAACCGCCCACGTGCGCCCAATCTTCTTATACTGCACATAACTGAAGCCGCTCCACAGGATATTCGACACGATCCCCACCACCACATTGGCAGCCATGTTGTACGTGTAATCCCACGACCACAGCGACAGGTACAAAACATGCAACGTATACAGCACGATACACAGCCCCGTCCACAGCCTTAGCAAGCTCTGCTTCCTCGGCTCCGGGCGATCGAGTCGGAAGACCCGAATCGGCGCATAGTAAAGCCCATACAGCACATTCGCGCCCGCCGCAAAATAATCCAGCTTCTCCGTGAGCCCAGTGTCCCTTGTATGGAAAATCATGCTAAACGTCCAACTCGCCAGCCCCACATAGCCAAACATCAAGTAGTATTTCCGCAGAGGATACGAGGCGGGGATGCGTTCGCGCAGGCGCGCCATACCCCAGTCGTGTGCGAGGTAATTGAACAACGAAAAGATGACCGAAAACGGTTCCTGGACCCCGAGGAAACGATAGAACGGCCACTTGCCGTGGAATTGGTACACGGGCTGCATGTAAGGCGGGTCGCGCGCAAGCCGCTGCTGCGTAATGATGTGTTGGCACGTGTAGTCGCATTCGGAAGGGCAGTCCCAGAGGAGGAGGCGACGGTGGAATGCTATCATGCGTTAGCTACCTCTTCCATTTCCTCATGTCCCGCTCCCAAATAATAAAGAAGATGTGGTGCATTGGGGGAAATTAAACATACGTATATCAACCCCCTTCCCCTCCCCGCAATTCGCCTCCATACAAACTCGCACACACTGCTTGAACTCAGGCAAGTGGTCGCCCATAGATGCTCGTGCGACTCCACATAAGAGCGCAACCATCACCACGGCGACACCCGGCCATTGCATGCCTTTTCGCACTTTCATGTTGTTGGATTGAGGGTAGGGGGGTTCAGTGCACCAACCGGTGGTGTATATGTACAGAGGGGGAAACAACGCAATGCGATAACGACAGGTGGTTTTTGTTTGGACGTATGGCAAAGCAGGGAGTTTGGAGAGTCGCGTATTATCTGGCGTGTTGGCGTCTGGAGGGTGGATCGACAGGGTCTTGGCGGTTGAGTCCGCTAACTCCGAGCTGCTGAACCCTCTTTTGTTTTTTGCAGTATATATATTATTGTAAAAATGAAAGATTCATAATCACCAAGGGCGTATAGCTCAGTGGTAGAGCGCCCGCTTTGCATCAAGCAAAATTGCGGGAGGTCTGGATTTCGATCATCCATCCGTCCACAGCTGAGTACCGAATCCTTTGGATTCACCCCTCTTTTTTTTATTTCCCAACATCATCAATGCTATACCTATTCCCTCTCTACCCTTCTTTTTGTCCATTGGCATTGATTAGTACATTCCGAAATCATAGACGATTCTCAATATTCCTCCAAAAAAGGCATCATGGTGATATCATCGTTCCACGCAGTCTTTTCTTTGTCTTCACCCATGCACAAAACATCACATATTTTAAGAAACGATGTAGTGATTGGTAAAGTAATACAAGTGAATTCATTCAATCTTACGCTTATCATAACCTAGCATTCAAAGTCTGAGGAGTTGTATAATCACAGATTATAAGGAGGAGAAGAAGAAAAAGCACAAGATAGTACACTAATGATTGCACGCTTTTTATCTTCATTCTTCTTCCTATGTGACTTCCTTCCATCGCACTTGTAAGCCACCATGCATACCAGTCCAACCATCTAAACCAGCTAGCTAGGCAAGCGAAACCTCATTATCATCATCATCATCGTGTAACACATGAGGAAAACTAGTAGCTACCCACCAAAAAAACAAGACGGCGAGGGTAATAGTCCTATCAAGAGAAGATGAAGAAGAAAAAACCCGTCATATATTTCGCCGTGTGGAAAACCCCCATAGATGCTAGAGAAGAGGCAGACACACATGCACACACACACACGCACGTCTAAACTTAAGCCTGAATAGCGCGTCCCAACGCACCGCCTGTAAACTGCTGATTCCTGCCTCCCCTTGGGCCACCGCCACCGCCCCTGCCGCCACCGCGACCACCGCCTCCCCTACCACCACGGTTACCGCGTCCGCCTTGCCTCTCAAACGCATTCGCTGTGCCCTGTGTACGTTGCTCGAGCGTCTTCTCGTTGGACTCGATAAGGCCTGATGCCTTGTCTGACAGGCTGAGTGCCAGAGTCTGGAGTCTTGACAGCTCAACACCCTTTCTAAAGATGATGGCCGAGTTGACCTGGTCAAGCGCCGCGGCGAGTTCCTCGTGGGAAATCATCTTGGACACGACGGCAGAGACCTTGCGCTCTGGGAGTTCAAACATGCCCGCTAGTGTGGAGATGGCGAGTGTGTCGTAGAAAGGAGCATAGGTGAAGAGATATGTCCGCAGGCCCTCTTCTTGGATCTGTGCAGACAGCATCTCCTTGATCTTTTCCGAGTTGGCCATGAGCTCCCAGATCTTGATTGAGTTGATGAACTCGGCAGCCTTCTTCCACTCTCCAGCAGACAGCGCCTTGGATGCTTGCATGACGTGGTCGCGCGTGTTCTCAGGAGGGCCAGTGAAGATCTGGCGCTCATGGTACTCTAAGAGACGGCGGTATGTCTTGCTAATCACTCGCTTCCTTAGGTCCGGTGATGAACCAAGTTGTGCGAGCAGAGGAATCTCAAGCAACATGGAGCAGGTCAGGTAGACGCACTCTAGTAGCTCAAGGTTGATGTGCATGTGGAATGGAAGCTGTCGTTGGCGCTCAAGACGCTCCTGTTCGGGTGAGATTTGGGAGTAGCGCTGCATTTGCAGACCTTGTGCGAGAAGCTCCTTTTGCCTGTTGCTACCGCAAATCTCTTGCAGTGAGGTTTGCGCCTCGTAGACCAGTCCCGCACGGAAAGCGCAGAGGCCGACTTGGACGAGCGCACGGTTGAACAAAATCTGAGTGTTGACGTCAAAGTTGCTGATAGTCTCCTGCAGATGGGACATGAGCATCATGTCACGGGCCTTGTAGTACTGGTCGTGCAGGGACAGGAAGTAAATCTGGCACAGCATCGCACGAGCGCGGATGATGCCCTCGCTGTGACGGAAGAGGTATGTGCACAGAGTCTGAACCAGCGAGGCAGTGTCGTTGGAAATGGAACGGGGCGTGATTTCCGAGTCAAGGCTCTCGGGAATAGCCTTCCATACGTTGTTCTCGAGGATGGTGATGACTTGCGAGGGCTGCAGACGTTAGTTAAGTCATTGCTTGAATGCTAAAGTAGATGCATACCTTGAAGTAGACGTGCTCCAATCTCCGCATGACAATGCGGTTCAGTGGCTCTTGAGGCAGATCTAGGCTGGGGTTCTTTTTCAACTTCTCGACATACACCAGGGTGCGTACAAGCTGAGCGTAAAGGAGGGCCTCGTCGGTCAGGCGCTCAATGTACTCAGAAGTATGCGGGTCAATGTGCTGGAGGGAGCGAGTGAGCTCGTCATCGAGCCTCTCAACAAACGAAACAATGCTGCCAGGGATGCGGAAGATCTCGCCTGGTGTAATGGTAGGCAGCTTCTCGTCATCCTCCCACTCCTCGGCGTTCTCAATGACAACAATTTCCTTGCTGTCTTCGAGAATCTGCAGCAGCTTGCCAAATTCTTGGTCGGCACTAGATCAAGGTCAGTGGGCAAATCATTGCAAATCGTTCAAGGCACACTCACAGCTTCCATTGATCCTGGTGCATGTGGCTGGCAGTGCCAGATGTCAGGTCAAAGCGGGTAGAGATGAGAGTCAAAAGAACGCGAATCCTCTGGTAGTCGTTGATGGCCACGTCGAACAGCTTCTCCAGTGTCCTGATGTGCTCGAGCTTGTCCGAGTTCTTGCGACCACGCTGCTCGACAATAGAGCGGAGGTGCTTGAGAATTCCCTCGGGTGTGTACAGAACAGCCTTGCCACCAGCGCCGACAGTGATGAAGCCATCGTCTGTCGCCTGGTCCACGACCTCGGGGGCGAGCTGGGGAATCTTGTTCTTCTTCTTCTTTTCCTTTGGCGCCTGCACAACCTCCTCTTCCTCCTCGCGCATAAACTCCTCCTTGTTCTCCCGGTACGCATTGATGTCCTTTTCGTAGTCACGGTTGTGCTTCTTGATCTTCTGGCGCACAGCGTTGAAACCACGGCCATTGACGGCGTTCATCTTCTTGGGTGTGACCTTTTGCTTCTCGTGCGTCTCGATGACGGCCGTCTCGAGGTCGGCAATGGCCTGGATGTACAGCTTGGGGATTTTGCCATCGTTCTGCTTGATCAGGGTAGGCACCTGGCGGATGAGTTTGTCGAATTCTGTATGCGTCCATGTCAGCACATCTGTCCCACTGCCCCGCCAAGACGCACATTCCACATACGCTCAGAAATGACGGCCCAGTCGTTGATCCTCTGCGCGTTCTCGATAAGGCGAATCGTCGCCTCGAGTTCGTCGAAACGCTTGTCTTTGGCGCTCTTCAGCACCTTGTTCACATCCTCGTCGTCGCTTTCGCTCTCGCTGTCAGCGTCCTTCAAGAACCTGGCGGCACCGATATCTGAGCCAGAGTCCGAGGAATCGTCGTCATCGGAATCATCGTCCGAGTCCTGCTCGCTGTCCTCCTGCTCAGACTCCTCGTCGTTGGAGTAAAGCTCCTCCTCGCTGGACTCGTCCGAGGAGCTGTCGCTGGCGGCAAAGAAGCGGGACGCCATGGTTGCTGGTCTCGAGAGTGGGAATTTGCCCGAGGGATCGAAGGGGGGGTTTTGTATGGGTGGCGGGCGCCGTGTGGGTTTACAGAGAGTCACTTTCTGCCCGCGTTGCTGCAACTTTCCAACCGAATTTCGAGCCAGCGCTAAGCCATGACTGTGTGCCCCGCGCCTAACCCAATATGGACGCGAACCTGCCCTCTCTCACCTCAGAGGCAGAAGGCACCAGGCATGTCGCAGTCATCTTGCGAGAGTTGAATATTAATAGCAAAGGTTTTTTGTATTTTCAACAGTTTCCGTTTCTGTCTCTTCCTCCAGCATCGCCACCATGTACGTCATCAGAATAATTAGATCCAGCACAAAACTCGGGACTAAATATCAATACACAATAACAAGCCCGCATTCAAGGCGCACACCAAAGCAAAGGCGCAGTGCTACAACAACTGGCATAGCCAAAACAAGCGTTTTTGTCAGGGAAAGGGGGTACTGCTAGAATTACACACACTTGCCGCCGTCCACCACATCCTTCACCTCTGGTATCACCATTTCCAGGCCACCCACTCTTGTTTCCTCCTGTCACACGTGGGAACCAGTCCATCCTCTGTCCAGGTAACCGTCCGGTCAAAGGTGCTACCAATTTACCATCATGGTCGAATTTTTTTGGTGCAATCTGCAGAAGTAATCGCCCTGACTCACGAGCGCCTGTTGCGAATCCATGCAAAGCCAGTTGAGCGGGCTGAGCATCGCAATATGGTGCCGTATAGCCTCGTGCAAACCGGTATGGACAATGGTGCGGCCCGCGCGGTCCCTCCGAGTTGTGTTCCTCGCTTCCATAGCTTCTTCTTATTCTCCTACTCATACCATAGACAATGTTGCTGACCAACGAACTCTGGGGGACGGGAAAGGGGGATATCAACAGGAAATCAAAACGCCGCATCTCCGTGTTGCACACGGCGCCTTTTCCCGTCTTTGTGTATCAGTGCAACAATCCAGTTCATCATTGCCAGTGGTTTTGGCCCACAAATCCTTCTTCAAGTGTGCGGTCTTCGAGATTGCGCACAAAGTTGTGGCTACGGTTCGAGTTGCCAGCCCGCGACCCTCTTCGCCTGGCACTGCTTGCGCTCTCTGGCGCGCCATCAGGTGGAGGTGGGTAGTATGCCGGTGATGGCTGTAGGCGCACAGGCGCATTAGGGTCCAAGTGACTCATAACCCTCTGCAGCGCAGGTGGAATACCTGACTGCCCCGACTGTTGCTGATCCATTGTCGTTGCCCGTTGTCGTCCGGCACGGGTCGTGGCTTGCGCATAGAGGTTCTGAGGCTGGTTATATTGCCGTGGCTGTTGCGGCTGCATCATGTTCATGGGCTGACCATATTGTGCTGCCTGGGAGGGATAAGGTGGCGGTGCACCTTGATGGTTGGGTGTGTACATGTTGTAGGGATTTTGCTGAGCTTGCGGGCTCTGTGCGGCAGCGTATTGGTTCATCTGCATGTTTGCATAGGCGGCATGTTGGGCTGCCTGCGCCTGTTGCTGCTGCGCGACCGCTTGCTGTTGTTGCTGTTGTCGCTGTCTGCTCAAGCCCTCATATCGCTGTTGTTCCTGAACACCCGGTGCTGGCGATCGGCTTGAGCTGGATTTGAGCGTCATTGGAGGTACGAACGGCCCAGTAAACTTGGCCTGTGTGATAAACGGATGAAGCTTCGCCTGAGCGGGGGTCCAGCGTTCAAGGGGATTGAGGTTTAGCAATCCCTGAGCGAAATCGATAAAGGCAGCCCGGTTGCCCATTTCTACCACGTGTTAGTTGTAAGACTTGAATATGGAATTGATGCTGCTCACCTCGCTCAATCTCGTTCGGCTTCATATTCTTCCGCGGCATGGGGTAGTTCTTGATGATGTCTGGCAGGGTCGTGGCGGAGAAGTACTTCTTGCTAGGTTGCTCCTTGGTTCCATGCTCCCTGGAATACTGCTCCATGGACTTGAGCCGGTACTGCTTGCGACCGTACTCGTCCTGCGACTTTTCAAAAAACTCTCCAGACTGCTTGCCCATCTCCAACATCCAATGTGGTGGTAGTCCGAGCATCTCTGTTATCCGCGAAACCTGGTTGTATTCGGATGAACCTGGGAAAAGTGGCAGACCGAGGAATAGCTCGACGACAATGCAGCCCAGTGACCACATGTCGATTGCGGCCGAATATGGTAAACCAAGCAGAACTTCTGGCGAACGGTAAAATCGTGACTGGATGTATGTGTACACAGTTTGGCGTTCGTCGCACGCGGAACCGAAATCGATAATCTTGATGATTGGGCTTTCAAGGCTGTCATGCTGTTAAACACTTCCTCAGATGTAAAGACTAGTGTACGTACTTTTTCAACAGAATGTTCTCAGGCTTCAAATCACAATGTATGAGTTTGGCCTTCCCGAGCAGTGCCAATCCGTTAATCAACTGCTGCGCAAAGACGCGAACTAGGGTCGTCGACAGTCCGCGGAACTGGTTCTGCTTGATCAGCTCGTAGAGGTTGACACTCAGCAGCTCAAAGACCAGACACAAATGCTGCCTGTGAATAAAAGTGTCCTTGAGTCTCAACAGGTGGTGGTCATCGTTCTTGTCCATCTGCTTGTTCAACTGCGCCTCATTAGCAGCTGCCCACAGTATCCTGCAAAGGAACAACCTACCAAATCAAGCACGGAGACTTCCATCATACTCTGGTTAAAGTATGCTGTCCGGTTCTTGATCACTTTGACGGCTACTACCTCCTGCGTCTTCAAGTTCTGACACTTGACGACTTGTCCGAATGTGCCCTGTCCCAGCACGTCCAAGATCAAGTAGCGGTTCTTGTGTCCAGATTCCTCCGATCCCAGAATGTCGTTGACATACAAAATATAGTCGCTGTCCTCGTTGTCGTAACCGTCATTCTTGACTCCTTTGCTGGGCTTGGTTAGGACGCGACGGGGATTTCGCGACGATTGGTAGTTGAATCCACCATTGCACAGCTTGTACGTCATAGGCAGATGGGCAGTGAGAGCTTGGAGGGGCTGTTTATTCAATTGTGTCAGTAGAGTTCACTGCTTAGACATGGAGTGATACATACACTGATGAAGCCTCCCTCTGGGTTGGCGCGACGGAATGGCGGTTGGGCATTGATCTTAGGCTGCAAGTCGGCTGTGTTGGAGACTTTTTCGAACTTGGGAACCGGTCCTCGTCCAATGGGCGGCAGGTGCGGAGGATTCGAGTTGGAATTGGAAGTCGCGCGCGGTGACCGGTTGTCTCTGTTGTACACAGCATTCAGCTGTGCCGTCGCAGACTGCGGATAGAAGCTCTCTTGGCCCATGTTGGACTGAATGGGAGGCAGTTGGGGCGCATGTGGTCGGGAGGCTAGAGCAAAAAAGAACAATCAGTATACGAGGGTGTTTAAAGAAATCAAGCTTGGGCAGGCAACGCTCGACATACATGGCGGAGAGTAGTAGCTGCTGGGCGGCGACATGTAGGGATTGTTGCGCGTAGGGCTCTGGCGGCTGGCCTGTGTCTGCGCCTGCGCCTGGGACTGGGACTGAGGGGTAAAGCTGGTGTAGGTCTGGCCACTCTGCTGCGGGTTGCCTGAGTAGGGCGATGTGGGGGAGAGGTTCATGGGCGAATATCTGCGCGCGGCAGCACTCTCCTCTTGCTGGATGAACTGCTGCGAGTGGCGCTGCTGCTGGGTTGGGCGCACAGCATTGAGCCTTGGCTTGTAGGCATCCTCCATGGGCACGTCACCATCGCCGTCGTTGTACTCGGGGCGGGGGCCTGCAGCGGCGGCGGCGGCAGCAGCAACAGCAGCACCGCCAGCACCAGCGGGCGATTGCATGGCGATTGAGTTCTGGCGGGAGGGGGTTGCATAGGCGTCCTGCTTCATCTGCGACGACACGCTGGCATCCCGCGAGGCGTGCGGGGGCGATTGCATCGTGTGCGAATATCGGGCGCTCGGGGTGTCTGAGTAGGCCGTCCACTGGGGCTCCATGACGTCGGGGCGGTGGGTGGGCGGCAGTTGGGGTTGGGCGACGGAGTCGCGGCGGGAGACGAGATTGAGCGCTTCACTGGGAGCGGAGCATGCCGATGGACGTGGAGCCTGTGAGGGAGCGGGTGGTGATGGGTGGTGGTCGTGGCCGTGGGTGTCGGGGTTGACGTGGTGGTGGTGCTATGGCAAGAGGTGGTCCAGGGTACACGGCCGAGACGAGACGGGGAGGGTGCGCCAGTCCCGTCTAGGAGGGCCGAGGGTATAGTGCGTGTGGGCGTGTAAGAGAGTGTGAATGCGGGAGAGGGAGAGGGAGAGAGATAAGTCGGGTGTGGCTGTTGCGGGGTGTGTCTACGTGGTCAGCGGCGGCGAGGATGGGCTGGAGTGCTGCTGTGACCCGAGATAGAGAGGCCTTTGAGGAGCAAGACGAACGAGGCGCACCCAGGACAATATTCACACAGGGTCAAAAGGATGGTTTGGCAGAGGTCAGCCGTACCCGAAGCGCTGAGGTTGGCGCCGTTGCAACCTCGATGGATTGGGCTTCTCTGCTTGGTCACGCTAGCGACGGATGCAGCCAACCTCTTCATGCCCTGCCCTGCCCTGCCACAGCTCTCGCCCGTGGCGTCATTGCTGGGCTGGCTCTCTCTAGCAATACGACAGTACTAGTAGTAATATTGCTACTACTAACTGGCCTACTACCAGCAAAAGCCACACCGATGGCCTTGGGCAGCCATGCCAATTGCCGGAAAAGGTCGCCTTGTGCGCGTCACTGCGGCTGAGATTGGTACCCACACATTCCTTCATTCCATGTGCCGCCCACCCTGCCCCAGCAAGGAACCATCACGACCGTAAACATCTCGTGACCCCACATGCAAACAACGTCTTTCATAAAAGTGCAGCATAACCCTCTCTGCCCAGTCCCAGAACCGCTTGTCGGCACTCAACAGCGCAGACAACCAAGGACCTAGTGACATCAGCAAACACGACCGTGACCTGTAATGAGACTTGTGAAAAAAATCATCACACATCATCAAGCCAAGACCTCATTCCTCAGCGTAATCATTGGCGCAAACAAACAATTGCTGTCATCATTATCGTCGTCGTAGCAGCCATTGGGCATCAACCTCGGACATTTCTGCTCTCTCATCTTACTCGCGCACCTCATACCCACCCAACACATGGCCGTTATCCCACTTTGCCGGCTTCTCAAAGAGACTCCTCACCATCTCGCCTCCCCTGGTCGCCAGCACTGAAAGCAACGTGTCACTCAGCTATGCGCGTCCTGTTAGCCAAACCCAGTTCAACAGGGGGACAAGGGAAATGAAAAGTAAGAACAAGGACAAGGCAAAACTTACACCATGCGTACTCTCGCAGCATCCCTGCAGCCAAACCCCAGCATCCTCACCAACGCTCTTCTCCGTAAAGTTGACCCGGTAATCCCTCTGCACCTGCCATTTGGCACCCTCCAGCTCGCCCCCAGGCATTAGGTGTCTGGCGTCCTTGAGCAGCGTTTCGTGCAGGTCACGCAGGTAGCCCGTCGCAACAAAGACGGCATCAACGTCCAGTGTCTCCTTACGTTCCTGGCCCCCAGCTTGCTCGGAAAAGTACAGCGCACTCGAGTCCTGGACGTGCAGACGCACCCCGCCCTGGCATACCGGCGAGTCCGTTACGTCCACCACCCGTCGGTAGGGCAGGATGCGGTGAGGCCAGTGGGCTTCTTCGGCAGGCGAGTTGCCATAGCGGATGCGTTGCATGTACAGAGTCTCGTAAATGTGTTCGAGGAGTCCCAGTCGCACGACGCCGTAGTTTGTGCCCTTGTCTTCGACTAGCGTTATTGCGCGCAGCTTTGGCGCGCGGTTGTATGTGCAGTCGGTCCGCGAGGGGTTGAAGATCTCGTTCACGCTGGCGTCGGTTAGTTTCGTCTCTACTATATACACACACACATCCGCAATGTATGTCAACTTACAATGGTGAATCATCGCTGGGTCGCAGTGCGCTGCCCTTGATAAGTAGTCGTGTGCGTGAGTTGGGGTAATTTGCGTGTAAAAAGTCAAAGATCTCAGCAGCGCTCTGGCCGTTGCCAACGACGGCAATGTTGTAGGGTGCATCGTGGTCCTTGAGAAGCTGCTTGGACATGTACGAGAATTTGGACGAGTGGATGACTCTGGGGTGGTTGGTAGGGAAAGGTGCGGGGATGTTGGGCCTGCCTCCCGCAGCAATCACCACATGCTTTGCTTTTCGTGACTCGATACGGCCTGTGAGGTGGTTCTGCGAAATGACGTTGAAGCTGGTGATTTCTCCACTGGCTGACTTCTCAGGCATCACCTTGACCACTTCCTGGCTGTATGCCACAACCTCTTCAAACCAGCTGGCGCACCACTTCATATAGTCCTCGTACTCGACACGTGCAGGCAGAAACGTGTTGAGGTTGGCAAACTCAACTAGGCGATCCTTTTGGTGTAGGTAGTTGAGAAATGTAAACTCGCTGCGCGGGTTGCGCATAGTCGCCATGTCCTTCATAAAAGTGATTTGCATCTTTGCGCCTGGTAGCAGCATACCGGCATGCCATGCAAACTGCGACTGCTTCTCCAGGAAAGCAACCTTTGGTGGTCTGCTCTGGAGGCCCTGAACATCGGCTAGCGAGGCATCTGTCCCATCGAGCGCATCGTGCAAAGCCACACCAATAGCCAGCGACGCAGGGCCAAAGCCAACGCAAATCATGTCGTGCAGCTCATCTTGCGGGGTATATCGAAGGTGCGATCGGTTCTCCAAAGCGGGGAACTGGCTCTCATCAATGTTGTCTGTCAGGAAGCCATTGAACGCCTTCTGCACCGCTGGAGCTGCACCATCCGGCGAGCCCGATGACATGTCGACGTGGGGACTCATTGTTGGGTATAGTGGGTGTGTATAGTAGCACTGCTGGCTGTCAGTTTCGATTGCCCATGTTGCGAAATCGCGGCTCGTGCTGTCAAACCAGCAAAGTATCGAGTGACGTACCTTGGTACCTTGTCACGGTGACTTGAACGCTGGTCAAATACGTGGATGCGTGAAAGAGGGGTTCAGTCACTCTGCAAGTCAAACAGGAACCTAGAGCGCTAAAGACACAACCGCAAGCTGTCAGCGATTTTTTATCATATCAGATGGATTGAACAATGACGTCTACACTTGACGCGAACAAACGGCACGAGTTTGCGATGGAGCAACTTACAAAGTTGGTCACGTCCCAGATGCACTCTCTCTCAGGTGCACGTTGTTCAAGGCAAAGAGCTGTCCTTCACTCGTGATATGGGAAGGGAAAGTAACAGCGGCGGGCATTGTTTCTGTATGTATTGTAGGCCGGGCGATGGGACCACGGCCAGCCGTGCCCAGGACCCGTCCTTGGGCATAGTTTGGATCCATGTCTCTATCCCAGGGCCCCATGCAGCCCCCTCGTCAGACAATGGTCCGATGTCTTTTCGTAGCAAAGGAAACTAGCTGTGGATGTAGAAGGACCCTTGCGGGCCGGCGCCAGGCAGAGTTGCAGTTGTGCCACCAAAACTGGCGATTCGCTAGCCCAAGCTTGATGGATGGCCGAAGCGCGCCCCATGTCACTGATCTTCCGACACACACCATCTGATAAGATGAGTCTCCTGCTCTCCCAAGACAAACCCCCGATATGACTACGGAACGCCCCAGACGCGCATCAAGCGTGCAAATTTTTTTCTTTCAATTGTCGCCCCGCAGCGCTTGACCCCGTCTTTACTAGAAAAGTGCGTGTTGGGCGTGGGGTGCGGTGGGTATTCATCCCAGCAAGTGTGTCTTGGCTGATGAGAATTATCAGATGGAAAATCATCAGTTCATCTGATTAGATGAAGAGATTTCGCCCGCCCGCCCTCGGACCGCCCTCGGCCTTTGCGCCTTGGGCTGCCTCATACTATACACTAACTATTGCTCCTAGAGTCCCCTTCGATGCGTGTGCGTGCGTGCATATGGTCGGGGCTATTGCTCGCTTTGTGCTAGCTACATGCACTGGAAACCGCTGATCACTCTGAATGCACATATGCCGTGCTGCCTGTGGGTTGACCCTGATGACGAAGGAGGCGTTCAGGGACTGAGCCTTTGCCAACACTCAGTTGTCCTGGTTTGCTACCACTGTATTCGAAAAGGTAGAATGGATTCGAATGCTTGAGCAGATCCACAACCACATTGCTGGAGCACGTGCATATATCTGTGTCTCGACCAGGCCCAATAGTCTCCTGTACGCCCCATATCCACTTCAACTAAGTACGTACACAATAAGCTGTACTGCAGGCAAGGGCCTAGACATTAGTACCAAAAGATATCGGTCAGAACCAAGCGCTTGTCTACTGTACAACAAGGCCGATGCATGGTGGCCAAGATAACCGTCTGTTTGATGTGCCTACAAGCCTATCCTAACACTATCTAATACGTGATCATCTAGCAACTCGGTCTGCCGGGTGTTTGTGCAAAGAACAAGATAGAAAAACTAACAGACGGGAAAGAAATACCGAAACTCCGAGCTACATGTATATAATACAATCCATACTGATTGTACGGAAATGCAAAAAAAAAACAATAGGAAACAACGTTACTATGCAGTAAAATTTCGACTTGATGACAAACGCTTAGTCCAGCTCCTGCGTAGCAACCATGCCTGCATAGATGCCTCCTAGGCCCACAAGCTCCTCGTGTCTGCCCTGCTCAACAATTCGTCCCGCATCAAACACAAATATGCGATCGGCATGTTGTACGCTTGCCAGTCGATGGGCAATCATAATTGTCGTTCGACCCTTTGAAGCAGCAGCAATCGCTCTCCTTATGTCCCTCTCCGTGTTTGCATCAAGCTGCGATGTTGCTTCATCGAGCAGTAAAATTTCCGGATCACGGATGAGTGCTCGGGCGATAGCGAGACGCTGACGCTGGCCACCAGAGAGCTTGGAACCATGCGCCCCAACTTCGGTGTTATAGCCTTCTGGCAAACTCATGATGAAGTTGTGCAGTTCGCACTCTTTGGCCACACGCTCTATGTCTGCATCACTACTGGTGGTACCTGGGCGATCACCAAGACCAATGTTGAACTTGACTGAACCGGGGAAGAGGTCCGGCTCTTGCTCCTACTCGCGTCAGTCACTCTGGCTTAGAAGAATGAGGGATGATTCCAGTATCAACTTACCACTAGTGCTAGACGGGCGCGGTGGTCACGAACGGACTCTTGGCGGATGTCCTGACCATCGAGGAATACTTGCCCAGAGGTTGGATCGAAGAACCGTTCTATCAGATGAATAGTACTCGATTTACCAGCCCCTGCAACAAAATCAGCCATTGTCTTACAGTCTTTTGAGAAGCTCTTACCTGAACGGCCAACGAATGCCACGTTCTCGCCTGGTCGGATCTGAAAAGACACATCATTCAATGCAGGGACAGTCGGTCGACTCTCATAGTGAAGGCTGACGTTACGGAACTCGAGTTCTCCTCGGACGCCAAAAGTACCGTATGAAGCGGAGGCTGTAGATTCAGATAGTAAGCCGACAGTGTCTGGTGTGGTATTTGTCGCCGAAGACGTGCACTCTGTCATGATTGTGGGCTTTTCATCATGCAATGAAAATACGCTTTGCGCGGCAGCTTTTGCCCGTGTCACTTCTGGTGCCAGACTGAATAACTGGCCTGCAGATTGTGCGGAAAAGAGCAGCGCTGGAAGTACAATAAAAAAGTCTCGTTGCGTGTAATTGCCGCTGCGTACTTGTTTAGAGCCCCTAGATAGCGTTAGCATATTGGTTAAATACTGTGTATGCACACCACTCTTCCGATTGGCAATAGCAACAGGAAATGATACTTACCACCAGTAGGCCAACGAGTACACAAAGTAAGTAATTGACAAAGAAAACGCAAACAAAATATTGCCAAGCATGCTAAATCGAAGATGCTCTTCGTACGGTTTCCGAATTGCTTCCCTATAAGCCTGGAAGAAGTGTTCTTCAAGGCCGAAGACTGCGACAATCTGCATCGAGGACGTCGCCTCAGATGCCAGGGCTGCCGCTCCATTATATGCAGTCTGGTGGTGGTCCTCTGCAATAGCCAAAATGCGAAGACGAAGGAAGCCAGCGAGAAGCATGACAGGCACTGCTGCTAGTAGCACTATAGCAATCTTCCAGGCTACAATATGAGCCAGAATAATGCCACCAACCACTGACGTGGCGATCGAAAATATCGTCCCAAGTATAACGCCGGATAGTCCGCTGATGCTTCCGCTGTCCGAGTTTAGTCGTGACATGAGCGCGTGGTGAGAATGTCCAGGCTTGGAGAACCACGCAATATCTTGTTGCAAAATGGTCCGGAAGGAGAGGTCTCGGACTCGCAAAGTAAGGTTTTCGGATACAATACCGAAAGCCGTCTTTCCAAGAGAGTGAGAGGCCAAAGCAACAATGGCTAGAATAAAGAAGAGCAGACAGTAAAAGGAAATTTGGCGCGTAGTATCGTCAGACCCGCTGGTGTCGTTCAAAAGCTGTACCAGATTTCCAAAAATGAGCGCCTCCCCAATGATAACCGCACCACTAAACACCGAAGAAAATAGACCGAGGGCAATCGCCGGTGTTTCACGGTGGCTCAATGACAATGATCTCCCAATCAGCTCCGGAGCATTCATTTTGCGCTCATTGCCCGTTTCGCCCGACTCTCTCGAGTCTGGTTCCTCAACATTGTTTGGTGCTCGCTCATCTTCCTTGTGAGAGTGTCGTAGGCTAGAACGTGTAGAGGAAACAGCAGATGGGCGGCCTTTCTCAAATTGCTGTGCTCTGATAAGCCCAGCATATGTACCGTCTCTTTGTTGAACAAGAGATTCATGATTTCCATCTTGCTCAATAGTGCCATCCTGCATCACGATGATACGATCCGCATCCTTTACAGTCGCAAGTCGATGCGCAATGATGATGGTAGTTCGACCAGTCGCAGCTGAGGAACGTCTCAGATTCTCAAGAGCTATAGCCTCGCTTGTGGCATCCATTGCGCTTGTAAATTCGTCCAGAAGAAGTAGGGATGGGTTCCTGACCAACGCCCGAGCAAGAGTGATACGCTGCTTTTGGCCTCCAGAGAGCTGCGACTGCGGGCCAGTTCCAATCTTGGTGTGAATTCCCTCAGGTAGCCGCTCTAAAAAGTCGCAGTATGCTTCGGTCGCCGCTGTCTGACATCGAGCGAGAATTGCATCTTCGGTAAGATGTTGGAGCTCCGCTTGGGGAATACCGTGCTTAATGTTATCGAGGATAGATCCAGTGAAAAGTACCGGATTTTGTGTGACAAGCGCAATGTGTGAGCGTAAACTATGAAGATTGAAGGATTTCAAATTATCCTTCCCAAGGCCAATGTTGCCATATGTGGGATCGTATAACCGCAAGAGTAAAGAGGCGATGGTCGACTAACATTTGAATAATGTCAGCATGTTCTTTCAAGACCTTCCCCTGAAGTAACCCGCTTACCTTTCCAGACCCTGATGGACCAACAAGGCCCGTGACTTGCCCGGGCTTGAGACGCAGATCGACACTGTCGAGGATACGAACGGTAGGCCGAGCGGGGTAGACAAATGAGACTGCTGAGAGAACCAACTCCCTCTCAAAATGCACTTTTTGGGCCGGCTTCCCTTTGGCCGAGTACACGTCGATGTCGGAGGTGGGGTGATCCAAGACGTCCAGCACTGCAGCTCCAGCAGCAGCAGCCATTGCAAATGTTTGTATAAAGGGTCCAAAAGAACCAACGACGAAGGAGGCATCTAGAATGAGAAAAACGACAGCGTAAATAGTTCCAGCTTCAGCGCTGCCATGCCGTAGGTGATCGCCATACCAAAATGCAAGTGCATTGGTTGCGTAAGCCACAAAGTAGACTGAGCCAAGCATAAGAGCACCCGCAAAGCTCTTTTTCACTCCTATCCTGAGCGCAGAACGAAGGTGATGCACGTGTTCTTCGCTGAGTCTTTCAAAGAGACCAAAGGCCTGCACAATCTGGACTGCTCGGATGGCACTTTCTGCAACAGAAGAAGCCTTTTCAGTGTATATTGAGGCTTGTTTCGTAAGATCTGAAACAGTCTTGGTGCCAAAGCAGACAACGAAAGCCATTGAAGGTATTACGGTGAAGAACCTGATGCTGTCAGTAAACGTTTGCTGACTAGATACAGACCGTGATTACATTACTCCAGTAAGCTTTGCATTGAGCAAAAAGCCTACAGTGAATGCAGAGATAAAATAGCTGATTGAGGCAATGAATAGGCCAACCTTTTCCGAGGTTCCGAGCTGGATGGTTTGAGTCTTTTCTGTGAGGATGCTAGACAAGTCCGGCGCGACAGTATCTGATGGGCACGTTGAGTTAAGATGTACTCAATCAAATGGATATTCAAGTCAAAACGCACCATAATAGGCCATGTCCATACCAAGAGCACGATGCAGGAGCCGTTCTCTGGTTTTCCTACTGACGCGCTCGCCCGTGACGGCCCAGCATACGGACCACCCCCACGTGACCAAAAAGTAGCCAACTGCAACTGACATGAGACGGTATAGCAAATGTCTTAGCTCATCCGCATTGGGCGGAAAATTGTTGATGATGCGGCCTAGAATCACGCCTATTAAGGGTAGTGGCAGGCCAGCAAGTACGGCGAATATGATGGCCAACGCTAGGATGGCTTTAGAGCTGGTGTCATCCAGCTGCCTGTACAGTGTAAAGTAGGATGTTCTAAATGGATTCAATCCCAGGATTTGGCGAATGAAGCGCTGGCGAAATAGAGTGGCGGTCTCGAAAGCCTGGGGTTGGACTGTTGCCAAGGACGGCTCTACGTGTCTCTCCCATTGGGTGCTATGGAGGACAGAACATGTCTCTTCGATTTCGCTGTCGTCGGAATCAAGGAGAGGCTGGCTTTCCGAGCTCGCATCGTCTGTGTAGTCTGGCATTGTGACGCGCGCGCTCGGCGTCATAGACTGCGATGCTCCCGGATTGAGATGTAAGCGCAGTCTAGTACTAAGGAAGCGGCATGGGTAGGCCAACTACAGAAAGAAGAAAGCAATGGCAGCACAAACTGCTGGGTTATGAGGGATAGCAAGGAACCATGGGAGTGATGTTGATGATTTGGCTGCACACAATGTTTGAGAGTAAGGCTAGGGCAATCAATAGCCCCGTCTTGGCGCCCCATGTTCCTGTTCCTGTTCCTGTTCCTGTGACGTGCGCTTCGTGTCAACGACGCCAAGTTTCTGGTAGCCGGTGATAGTCAGGCACGCACACATCCTCCCTGGACGAGAGCTGATGAGACGGAAGGTGAGTATTCTTTATTGAGGACACGTGAATGTCGATACAGATACGCGATATGACAAACTCGTCTCTCCCTTGTCCTGAAGCCGGACGCGGGACGGACGGGACATGGACAGGCTGCATAAGGCTGGGCCGGGCTGGGCTGGACACAGTTGAAAGTCGATGATGCAAGAGAAGACAGGGGATACAGCCGACGCGTTCCATCTGATAACTCGGACCAGCAGCATCTGATAATTGTGTCGGGGATAATGGCCGCCTTCGGATTATCAAATTTGAGCACGGGCGCTGCCTCTACTGGTTTTAGCTGATGGTGGGTGGTCCTGCGCGACACATGACTTTTCCCCACTGCCTACCCTGCCCAACAAAAGATGGAACACAAATGCCGCTTCAACAAATCATGCCATTATAGCCAGAGGCCAGGGCGTGGGCACGCTATTATGTACTGCCTATGTCGACTACTTACGTTGGAGTTTGGGGATGCGGCGCCGAGCTGGCGACGCGCGGGTGAATGTCCGACCACATGCTACTGTCACTGCGTGGGACGGCCTCGAGGCTAGCCGCTGCATGTCTCTGGTGGAGCCCTGCTACCACGTCCTGATTTGTTCCAGTCTGGAATCGAGTTTTCGCCCTGGCCTTCTGGCTGTTTGTTATCCATGCAAGGCAGGCAGCTACTTCACATTATCAGATCTTACCCGCCGCTTGTCGAATGACACGCCCACTCGCCGGTCGACTAGCATGTATGACGCTTCGGTCCACCCACTCCGGAAAACGCCATCGCAGTCACGGAGCAGCCTACAGTCAAAGAGGATGTCAACTTGACTTTCTTACCTTGTTTTTCCTCCTCCAGCCCACAAAGCTCGCTCGTGCATACTCTTGTCTTGTGGCAAGCTTGTTCGTCAGACGTTCTCTTACTTACTACAGCGTGCTTACTCTCAACCACGTCTTTACACTCTGTACCCACACATCAGACCAACACTCGAGCATAACTCAAGCACAGCTGCCTACACCCGTCATCACGTGCGTCAGTCTTGTGCACACATCCAAGTGCGCATGTACTTGGACCCCTCCGGCCAATCAACGTGTCCCAATTTCTCATCATTGCGAGTTGCCATTGAACTATCATCTCCTCTAATTCTTCGAGACAGTAGCTACGGGTGTACCCTCTTTGTCTTTCAACTTAATTTATTATGTGTGTTGGAGCAGCAACATTCCAAGCACCTTGAACATCACATACCTTCCTGCTATAATCATGCCATCCGCTACAACTCCTTGCGAAATGGTCCACAAAAATGGCCTAAACCAGAATCTGTCGATATTGAACGGGCAGCCTTTGCTTTTGGAAGGTCCGGACCTCCTTCATCAACTAGTTCCTCGACTGCATCACGACGCCAACGCCATCGATTTCCTGGAACACGGATCGAAAAGGCGAAAGTTTTCTTACACAACACTTCACTCCTTGAGTGATGCCTTCGCCGCTAGAATTACAGAAATACTGGGCAAGCTCGAGAGTGCTTCGTCCATTATTCCGATATTTCTACCGCAGTCTCCAGAGCTTTACGTAGTCCTACTGGCTATTCTAAAGGCAGGGAAGGCTTTTTGTCCACTCAACCTCGACACACCGACAGAGAGACTAAAGTTCATTCTTGAGGATGTTTCAGCTGATATCATAATCACATTCGAATCCTACAGCGAGCATATCCGCACAGCCACCAACATCCATGTTGTATCAGCAGATCGCGAACTTCCTGGTTGCCATAACACTTTCCATCATGACTCGCCGCGCCTAAACCCTGACGATCTTGCATATGTGCTGTACACATCGGGATCCACTGGGCTGCCCAAGGCAGTGAGCGTGTCTCATCGTGCCGTCACACAAAGCTTGCTCGCTCACGACCGTCACATTCCAGCCTTTTCTCGTTTTCTTCAATTTGCTGCTCCTGTGAGTGTCAGATTTTGAGACAGTGTTCGTCATGCTAACATATCAAAAGACTTTTGATGTCTCCATATTTGAGATATTCTTTCCGTGGTTTCGAGGCAAGACTATAGTTGGCTGCACACGCACGCAAATGCTCGATGACCTTCCAGGGACTATAGCTAACCTCGACGTGGACGCTGCCGAACTTACACCAACGGTCGTTTGTAATCTTCTATCCGGTCGCTCGAGCGTGCCTGGTCTGAAGTTGCTACTCACTATTGGCGAGATGCTGACACAACCCGTCATCGATGAGTTTGGCGGCGATGCGATCAAAGAGAGTATATTGTGGGCCATGTATGGCCCAACAGAAGCTGCGATTCATTGCACAATATGGCCACAGTTTTCAACGTCCGATTCAACCAACACAATAGGCTATCCACTAGATACTGTTTCTGCTTTCATCCTTGCACCTTCTACAGGACTCAGCACCTCACTCAACGATATACTTCCGATCGGGCAGGCTGGTGAACTTGCAATAGGAGGCCCTCAAGTTGCTAAAGAATACCTCAACCGGCCAGACCTTACAAGTGCATCCTTCGTCGAGCATCCGTATTACGGTCGCCTCTATAGAACTGGTGATCAAGCAAAGATCAACGAACAAGGGTTGTTGGAGTGTCTAGGGCGAGTTGTGGCTGGTCAAGTAAAACTGAGAGGTCAGCGAATTGAGTTGGGTGAAATTGAGCAAGCCATCATGAAGACAAGAGGATGTCGCGCAGTCACTGCAATGGTCATCCAGGAGAATCTAGTCGCTTTCTGCAGTGGAAGGGATGAGATGTCACGCAAAGCTGTGTTGACGACATGTAAGCACTGGTTACCTGCATCTATGATACCGTCGGATGTGTTTGTCATCGACGTAATGCCACAATTACCATCGGGTAAAGTCGATAGAAATTCTCTTGAGAAGGCATATCTGCATCCACACTCCAACGGGTCGTCGTCGTCTCTTGCTATTAGCCTGAAAGACCCAATCAGTCACTCGGTTTGGAGTATCGTCAGCCATCACACCACACAGAATGTCGGATTGGAGACCAACCTTACATTCATCGGACTAGACTCTCTCAAATCGATCCGCATTGCGTCTGCGTTGCGAAGAGAAGGGTACTCGCTGGGAGCGATCGAAATATTATCTGCTGCGACCCTTGCAGACCTCATTGAAGTTTGTAGGAAATCCAAACTGGTGGATTTTCCATCTCATGACAAGGAAACTAAGCCTGAAGCTTTCATTGATACGAAAAACCTTCAACTCAATGGCTGGCGCCACAACGTCGCTTGCATACTTCCATGCACTCCATTGCAGGAAGCCATGCTGGCAGAAACAAGATCGAGGCCCACGGCGTACTGCAACTGGGTCGAGGTCGAGTTCTCAGTTGCTTACACCTATGAACAGATTCAGGATGCTCTGTTATTTCTGGCCCAGGAGAATGAGATACTGCGTACCGGTTTCTGCTTCGATTCTCAGCATACGACAGTGTTTTCACAAATCATCTGGAAGGAGCTCTCGCTTTCTCAAATCCGGAAAGTTGACAGCTTCTCGAATCAATATTCGATGCAATCTGACCATGATTTTCTCCGACCGTTCAGGGTCCAGATCAGGACTCATTGCAAATTCCCTCGCGTGCTCTTCCAAATATATCATGCTCTATATGATGGTTGGTCTTTGGACCTGCTACTCCGTGATCTTGATCATCGTCTTCATGGAAAGCAGGACTTGAAGAGGCCATCATTTCGGGAAGTTGTACGTTTCTTCGAAGATGACCGGCGGCTCAACAAAAACCAAAACTCTACAAATTACTGGAAAAGCCTTCTTGGTGACTATATCCCGGCGACCCTGCCCAACTATCATGGAAAGCTAGTCCATGATGCAAGCATACATCGATTTTCCGGACAATCAAGTGTCAGCCGGCACAAGCTTTCCGAGTGCGCTCACTATTCAGCTGTCAACCCACAAGTCTACTTCCAAGCGGCCACTGCATTCGTGCTCAGTCTTTACAGTGGCTCTAGTGATGTGGTACTAGGCAACGTAACTTCTGGGCGTACAATCCCTGTAGCTGGCATAGAAGACATCATCGGCCCTTGCATCGCTTCCCTCCCATTTCGTATCGATTTCGCAGACACTTATTGCGTTCGAGACATCTTAAAAAGAACTCAATCGATAAACAGAGACAGTCTACATTATAGTCAGCTTCCACTACGTGAGATAGCAAGGGCTGTTAATGTCAAGCCTGGAGCGCGGTTGTTTGAAACTTTGTTTGTATGGCAACAGTCAATGGTCTCGGATGACAACGCATCATTGATCGCCAAGGTTGTCGATAGCGCAGACGAACTGGAGTTCCGAATAACATTGGAGTTCGAACCAGTGGGAGACAATATCTTGTTCCGGAGCACATTCGACGCCACAACTGTATCAGAGCACCAGATTAAGTACCTGTTTCAGCAAATCGAGGAAGTAGTGGAGATGTTCATGGCGGATGCCGATCGTCACGTAAGTACGATCAACCAATGCTTTACCACGCCATCCTTATCTGTTGCCAACCCCACGCCTCTGGAACAGCGCTTTGATCATGGCCCTTCTCATGCTGTAGAGAAATGGGCAGCGACTGATCCACACCGAACAGCTATAATATTCGGCCACGAAGTCAATGGGTCAATGAAGGTCAAAGACACAATGACTTACAGCATATTGAACTCACGTGCTAATCAGTTGGCTCGTGTCCTTGCAGAACATAGTGTGGCAAATGACCAGCTCGTGTGTATTATCATGGAGAAGTCAGTCCATCTCTACACTTCTATCCTCGCTGTACTCAAGCTCGGCTGCGGCTACTTACCGCTCGTTCCCGATACCCCAATCGATAGAGTCAAAACCATCCTGAACGATGCTCGGATTGCGGTGTGCGTTTCAGAGTCGTCACTGTCAGCTACCTTGCGCTCAGATCTCTCGGTTGATGTTATAGACTTCGACCTCGCTGCGCTCTCTGATTACTGCGATCGAAACTTAGAAATACCATACAATGGTCAGCATCTTGCGTACGCGGTCTTCACTTCCGGAAGCACAGGAACACCCAAAGGCGTTCTTGTGACGCAGGATAACCTTATGAGTAACCTACAGTATCTTTCAACTATTTATCCCTTCTCTGCCGACTCGCGTCTGCTACAGGCATGTTCACAAGCTTTTGACGTCAGCGTCTTCGAGATATTCTTCACTTGGTACGTCGGCATATGCCTATGCTCGGCGACAAAAGAACATCTCTTTCGCGACTTTGAAGCTGCCATCGACCAACTGAAAGTTACACATCTTAGTCTTACACCGACGGTTGCTGCGCTAGTGGACCCGAAAAATGTTCCCAAAGTCGAGTTTTTAGTAACAGCCGGAGAGGCTGTGACTGAACATGTGCGCAGGAAATGGGCAGGTCGAGGGTTGTACCAAGGCTACGGACCGTCGGAGACTACAAACATATGCACCGTTAGAGTTGCAGTCACTCCAGATGATCTGATCAACAACATTGGCAGTCCCTTTGCCAACACTTCGGCACTTGTGCTCGATCCCGAAAGTCAAGACATACTTCCACGAGGCGCTGTTGGCGAACTTTGTTTCGGTGGCTCACAGGTGTTCCGCGGTTACCTCAACCAACCAGAACTCAACGCCCAAAAGATCATTCACCATCCCACGTACGGCAGGATATACCGATCTGGCGACATGGGAATACTTCTTCCAGATGACAGCATTCTCTCTACAGGACGCACGGATGATCAAGTGAAAATTCGTGGCCAGCGGGTTGAGCTAGGGGAAGTAACATCTGTCATACTTGACCATGGTGCTGTCTGGGATTGTGTCACCCTCGCCTTAGAACAGACCAACAATTCGAGAACGCTTGTTAGTTTCTGGGTACCAATGGAAGATTCTTCAAGCTACGTCGAAAGTTTAGACCCTTTGAAATTCGCAACTACAATTTCGGAATTATTCAACCTATTATCTCGACGAGTGCCATCCTATATGGTCCCATCTCATCTCATTCCGATATCATGCCTGCCGATGACCCCGCAGGCAAAGATTGACAAACGATTCTTGCAGCGATTGTTCTCCAGTTGTGAGGAACATACCCTGAACAATGCCACACATTCTAATGGTATCACGGAGACAGAAGAGGGAGAGCTATTGTCACAATGGGAGAGGGACGTCTCTCAACTCTTGATTCGAACGCTCGCCACTTCTTCAGATAAACTCAAGCGGACCTCGTCATTCTTCAACCTGGGTCTAGACTCTGTATCAGCTATACGTTTCTGCAGCGAGCTACGAAAGGCAGGGCTTGGTGACTACTCTATATCCGAAGTTCTCAAGCACCCATCCATTGCTAGTTTGGCATCCTTGAAGAAGCCACAATTACCTACAACAACAATGGCCAAGATGCTGTCGATAGACGCATCCAATATATTTACCATGGACCAAATCCAAAGAATTCGCTCGATCGTTGAGAAAAACGGGGTTGGGGTAATGAAAATACTTCCTTGTACGCCACTCCAAGAAGCCATGATATCGAGTGGTCTCTCTTCATCGGGGCAGGCATACTGTAATGTTATGGTTTTCGATATCAAGGGAGATGTGCACCAGCTACAAAGGTGCTGGGAGACTGTGATCCAGCGGCACGAAATTCTTCGAACTTCGTTCGTTGCAACGGAGGATTCATCTTACTCATTTGCCCAAGTCATTGTAGAAGGGTATGACATGGGTTGGCATCAGGAAAGTATGGACATCAACCTCCAATCGCGCATCAGCAAGATCTTGTCCGATCTCATGGAAGCCAACAAACCTCCAGTGTACTTTTCTCTGACCCGAGAAGAAGATTCCACAAAGTTGCTCTTTTGCTGCCATCATGCCCTCTATGATGGTATAGCTATATCTACACTCCTTGCAGAAGTCCAGGAACTATATCATGGCCGCCAGCTACTACCGCCAGTTTCTTACGATATTTACCTGAAGCGCATGCTTGAGCAGAACTTGGATGAGGCCGACAAGTATTGGTCTGCTCTATTGGAAGGTTTTGAGCCCACGTCGTTCCCCACTCTCACTGGGAAGAGAGTCCAAGAGTATGAAGCTTTCGCGTCTTCGTCAAGACGTCTCAACATGTCACTCGACAGCGTGCGGAAAGCATGCCGAGACAGTTCAGTGTCACTTTTGTCCGTTGTACACGCTGCATGGGCAAAACTACTCTACTTTTACACTCATGAAAATGACGTCTGTTTCGGCAACATAGTCAGTGGTCGCAGCTTTCCAGGAGAGGATCTCGAACGCCTGGTCGCACCTTGCTTCAACACTCTGCCAGTCCGTGTCGATTTTGACTTTGGTAAAAGCAATCGCGCCTTGGTGAACCTGATGCACAGCCAAAGCATCGAGTCACTCGCTTACCAATTAACCCCACTCCGTCGAATACAGAAGACTTCACTCAAGGATGGTGGGCGTCTATTTGACTCCCTTGTGATCCTTCAGCACCCCAATGCGCCTTTGGATAACTCCATTTGGAGGCTTGAGCAAGACTCTGGTGACATGGACATACCTATTGTATGCGAAGTCGTTCAGGACCAAGTTGAGGATACTTTACGACTATTGCTGCACTACAACAATTCGCTCATATCCGAACCAGAGGCTTCAATAGTTATGGAGACTTTCGATGCTGCCTTGTCATCTCTCATCAAGTCTCCTGATGAACTCTCTGCTGACACCGACATGTTCCCTACCAACCTCTGGGCGAATTATAACATGAACTCCAAACGTCTCGAAAGTGAGTCTATCTTTCTGCACTCTGGATTTGAGCGCAGGGCATTGTTGCATCCAGATCGCATTGCCCTCGACTTCTGGCATTCCCAAGGGAAGAAGACGACATGGTCTTTCGAGCGACTCAACCAAGAAGCAAATCAGATTGCACACGCGCTCATCAGAGCTGGTGCTAGGCGAGAACAAGTCATACCTATCCACATACCCAAAAGTCCAGTATATTATGCTAGCGTACTGGGAGTACTCAAATCTGGAGCCGCGTTTGCACCTATTCATCCCGATCTGCCCGAAGCACGCAAGCAGTTGATGTTCAAAGATCTGAAACCAAATATCGTTCTTTGCGACGATAGTTCGTTGCTTCCTGAACATATTCCTGGAATAACCGTTCTCAACGCTCAATATCTTTCAAGTGATGATGTTTCCAACCCCGTTATCGAGGACTTGAAAGATACCAACCTGGCTTACTGTCTTTTCACCTCCGGCTCTACAGGTGTCCCAAAAGCTGTCAGCATGGAACACCATGCTCCAATACAGACCGTCGAAAGCTCCAGAACACTCATACCTTGGAACTCCAAATCTCGACTCCTTCAATACGCTGCGATAACTTTCGACATGTGCTACTACGATTGCTTTCTTGCTTGGACCTTTGGCTTTACCCTTTGTGCTGCGGAGCAGAATGACTTACTCAACGATCTTTCGGGAGTGATCAAAACTCTTGAAACTGATCTACTTGACCTCACGCCATCTGTTGCAGAGACTCTGAAGAGGGCTGATGTTCCAAATGTAAAATGGCTTTATTGCATCGGTGAAGCCATGTCTTCATCAGTTGTGAAGGAGTGGGAGGGGGCATGCGTCAATTCGTATGGCCCGACCGAAGCTGCCTTTTGTACGACCATGACTCCCCTCTCTAAAGATGAAAGCACTTCTATTATCGGAAAACCCTTTCCAACAACATCCTTTGCGGTGTTCTCTGAGTGTAGCGAAACTCCATTGCCTGTTTTGAGTATCGGAGAGCTCTACATCGGGGGTGCACAGCTCGCGCGAGGTTATTGGGGCAGGGCCGACCTCACACATGATCGTTTCGCGAGGCGCTGCGGAAAAAGATTCTACAAAAGTGGCGATATGGTACGGATGTTAAGCGATGGCAACTTCGAATTCATAGGACGTCTTGACGATCAGGTCAAGATCCGTGGGCTTCGAGTTGAGCTGGGTGAGATCAATAGTGTTCTTGCAGAGCTTGACTCAGATTTGCTTTCTGTCACGACGCAAATCCTACGGAAAGAAGAATCCTCAAAAGAGCAATTGGTTTCATTCATGGTTCTACGTCAATCGATCCAAGAAAGGGATATCCCCATGCTCCAAGGAAAGTTGAAAAAACTAGCGAGTACTCATCTACCTTCATATATGGTGCCTCAGTTCTTCTTGGCAGTGGACGAGATACCAAGATCCATGGCTGGCAAGATTGACAAGAAGGCTTTGGGGACCATCTTTCAACAATATTCAGATTCTAACGCACTTCCCAATGGGATCTCACATACGACGGAGCACCAGTGGTCCAAGACAAAAAGTGAGGTCCGCAACGTTCTTGCGCGTATATCCAGAACTCCAATGGAAAACATCTCGCCGACAACATCGATATACCAGCTAGGTCTTGACAGCATCAGCGCAGTTCAGATCGCATCTACTCTTCGTTCTCAGGGATACACAATCAAAGCGACAGACGTCCTGAAATATACCTCATGCAATGATCTTGCTGAGCACTTGGACCAGATGTCCACCCCAGAGGTGTCTGAAATTTCACCATTCGATTTCCATGGCTTTGAGAGCAAGCACAGAACACAGATCCTGAGAGATCATGGTATCCAAGATGGAAATGTTGCCGCTGTCCGCCCGTGCACCCCCCTCCAAAACGGGATGGTATCGCAATTCCTTGCAAAGGAGGGGGCTGTTTACATGAACTACCTCAGGTTGCAACTAGAGCCGAAAGTTGACTCAGAGAAGCTAAAAGCAGCATGGTCCTCTACCATGGAACGCCATAGCTTGCTACGTACTGGATTTGCTCATGTTAAAGATCTACTTTTCCCCTTCGCCATGATCGAGTATACCCAGGTTTCGGTCACACTACCATGGAGTGCAACACGAGAGCAAAAGAAATCTCAGTCGTCCGATGCATGGCTTCAGCAAATACGGGACCAGTCACTCAAGGAGCTGTACGTACCTCCTTGGGCGCTACGATTCGTTGAAAGTAATGATCAGTTCTTCCTCGACTTGGCCATTTTTCACGCACTGTTCGATGCGCAAAGCCTCCGAAATATCTTTACCGATGTTACAGCCTTTTACAAGGGTCTAAGCCTACCACCCGTGCCCTCTCTGGACGAAGTTGTGAGTCATGTCATTCAATCTAATAAGCAAGATAACAGCGGCGGAAAGGAGTTCTGGGTTGAACTTGGCAAGACTGCAAATCCATCTCGTTTTCCCAACCTAGCGCCTTTGAAATACTGTCCTGAACCTCCAATCGTATATACCACGCGATCTGCAAAATCACTTGTGGATTTGGAAAATGGATGTCGGCAAGCAAATACCACGATGCCAGCTGTGGGCATGGCGAGCTGGCTATCACTGCTGTCTTCCTATACTGGAGAAAGTTCTGTGACCTGCGGTGTTGTCCTTTCTGGCCGAAATTCCGATGCTACAGCGCACGCCAACTTCCCGTGCATCAATACTGTGCCGTTAGTGCTCACGGTGGCGAATGACACGACAAAGATGCTGGAATCAATCACCGTGTTAAATGCGGGCATCCAGGAACACCAGTTCAAGCCACTTAGAGAAATCCAAACACTAATGGGCTTTCCAAACGAGGCGCTCTTTGATAGCATTTTCGCCTATCAGAAACTGGCAGACGATAAAGATATCTCCGACCTTTGGACTGTTGTAGACGAAAAGGCCACCATCGAGTATCCAATCTCCATCGAGCTGGAACCAAAGGAAGGATGGTTGGAGTACAGACTTACGTACTTTCCACACATAATTCCGAGAGAACAAGCGTCTTTGATTCTTTCACAGCTTGATCACTTGATGGAAAGTTTGATCTTTCCCTCCGAAACTCCTTTGGCTGAGACAGACTACTCCCAGCAGCTATACTCTATCACTCCAGCAAAGGAAGATGAGTTGCCATCGGACATGAAGCTGCTCCATGAACTGGTAGAGAAGACTGCTAAAGAGTACCCTCAACGCATTGCTTTTGAATTTGTGTCAAACGAGAGTAATGGAAAGCGTTCAGTGAGGCAGTGGACATATCACGAACTGGATCAAGAAGGCAACAAGATCGCACAACTGCTGGCGGCTCACCATGTCAAGCAAAACAGCCTTGTTGGTGTGTGCTTCGACAAATGTCCAGAAGCCTCTTTCGCTATGCTTGGAATACTCAAAGCGGGATGCGCTTTTGTTGCCATCGATCCGGGAGCACCTGCCGCGCGTCAGACTTTCATCATTAAGAACTCTGACGCTCAGGCTGTTTTGTCAATGTCATCACAGTCGGCTCAGTTTGAGGCCAGTGCTAAAGTGCTGGTCCTCAACCTCGATGAAGTCGAATGGCGCTCGCTTTCTGGGCAAAAACTGTTACAAAATAGCGCCATTGACCCACAGGACCGCAGCTACTGTTTGTATACGTCTGGAACCACTGGTACACCTAAAGGCTGTGAACTGACTCATGAGAACACTGTCCAAGCCCTGTTGGCCTTCCAGCGTCTTTTCGCGGGGCACTGGGATGTGAACTCGAGGTGGCTCCAATTCGCGTCATTTCACTTTGATGTCTCCGTACTTGAACAGTACTGGAGCTGGTCTGTTGGTATTTGCGTAGTATCCGCACCTCGTGACCTTATCTTTGAAGACCTTGCAAGCTCCATCCGTGATCTCAACATCACCCACATTGACCTCACGCCTAGTCTCGCTCAAATTCTACATCCCGACGACGTACCAAGTCTCTGTAAGGGTGTTTTCATCACCGGCGGCGAGAGTCTAAAGCAAGAGATTTTGGATGTTTGGGGTCCTAAAGGCGTCATCTACAATGGATACGGGCCGACCGAGGCCACGATAGGATGCACCATGTACCCACGCGTTCCAGCAAACGGGAAACCCTCCAATATCGGCCCGCAATTCGACAATGTTGGGTCACTGGTCCTCCGTCCGGGCTCTGACGTTCCAGTCTTGAGAGGTGGTATCGGTGAACTTTGCGTCTCGGGAAAACTCGTTGGAAAAGGCTATCTCAATCGTCCAGATTTGACTGCAGAGCGCTTCCCATATCTCGACCGCTTCTCTCAACGCGTATACCGCACGGGAGATGTCGTTAGAATTCTTCATGATGGTACATTCCACTTTTTGGGTCGTGCCGATGACCAAGTCAAGTTGCGTGGCCAGCGTTTGGAAGTCGCTGAGATCAATTCTGTGATTAAACAGTCTGACAGCGATATTTCGGATGTCGCAACGCTTGTGTTGAAGCATCCGAAGCAACAGAAAGAGCAACTTATTTCCTTTATTGTGTGCAGCAAAGCTCTGAAGGCTCAACCAGAAGTCTTGTTCGGCGAGGTTCGAGGAACAGCAAGCGCGAAGCAGGCTTGTAACGACAAACTTCCACCTTACATGATACCCACCCATTTTGTCCCGCTTGCTTCCATGCCACTCAATGTCAACAACAAGGCAAATGGCAAGGCACTTAAGAAGATGTATGAGGCTCTTTCTTCTAGCGACCTTCAAAAGCTGTCTGCCGCTTCCTTGTCTGGAGACGAACAATGGTCGAAACAAGAGGAGAAACTCCGCGATGTCATGCTTGAAGCCCTTGGCGCGGATCATGAGAGCATATTCAAAAACACAAGCTTTTATGAGTTGGGCATGGACTCTATCTCCGTTATAGGCGTCACACGATCTTTGAAACAGGCTGGTTTCACGAAAGTCACTACCTCAATGATACTGCAATGCCCTACAATTCAGCGGCTTGCAAAATCTCTGGCAGCCAATAGTGCTACGAGCAAAGTTCATGGATCAATTCTCGCAGCACAGCAGTCTATCAATGCTGTAAATCATCGCCATCGACGCAAAGTTGCTAACCGCTTGTCTGTCGAACCCAGCATGATCGAAGCTGTTGCACCATGTACACCGCTACAGCAGGGCATGATTGCAAGATCCATGGAACATGACAACGGGCTTTACTTCAATACTTTCCAGTTCAAATTGAACATGAATGTTAATGAAGAGAAGCTGCAAAATGCATGGGCATCAATGTATAACTCGACCCAAATACTACGTACGGTGTTCGTAAATACCGAAGAAGGCTATGTGCAAGCAGTTCTCAACAGCATTCCTTTCAACGGGCTTATCCAAACATTGGCTGAAGATGATGAACTCGCCGATCACATGGCTCAATTACGGAAGGATTGGCTCAGCCTCAACGATGTTGACTTTCAACAACCATTCCAGGTGCATCTTGTTTCGACGCAGAAGCAGAAGTTACTCATTATGCACATATTCCATGGCCTCTATGACGGTAATAGCATTGGTCACTTACTGAAAGGTGTATGGGATTCGTACAACGGATGGGATTCGATGTCAGCTGCGCCATCGTTCCACACTGCTCTTGCCCACGGTCCACTGAGAATGCCCAACGACGCGAAAAGTTTCTGGAAGAACAAGATACTAGCCAGGACTTCATCTCTCCCCACGCTGCGCGACAATTCAGGTCAAGACGCTGTTGTTATCGCACGTACAACACATGCATCCTCCAATTTTGACCTCATCAGACGACAACTCAATGTCACGGCGCAAGCTGTTGTACAAGCTTGTTGGTTTAGCGTCCTTCACAGGCATGTAAAAGGAAATATGGCAACCGGCATAATCGTATCTGGTCGCAGCATCGAACTTGAAGACGCGGATCGTGTCATAGGACCTATGTTCAACACTATTCCTTATCACCAGCGGGCTCAGCGCAGCGAGTCCTGGTCGTCAATCATCAAGAGGGTACACGATTTCAATGTCGAAGCTCACCCATTTCAACATACGCCACTGAGAGATATTATGAAGTGGTGCAAGAGGCCTCCAAGCCATCCGCTATTTGAGAATCTCTTTGTGTATCAAGTTGCACAAGACAATGAGGACTGGGCAAGAAACGACGTTTGGGAACTCTTGGACGATGAGGCCGTTGCCGATTATCCGTTAGCTTTTGAGGTCGAGCATCGAGGTGACAACGAGTTGAAGTTGACATTGGTTGCACAAGGGCATGTCGCGAATGACCAGATTGCAGCTGAATTATTGGATATGTTTGAAGAAGCGCTAGACCAAGCCATCAATGACCCATCAGCTATTCTCGAGCTGCCAGTCGATATGGATGGTGCAGTTGAGAACAATACTGCCATTCGATCTCACCTGGATGACAACAACGATATCTCGGATTTTGAATGGAGTGACAACGCCATCGCAATTCGCGAAGAGATTGCCAATTTAACCGCAAACGAGATGGAAAGCATCAGTGAAACGACATCGATCTTCGCACTTGGCCTTGATAGTATCGATGCAATCAAGCTCTCGTCAAAGCTCAAGAAACGAGGAATGGAACTCTCAGTCAGCGGTATCATGCGCGGATTGACTATTGAGAAGATGGTACAAAATATGTCGATGAAGAACACTCAAGCTACAGAAGCGACATCGCACTTTGATCTGGATGCCTACAAAACGAAGCTAGCAAAGTATCTCGACCACCAAGGATCCAGCACCAACGACATTGAGGAAGTGCTTCCTCTAACACCGCTCCAGGAAGCTATGGTTGCTGAGATGATCGCATCCAAGTATACAAGGTACTACAACCATGACGTGCTGAAGCTCAGCCCAGATACAGACATAAGCAAGTTTCACAAAGCCTGGACAACAGTCGTCATGGGTTCACCAATTTTACGTACTGGTTTCGTTGAGGTGGACAATCCGGACATCGATCTCTCTTTCGCGCAGGTCATCCACCATCAACCACAGGACTTTTACTCACACATGAGTTCTGACAGCACACCGGACTTTATATCTATCTTCAGGGATCTCCGAAACGACGCGGTTCAAAGACCACTTTCAACGCCACCCTTTCATCTTACATTCATTGACACGCCTGGTCAATCGTATCTTGTGTTATCAATCGCGCATGCGTTGTATGATGGATGGTCTCTGGGCTTGTTGCATTCTGACATGCACAGAGCTTACCAGGATGAATTTCAAGCTCGGCCCTCCTACCAGCCGTCATTAGCAGAGATCATCAAAACCTCAGGACCCGATGCCGCAGGCTTCTGGCAGGACTACCTCTCTGGCGCTAACGGTAACACTTTCCCGTGTCGAACACTAGGACCCGATGAGAAGAGCAGCATCGTTCATCGCCATCAAGAAAATAGTAAAATTGTGCTGGAAAGCATCCAGTCATTTGCTAGGAAGAACAATGTTTCGCTTCAGACTGTGGGACAAACAGTCTTTGCTCTCGTCACTGCATCCTTTACCCGCTCTCTCGATGTTACTTTTGGCTCTGTGCTTTCCGGACGCGACGACGAGGAAACATCCCAGCTGATGTTTCCGACTATGAATACAGTGGCTATAAGAACCATTCTTCACGGAACAAGTGTTGAATTGTTACAATATGTTCAAGACAACTTTGCGAATATCAAGCAGTGGCAACATTACCCGCTTCGAAAGGCCATGTCGCAGGCTAGGGTAGACGGAAAATTGTTTAACAGCCTGTTCGTTTATCAAAAAAGCTTGGAACGAGAGCAGGATGAGGGTGAGAAGCTGTACACCAGTGTTGAGGGCCATAGTGACGTCGAGTATCCTGTTTGTGTCGAGATGGAGGTAGTGAACAATACTTTAGTATGGCGTTGCGCAGTCAAAAATGATGTTTTTGATTTTGAAGGAACAAAGCAGTTGCTGAAGAGGATGGATGATGTGCTGATACACTTGATGGAGCGGGCAGAGGCACCGGTGATTGAGATGACCGCAGAAGGAACGTCGGTCTGCAGTCTGCCAGCTTTCAAAGAAGCTGAGATTCAGACTGAAAGCGTTCGTGTGGAATTTGGAGAAGACGACGGACAGGACGCACCAAGCACAGAAACAGCTAACAAGATCCGCAAAATACTGGCTGCAGTTTCGAAGACACCTGAGGAGGAGATGACCAACGAAATGACCATATTCCACATGGGACTGGACTCGATCAGCGCAATCAAAGTATCATCACTTCTTCGCAAACAGGAGATTGTCCTCAGTGTTGGGGAGATGCTGCAAGCTGGTTCGGTGAAGAAGATGGCCAAGCTTGTCGATGCTCGTGCTACCGAACCGTCCAGAGATGGCAAGAATGATATCTCAAGTCACGAAGAGACACTGAAAGACTTCAATCAAGCGAAATTTTTTGAACGAGCCGGCGTAGATGCGGACAATGTCGTCCAGGTTTTGCCAGTCACTGCTGGTCAGCTTTACATGCTGTCCATGTGGCTCAACACCAACGGCAGCAATTTCTATCCAGAGTTTAGCTACGAGCTCAAGGGGGATATGGCATTTGGAGGTCTGCAAAAGGCATGGCAGGATTTGGTGACGATGAATCCAATACTCAGGACATGCTTCGTCTCTGCTGACGACCGTCGGGTATCCTACGTCCAGCTTGAGTTGAGAAATGTCGATAGCGCGATAATAGATGTTACTGGATACGGAGAAGATGAGATACGCGACCACATTCAACACGCTGCAACTCACCAGCCATGGGCAAGGCTGCTGGTTTCCCAGAACTCCCACGGCTGGACTCTGCGACTCAAAATACACCACGCACTCTACGACGGCATCAGTCTACCACTGCTGATACAACAATTTGAAGACCTCTGCAACGGCAGCGTCCCTACTGTTCCTCAAAACAATATCTTAGCCGACTTCATATCCAGCACACCCTCGCTCTTCTCTTCTCCACAGCGCGGCCAATTCTGGGAAACCCATCTCTCCAATACCCACCCAATACACCTAAAGCAGCCCTCCTACACACCCACCACCCGCCTAGAAATCTTCCACCCGTCCCTAACCCCCATACAAGCCCTCGATACCACCGCCCGCCACCACGGCATCTCCCTGCACGCCCTCTTCCTCGCTATCTACGCAAAACTCCACGCCCGCCTCACCCACAGCACCACCGTCGACGACATAGTCCTAGGCATCTACCTGGCCAACCGCTCTCTATCATGTACCCTTGACCTCCCCACCGCCGCAATCCCAACACTCAACCTCGTTCCGTTACGCATCTCAACACCGCGATCCCGCAGCGTAGTAGAGTCAGCCAAGGAAATCCAAGCGCATCTGCGTCATCTTAGCGATGCTGCAGTCGCGACTACGAGTTTATTGGAGATAGAAGAGTGGACTGGTGTAAAGATTGATGTCTTTGTCAACTTTCTGGTCAATCTAGACGATACGGAGAATTCCCCGAAACAGGGAGATCGAGGTGTCAAAGTTACGACGCCTACGGTACAACAGGAGTACCGCACACCATTTTCGCGTACATCGCCTGTTGTCCGTCCTGAACTGGTTATCGAAGAGTTAAGAGACGAGCGTGTGAATGGCGTATATTTGGTATGTTTATCCCCTCATCTCATATCTTCATACCAGTATTTTTTTGCTAATACGATACATAGCATGCCATTGATATTGAAGCTACGGTGCGAGAGGGACACTTGGATGTTGGGATTTTTGCACCAGGGGATATGATTAGTTTGGAGCAAGGAGAGGAATTGATAGATGTGTTGAAGAGGGAGGTTGAGGGGTTATCATAGATTTCTTGTTTTTTTTTTCGTTTGTTAGTTAGGTAGGATTGAATATTGGAGTTTCGGGTTGGGATGAGGCGTATTGGTTTGTCGTTTAATGCTATGTCCTGATTTCTTTCAACAAAAGTAATCAACATGTTTTCATAATAATTCAAATGTATTACATGGATTTCATAAGTAATTGTACATGCCATTACTAACCAGACGCCTCGCTACCATCATTATGGTCATTACTAATTATACAAATACCCCAGGGTATATCTCGATAGAAAAAGAACCCCTCAATTAAACCAATTAAACCACATCAATATTATACACCCCACTCACTCTTTCAATCACTCCACACCCAGTTCTAAACCATATGCTCGCCCCTCGAACCATGGCCTACACTCGCGCCATGACCTACATTCGCACCATGGCCAACAGGCTTCCTATTCACGTGCGAACCAGCGGGACCCTCAGCCTGGGGCATCATGGTACCCCTAGGACCATCAGCAGCATCAAAGGGCGCACCACCCCAGCTACCTGCATCATGGGTGCCCCAACCAGCCTTGCGGGTGAAGACGGCGTCATGGAAGCCATCAAATGAGCTGGGGCCAGCGCCGTAGACAAAGGGGGCGTGGCGCATGAGGGGAATGTGGTTGAAGCGGAAGTCCCAGATCGAGGCGTAGGTCATGCGGTAGGCGCTGAATGCCATCATGGTGCCGATTACTGCGCCGGCTAGGACGTCGTACTATTGTATCGTGTTAGTTTCGAGTATATCGGGCTTATACATTTGATAGAAGAACTTACCCAGTTGTGGTATTCATCAATGGTAAGAGCACCTCCAATGAGACAAGCGCCGAGAATGGGTGCGTAGAGAGCAACCAATTTCCACATTGCGGGGTGGTGGTTGGAAAAGACCTTGAGCTTTGCGTTGAGGTAGAGGTAGAGGAAGACGAAACCGGCAAAGGCAGCAGTTGTGTGACCGGATGGCATGGACTCCAAACTGTCGTTGATTTCGTTCATATCACCCGTGCAGATGCTCTTGTCAAACATGATTTGACGGTATCCATTGGCGACGTTGCCGTTGCCGCTGCCGGACTCAATACTGTTGTCGGCAGCACCAACGCTGGAACGAAGGTTTTCAGGAATAACGGGCTTGCAGACGGCGAGGAAGTGAGGGCGGAGACCACCAATGAGCCATTTGATAAAGACCTGGAAGACTGCGGCGGTAATGAGAGAGTATAGAAGGCCGACGGTGGCGTTGTTGACGTCCCAGAAGCTGCGGGCGCGGATCTGCACGATCAAGAAGACGGCAAAGGGGATGAAAAAAGCCATGAGGGCGGCGGCCCAGATGGGGATGATTTCGTTGCGCAGGGGGTAGGCAAACTCTGGGTAGACAATCTCACCATCTTGGAAGACAACTGGAGCGTGTTAGATGGCGATGGTTTGTGTGCTGGATAGAATACGTACTGGGAAAGCTGCGGCTAGGGGCTGGATCAGCCATGTAGACACCCAGGCCAATGGCACCCATGGCGGCCATAGTGATGATGTCGAGCCAAGTAGCCTTGAGCCATTGTCCGAAGCTTGGTCTGGAGTTGTACGATGATGAGTGAGACTTGGACTGACGCCTTGGTCTCTTTTCCCTGTGCGAGCCAGTCGCAGTGGTTGTGTCGGCAGCGACAGGTGTCGTGTTTCGCTTGTTGAACAGGCCCATGGTGTTGGTTGTGGCTGTCTGGCGAGGCAAGTCTCCCGAGTGGTGAATGACGTATGGGCACTCCAACCGCCTGATTGTACAGGCGAGTACAACGAAAGAAGAAGAGAGAAGGTTGGTGAGTAGTAAACTCACAAGCAGCGGCTCATTGCTTATATTTGCACACTGTTGCTTTCCTGCCTAAAGGGTTGCAAGCAAAAGTCGTCACTCAGCATCATCTTCGTCGCACAGGCATACCACCAGGCTGGTTCGCAGCAACAAAACCTGCTTTCTGGCCAACTTTGTTACAGTCCAGGCCTATGCAAAGCGCAGACAGAGAACGAAATAATAGTCGATCTTATCCTGACCAAGCAAGTTGGCAAAAGCTTGGTTTGCAAAGCAGAAGCTTGGCAGGCCTGTTTGTGGCTTCTGTGTGGCTGGTGAGGCACGCGATGATGGCATCTGTGGCTCCTCAGTGCCGTGTAGCCACTAGGACATGTATTACTTTGGTTGTTTTGGCCATGCGCTGACGCTATGACGGGTTTAATGTGCCGAATGCTGGGGATTGATGGAGAGAGAGAGTTTGTGTGTCCGCGGTGTGATGATGCAAGACGCAGAGGGCGTGACGTCACAGGGTACCAGATTACGACCGAGCTGTGAATGAACGTGTAGTCACGAGACATACTTTCATGCAAGTCAATCTCTTCTTTTGTTTCAAATGCCCCGATGCATTTTTACAAAAAGTTCTGCATGCTTTACGTTCCGCTAAGAAAAATGGATATTCGACAGCCTGACAAACAGTACACCTCAATTCTAGCATAACAACAGAAAACGCATCAATCAATGGGTATCTCATCCTCTTTCCCCTCCTACTCGTCCCCCTTCTCCTTCATTCATCCCAACCGTCTAAGAATGGATATGCACCTCAGTGCTGCCACTGCGATGCCATGTCGCGAGCAAGACACCGCAACGGCCACACTTGTGCTGGACGTCCTTTGTCGAGCTCATGACGTAGGGAATGCAGCCCAAGCAGCACAAGCAGCAGAGACCAAAGGCCCAGGCATGCGTCGTGTTGCCCGTCTCAAATGAGACATTTGTGAGGGAGCGCTGGCCGCATGCAGGGCAGTCTGCGGGCGCGGGACCCCGCTGCAGATTGGCAATGGGTGTCGCGTTCTGGTACTGTGTGCCGGGCATTTGCTGGGGTGGCATGCCTGGAGCTGAACCGGCGACGCTGGCATCTGGGTACGGGTATGTGGCTTGTGGGGGTGGCTGCGAGTATTGGTGCGCGTTTGGATCTTGTGCGTAGACGGGCGGCTGTGGCTGGCCTGTGGCTTCAGGCGACTGGGGATAGGCTTGCATGGGTACTGTTTTGGCGGTTATTTAAACGTCCATACATGCATCGTGAACGTGGTACGGTAACAGAGCACAGTACAGCACAGCGCATATTATTGTGCTGCAGTGTAACAACTGCTCCGCATCCAAGCCCACAGGTACAACGCTTCTCAACACTTACCACCTGGCTTCTCCATGGTTTCAATATGTAGCTTCGAATGGGCGGTGCAAAAGGTATTAGTTGGCAGCGACAAGTCTTCAAGGTAGTACAGAACGCGTCAAGAGCAAACGAGGGCCAGCGCCTAAGTTTATTTAAACCCTTCAGGCGCACCGTCGTCGCTTAGATTCTATCATTCACAGCACGGGGGCCTAAACTTGGGGGGCGCCAGGCGTACTCTCGTTAGCACAGCCTCGACTAGTGCATCACCATCATTCGCCCATTGCGCGCGCGCTGGCCCCCATTCAAACCCTCCACCCGCCCAATGGGCCATTTCCCCCCACCCTAGTCATCTAAAAACCGCCGGGTCGAAGCACCTAAGCCTCAATTCATCTTGTGGCTGATGTTCTTTTCGAGACAAGGCGGGTTAATAGCGCAGCAGGGTCTGGCGAGGGCGGAAAGGCCCCAAGCCTAATTTCCATATGTCGTTCCATGGCACTAGCATCGGATATAACTAAAGGGGCCAGAGACATCCTCCTGTTAGTCCCGTCCCGGATACCAGCACTCGCAAGCCATTGTAATCTCTGCCTTGTATCGTCACGTTTCTTTGCCTCAACTCCGGGTCGAGCAACCATGGCATTAGACATTATGTACTGCGCAGCGCTGTGCTGCGGCGTGGTTGCGATCGACACACGTGTACCTACTTTTTATCTTAGCGCATTTCCTCCGACAGCATGAAACCGTGTCAACCGTGGGCCGGTTCCTGCAGCCATCTATTCTCGATGGCATAGCGCCTCTGGTAATTAGCGTCCGTCAGACGCTCGTCAATATGAAGCCGGTGACCTGGCAGTCCGGCTTCGTGTTGCTGGTTGTGTGTGCCGCTCAGTAGCGCGTATCCATGTCGTCCAGGTCGACGTCGTCTTCTGACTCTTCACCTGCATCGCCTCTGGTGTCTTTGGTGGGCCCAGAATCTGTCCCGTGCAACATCTTGTGCTGCTCTGGGGTCAGGTCAACAATGGTCGGCGCATAGTCGCCCACCTCGTCCTCTGCATCTGCACCATTGACTTCTAGTTCCACGCGCTCTCCGTCCTCCAACTCCAACATGCCCCGCTTCAGATACGATCCTTCGGGCTGCCATCCAAATTCCTTCTCCATATACTCCTGCAGGTCGTCTACCTCGTCCACCATATCGGCTTTCCACTTGCCATCAAAGTCTTGAAGACCTCTTCGGAACTGGCCTAGCAGTGGTCGCAAGAATCCCCCGCCAGCATCATTCATGTCGAATAAATCTCCCTCGGCGTCTGCACAGTGGCCAAGCTGGATGCGCAGACACTTGAAAAGGTCCAAGAAAAGATGAGAACGCTCCTTGACTGCTTGCCGACAGGTGAGTAGCAGTCGCAGCAGTCGCCTCCACTGTTCGAGGCAAGAATTGTTGTTGAGCGTCAGGACCATGAGAAAGGCAAACTGCAGCTCACCCAGAATCTCATTCTCCCGGCCCTGCTCATCTCCTGCCTGGCAGTGTTTGTCGATGAGGTCGCCTAGGAACCAGGACCGGTCCTGTGCAGCCTCTGTCCGTTCCCTGCCAGTCGCTCCTTCTCTCCACGTTTTCTTCAAATCAATTGGCAGGAACCTCAGCTCCTTCTCCGGGCGCAACATGCTATTGCTCGATTCCAGGCCCGGTATGTCATCCAGGTCCTGCGAGGCCGACGAGGCAGATGTCAAGTTCCAGTGGTCGGGATTCAGGCCGCATATCCTCGACAGTATTGTAGGCGTGATGTGTGTGGTGAGCTTACTCCAGTCGGTACACTCTTCCTTCCAGCCATCTTCAGTGCCCGAGTCGCCTTCCTGCACGGTTTGCCGATAGGGTGTCAGGCCGTCTTTCCATATGCTGCCGAGGTTGGCCTTGTGCTTGAGAACCTCAGTCTGCGATGTTTCCGCCACCAGATCCTCAGTGCTTTGATCCCATTTCTTGACAAAAACCTGTGGCGAGCCCATGCCAGGCGTGACATAAAACCATGCGCCGTGCCTCACTGACATGGCGCCATCAATGGCGGCAAAGACGAAGTGCAGACCATGGGGGATATTCCGGACGCCTCGGAAGCGCGGTGACGATGTAAAGGATAGCAGGTCGATGCCGGCGAGGGCTTTTGGTGGCAGGTCTAACAATAGCACGCAATTATTGATAGTAGACGGGCCCATGCTGGGGCGGAAGAGTTCGTCGAACCAGGTATTTCGCAGGATCTTGAGAAGAGGCTGTTCGCAAAGCTCGACATGAGCCGGGGAGAAATGGGGTATCATAAGTTCTGGGCAGGGTCCAGAAATGGTTTGGAGAAAAAAACACGTGAACACGCGCGCGGTACTAGTCCAATCCAGGGTCCAGTCCAATCAAATATTTGGCAAAGGAGCGTGTGAGATATGGGCGCGAGACGACAAAATCATAGACAAGAAGAATAAGAACAAGAATGAGAGGAAAACGACGATTGCGTCCGCACCTACTTAGAGCAGAGTGCCTAGACGCAGACAGGCATGCAACCAAGTAGCGCTCGAACGACTTGGGGGGTGCAATGCGACCGATATCTGACCGACACCATACGCCATACGTCATGCAGTCCGTATAGAGTTTGGCTGGACCATGTGCTGCCGGGCTTGATAGCCGTGAACAGAGAGAGTATCGGCATCTTGCTCACCGTCTTGCTGGTGTTGTGGATTCTCTCTGTCGACGCACGTCATCTGCACATATCGCATGGTATGTACATGTGTAGTATGTATGGGGCGGTGTCGGCTGTCTTTGCTGTACTCTCTCCTACCACTGTACCCCACCCAACCCTCTGCTGATACGAGACATCACGCAACAAGCTAACACCACCAGCACACACACACACACACGTACTGAAACAAGGTGCACACGCAGATTTTGGCTTTGGCAGGTCGATAATACTACGGTAGATATTGCATACGCCGTCAGCCTCTCCGCTGCCGATCATAGGGTCTAGCCCACTGCACCGTCCCTGCAGCTTGGTGCCTCCCGGCCCTTTCTCTCCACCCGCCCATTGCTTCTTGCGGCAACGCACCTATTCAAACTATTCCAACACACCCAAACACACTCGTTGTACAACCAGCGCACCCTGTGTCACTGCCCGCCATGGACCGCCGCCGCACCCCAGGCCTGTCGTCCCTCTCCTCGCGCGGCTTGCAAAACCACCACTACACCAATCACGGCGCCACCCTCCGCACCCGCAACGCCGACTCGCTCTCCACCCAGCTCTCCGTCTTCCAATCCCTCCTCCACAACTTCGCAATCACACACTCCAAAGACATCCGCGCAAACCCCGCCTTCCGCGCCGAATTCGCCCGCATGTGCTCAGCCCTCAACATCGACTTCCTCGCCTCCTCGTACCACAAAGACACAGCGGCTAGCACCTCTAAAGACGCCAGTAATACCGCCAGCGGCGAAAGTATCTGGACGCAGCTGCTCGGTCCCAACCTCAACGACTTCTACTTCAACCTCGGCGTCCAGATCGTAGAGGAATGCCGCGCCACCCGCGCTGAAAACGGCGGCCTAATCTCCCTGTCGGATCTGCAGGCTCGCCTCTCCAAATCCACCCGCATAGGCGGCAGCATGACCGTTTCCGACGACGACATTAAGCGTGCTGTTGATGCCCTTGCGCCGCTGGGGTCGTGCTTTTCTATTGTCAAAATCGGGCATCGCAGTTTGATTCGGAGTGTGCCCAAGGAACTCAATGTGGATCAAAGTACCGTTCTCGAGGCTATACAGCTGCTGGGCTACGTTACGCTGTCTATGCTGCAGGTGAATTTGAATTGGGAGAGACCCAGGGCTCATGCTGTTATCGAAGATCTCATGGCAGATAGTCTAGTGTGGGTGGATACTCAGGCGGGCGAGAACGAGTACTGGAGTCCTGCGTTCCTGACTATGGGGGGGTCCAAGTCGGATGTGGGTGCGTAGACTGTGTTTTGGGATTAGCACTGGAGATTCAAACGGTGTAAGGAAGGAGCGAATGATACCCGGCCTCATAGCCACTTACGATACATACATGCAAATAGACGGATTCACGATAACTTTGTACACATAGAAAAAATATATATATCATAAGCGCACATGTCTTGACTTCTATATACACATACAAATACAAACACACATTCTTCATCCCTCTCATCACCAAAGCACCTCTGCATTACACATCCTCACCTCCTCGTTATCCTTCCACGACGTGTCTCCACCACTGGGCTCAGGAAACACTTTACGATGCCACCGCATACACCACCTGCGTGCACTATGCTCATCCTCAAAGTCCAGCACCCACCGGTTATACACGCGGTTCATCGCCTCTTGATTCATCTGCGCCGCCGATCGGTCCTCTTCCGCGCTACCCATTATGCTCTGAATCTCCGGGTCATCATAGGTCATTTCCATCGAAGAAGAAGAAGAAGAAGAAGAAGAAGAAGAAGAAGACGACGACGACGCGGCATTCGTAAGCGGAGAAACAGAGTGATCAAACGTGCCGTATGCGCGAGGCCGGCTCGACGAAATGAGCTTGCCCGACATCTTGAGATTGATCATGTCGCGCAGCCGGTGGATCGACGACTGCGACTCGTTTCGCAGCGGCACCAGGCTTCCCTGTTTGTATGCGTCGGTGCAAATGGCAATGTATATGTCGGATGCAGACGGTTCGTAGCCTTCAATGTGCAGGAGCACCCGCCAGATGCGATTGCCCTTTTCATCCACACCTGGCGCAATCGGCTGGTACCCGCCCCGCTCAATCAACAACCGTAGAGCAGGGTTGTATGGCTGCATGAGCACGTTCAGACTCATCGCATGATCCTTGGGCAGCAGGTTGTACGAAGCTACTGCAGCACCAATGTCTTCGCCGTCCTCGAGAAATCCCTTGGGCGGAGGAATAGCGGATAGGATGCTCGAAGGCTGGTAACGGGCGCTGAGCTTGTGCAGTCTCGAAGCATTCTTCTGGTATGCCAACGCTGCCTCCGTGTTCTTGAACAAAAGATAGTAAAAAGGCAAACGTTCCAGACTCACAGGGTCTCGTCCAGGAATGACCTTGTAAAAGTCGCTGTCTTGCCGCCATCCCTCCAGGTGTTTGCCCTTGGGAATGATGCGACGAAAGTCGGCTTCGGTCAATCCAGTGCTGCAGTTGGTCAGCTGGAGCACAGCAATCTGCTCCCTATGTTGCTGAAACGGTTCCGTTGCCCGCTTTTCTACCCTCCGTGGCCCACCCACAGGCTCTGGGCGGATAATGGACTTGGGTAGCTCCAGTCTAGGATATTGATCTCTGCTTTTTTTCGTCGGCCGAGGCGGTGGAGCACTGTTCGCTTCTGGGAAGAGCTCTTCGAGGAGCGACTGTTCACTAACTTCTTCACTGGGCAGACTGGACGGCAACAACTTGGATGAATCGTCAAATGACACGTCCTGCTTGGCCTCTGGACCCTCTTCAGCCTTAGCCGCCTCACGACTGCCATTCTCGCTATCCACCCTCAAGTCTGTAGACGATGTCATCGAGCGCGACTGTGTATGAATCTGGCGCATCAGCCTCTTTCCATCATCTGTGCCATCGACAACATGAGCCTTTACTTCCTTGTCAAGACCAGTTGAGGCCGAGTCGGCTGTCGTGGCGTGCAGCAGATTCCCCTTAGGAAGCATTGACAAGAACTCATTCTCCAACTCCCTCATTGCTATATCACTTTTTCCCATCATGACGAATGCAGAGTTTCTCTCGAGCCTCAAGATCAAGCTGATGGGTGTCGTCCGACCAGGTCGCCTCGCTCTCGCTAGCACATTCCGTGCAGCGCAAACTTCTCCAAGTGCTCTCAATAAGCGACGGTCTACTTCTTGATATGCCCGATCGGCCATTGCCTCGATGTGCTTGCAGAAATTGCTCGCAACTAAAGTGAGTATTGGAGACTCCTGCTTTTCCAGCTCTTTGCCTATTTTTTGGATGCACTTAGCTGACTTAACACGATGGCGATGGCAGGCTTCCACGAGGAGAGCAATGGGATCACCAAGCAACTGCGTCTTAGCGTATTTGGCAATATCGCTGGCCACTAAAGAGTTGACTTGGCTGAGGGCTTCACTCGAGGACTTGGACAGTTTCCAGGCAAGCCAGTCCATTAGGCTCTGGTATTTCGCACACGTGTGACTGACCAACGGATCGTCATCCAACATGGCAAGTCGTTGAGTGGTAAGAAAGCGACGTAGAATGGAGGGAGCTATGGGTGTAATTAGGTCGGAACGATGCTTTGCAAGAACCCGAGCTGCTCTAAGACATTCTAAGACAGAGAGTTCATAAGCAACTCGGGCGGCACACAGAAGACTATTAATCTCACTGGAGGTTATTCTGTAAGAGGGGAGGATACTCTGCCCAGCCTGTGTTCGGGGAGCCGGGTCTAGACTCTGCGTTTTGGGTTGCGTTGCTTGTAGTTTCTTCACGGGCGAAGCTCTTACTGCAGCAAATGTAGGCGAAGACGACGACGACGACTGCCCTTTCGTAGGTTTTGCTTCGAGGTGGGCTTGCAGTGCCTTGATCTGTTCAGAAAGCTGTTGAATTTGCTGCCGCATGGCTGCAACATCAGTCTGCTGGGCAGTCGAAACATGGCCCTGTCTCCGCTTCGCAGATTTCCTCTCTTTGCGACGAGTTCCCAAATGGTTCCCGGTTGCTGTGAAACGAACAAATCCATGTGCAGGGTCTTGTTCGTCTTGGTCTGTTACTTCGTTTGCTTCATGAAGGTGAGCTTTAGAGCGTCCTGGGTCCTTGGCATGAGGAGGAGGCGGTGGTGGAGGTTCCGACTTGGGCTCAGTGGATGTGGAGGGATCAATGTGAGCCCCCCAGGAAGCAACATGGTTCAATGCCTTTTTCCACCAGGGCTTCTCCTCGACTGGGTCATCTCTGGGCGAGTCAATTGGGCGGGATGAAGCACTGCCCTCGTTGTTGTCGCCTTTAGCAGTGCGTGTCTGCGGGGTGTCATTGCCGGCGGTCGAGAGTCTGGCGCGGGTGGTGGCATGGACGCCGCGAACCTGCTTCGCGGTCACTGGGAGGTGACATGGCCGCAGATGTCGAGAGAGGCGCGGCGGTGGCATCAATTGCGCGGCTTGGTCACATTGCACAGCTGCGATTCTTGGGCCTGCCGTCGATACTGAAAAGCTGCAGAAGGCATACGGCGCTAATTGTCCAATCCGGCCTAGCTCGCCCGTCGCTTAGTCACTCCATTTCCCTAACCACCACAGTCGGTTGCAGCCCAAAAGGGAAATTAGGCGAGCGTCGCATGGTTGACCTGCTCACGACTTCTGCGGCGAAAAAAATCCTCGTGAGCACATGCAGTAGACGCATCATGCGAGTCACATGCGTACAAGAATTCATTCCTCCTCAGATACGCACCCCTTCATAAATCTCCCCTCATTACGTGCGCACAGGAAAAAGCAATATGAGTCCGGCTGCTACTTATACCCTGCGCCCGCTGGAGCGCAATCCGCCTAGCATTCCTACCAATGCGCTCGAGGGCGGTGCGTTTCGCGTCCATCTGTCGGCTAAAGAACTCAAGGCTCTCGGGCTCAGCAATGGCGACTGCGTCCGGCTTAGCACTGCAGTAGGCTTCAGAGGCTACGCTGTTGCATGGCTCGCCTCGCAGACCAACGCTGGGAACAAACCAATTGCCAAAGTGACCGATCTTTTACGGGAGCACTATGACCTCGCGCTCAACGACCCCGTTTTCATTGAAAAGGCCGACTCCTGGAAACCTCTCAAGTCAATCGAGATTAGCATTTCCGATTCACCAACTCAGACTGCCAAGTTTGCCTCGGGCGAGCAACTTTTATATTGGCTTCGCCATGCACTGGGTAAATATGCAAATGTTCGTCTTGCATCTGCGCCTCTAACTCTTGTGCAGCAGCAGACACAGACATTCTCCTGCCGGGATGCAGTTTTCCAATTCAGCAAAAGAGCTTTAGGCAAAAAGGTCAAAAGGTCCGGGTCACAGTGCAAAGTATTGACCCACTTCCGACCGAGAAACATGCCGTATATTTTGATGAGACTGCTACTCACATCACCACTGTGGGTGATTTCACGCCTGAAAAGTCACCCCCAAAGCCGTCAGGTGTACTTCAATTAAGGTCTGATGGGATCGGCGGTCTTTCCAACCACATTGCGGCCATCAATGAAGATCTTTCCTTTCTTACCAATAGCCAACCTCATCTGCACAACCGACACCTTCTTGGGCCTACCGCCTTCCTTTTGCATGGCCCAGAAGGTACTGGAAAGACTCTTTTGCTCGAGAGACTCGCGGAGTGTCCCTGGACTGAAGTCTACAGGATCAATCCCGATACAAACCCCAAAGGTCAAGCCAAGGCCCTCTCTGATATTTTCCAAGACGCCCGTGAAAACCAGCCGAGCCTGATAATGATGGACAATTTGGATCGGCTTTTAGACAAGGCCGACTCGTTAGTAAACAGGCTTCGGATTGAGCTCGCTACTCTGGGAGGAAGCCAAGTCGTTGTCGCAGCAGCAGCGCGCAGCGTGTATGATGTCGATTCCAGCCTTCGAACAGCGACTGCTTTTCAGACCGAGCTTGAGTTGCTACCACCAAACGCAAAGCAGAGAGAAGACATTATACGCCAGATACTGGAGTCTGCTTGCAATGTCCCGCACGTTGACCTAAGTGCTCTTGCAGAACGGTCGCATGGCTTCGTAGGTCGCGATATTGCCAGTCTTTGCTACCTTGCTAGGAAGCACCATACGAGGCGGATAGACAAGCTATTGGATGGGAAAGACAAGGCCGAGCTTGGCAAGGTAGATGAAGAAACCGACTTTGTCGAGCAGAAGGATTTCGAGGCCGTGATAGAGCAAGTGCGCCCCACAGTTCTAAAGGATAGCATTCTCGAAGTGCCAAAAGTCAGGTGGACGGACATTGCTGGCCTGGATCATGTACGGGCCGTGCTAGAAGCCATTACCGTTCGTCCATTCAAGGTACGTGAGCATCAATTTCCACATGTTCGTGATGCACACAGATCCCTGCTCTGCCTCATAACTTGATTCGCATCCGAGTAACAAAAGGAGACTGATGACGCCCTTAGTACCCTGACCTCGACGTCAAATTCGGTGGGCCTCAGTCGCGCAAAGGCGTTCTCCTCTACGGCCCACCGGGATGCGCGAAGACCCTGATTGCACAGGCCGTCGCGACCGAAAGCAGGCAGAACTTCCTTGCCGTAAAGGGATCCGAACTCATCAAAATGTACGTGGGTGAGTCTGAACGAGCAATTCGGGATGTTTTCCGAAGAGCACGAGCAGCGAAGCCTTGCATCATCTTCTTTGACGAGATTGATTCCATCGGAAAGTCGCGTGAAAAGACGCAAGACAGTGGGTTGAACGTTGTAACGACATTACTCAACGAGATGGACGGTATTGAGGCGCTAAAGGACGTTTTCATCATCGGCGCAACCAATAGGCCCGATATTCTCGATTCAGCACTTATTCGGACGGGCCGTTTTGATGCGCACATCCACATTGGTCTCCCGACGGAAGAAGCACGGAAGCAAATCCTACAAATTCATACCAGATCGAGACCGCTCGCGGCAGACGTTGACTTGGATGTTGTTGCCAAACGAACAGAGGGCAGCAGTGGCGCAGATATTAGCGGCCTGTGTGCTGTCGCTGTTGAACTGGCAATTACCGACTACACGATGTGTCCAGACAGCGCACCTCAGGTTTATATGCGCCACTTTGAGCAGGCACTACACCAACACATTCCCCATACAATCGCAGCCGAAGCGGAGCGATATAGGAACTGGAGGCCTGGCAAGTCGTTGTCTGCGGATTAAAGTCGTGGTATAGAAACGGGGTTGTGAAGGTAGCAAGACTTCTTGCATAGAGGACGTCTTTGCATGTTGATGCATCTTGTCCAAGCAACATACGGTTTTCCGTGCGATCAGAAGGCCAGGCGCACAGAGGCATTAATTTGGCCTGGCGCATTACGACGTTGGGCAGTGGAACAGCGACGGGACGTGCATCTGCCTTCTGCCGCCGCACGACGCAGGGAATATGTGGGGATGGAGGAGGGAGCATGCTTCCATTCGACTTCGATACCGCTGTCATGATTCTGTTTGGCATACTTGATTCGGCCAGCCATCAAAATACCATGTTGCCTGAGACGCCAGCACTGGATGCCTGTTGCAATCATCCGTTGCGATTAGGCGTGGTACCCTGTCGTATGTCGTATGTAGAGTAAACAGCGAGACGTTGTGCAGGCAATTCCGAAACGTTGCGGCATTGCTGTGGGGCTTCATTTTGGACAGACGATGCTAGTATAGTTGGGGCCGCCACATTGTGCATCGACTATTTTCCATGGACGCGAACAAGCGCAGCGCAGTGCTCTGCTGTAGCGTCGTGCTGATTGCCCGTTGCGTACCACGATATCAGGGGCAAGCCGAGGGGAGCGTTCAGCTCGTCGTTTCCGTAAGCACCAACGCAATGTGCCGCCGCAACGGACCGATAATCTCAATCAGCCACTGTCGTGTTGCTTTGATGCCCTTGGCGGCGCATCACGAAATTGCTCCTCGGCAGAGCATCGTCGTGAAACCGGGCTCGTGCTCCTTACACACCGGTACCCGCCACGAGACAACCGCCTATTCCTGCCAGCACCATGGTTGTGATAAAACGCTTGTTAAGATAATTCCGCCGCCTGCCAGGGGGACCCGCTATAGCAAGCATGCCTGTGCAGCCAATCGCAGCAGACGCTCGCATGTTATGCTCACCACCCTGGTTCCACACCTGGTTCTCGACCTTGTGCAATTTCTTTCAGACGCGCCAAAGTGGGTGTAAATGATTGCCGCCGCTATGATGACGGTGTGCAAAGTGTGGAGGCGCCAGGTTCATCCGGTGGTCGTGTGGTGATGATACTGGCGCGCATCCCAACACCGACAAAACACCTCGATCCTTTGTTCTTTGAACCTCCAGCGACTGTGTCGATACCTGTTCCCTTTTTGGCTCTGTAGGGCCGTCCATTCCTTTTTCTCCCATTTTCAAGCCCATTGTGTTGTTCTCCTTCGTCGACCCCCAATTTACCATCTGATACCCTCTAACGGATTTTGAAACCCACCATGCCCGGGATGCTTACGAGATCCAAGTCTCTGCGGTTCCTAAGAAACAATCGCAGAGATGTCATTGATCAAGAGAAGGGAAACACAATGCCAGCTCTAAAAGCGTCTCAAACAGATCTTGACAAATACCATGCGTCTACGGCGAATTTGCAACTGGAGCGAAATCTCAAGGCCCCAGACGTGGTAATCAGACCGAGCACCTCAGGCGGGCCTGTAGAGCGCCCAGTGATGTCTCGCAGGGAGATCAGTCCTGCGCCATCGTTCCATTCGGAAGACCATGTCCACTCTTTCCAATCGCCTACATCGTCGACAACCGTACTCTATACCTCAGATGTCACAAAAGAGCAGGGGATCATTGGTATCGCTCTTGGATCGCCAACTCGTGCTTCGCACTGGACCCCACCCCCTCAAGCAGTAGACTCGAAGACGAATTCAGGAATCACAGCCCTCCCAGCAAACATGTTGACTCACCCCAACGCCTCATCGCCATCCCTGAGTGGTCCCCCGGGGCCGGCCAAACCCAAACTCAGTCGATGGAAATCGCTATTTCGCAAAGCAGCGCCGCCACCCATCACTCCGCAGGAGCAGGCCGCATTCTATCAGCTGTCGCAGTCGGTGGACAAATCAGCTCGTGCCGACAGCCACCACGATGAGGAAGTCAATGAATCAAAGACTTCACTCAAGGACGAAACAGGGAGGGACAAGCTGCGTAATGTGTCGCCACCTGCATACAAGCCCGACATTCGCGAATCGCGCAAATGGAGCCATGGAGAGTTTGTCGCACCCAAGTCACCTCCGCAAGCAACATCGACCAGAGGCCGCGCGGTGACACTTGGAAATCCTGCTTCAGACCTCCAGGAGAGGACCATCCAACGCTCAATCCCGGCAACACATTTCCCCCTACGAACCGAGACTGACGACACTGCTTCAACCATGGATGCTATATCGCCCAAAAATGTCGGTGCTTTTCCGGCTGTGGAGTCGAGCAGTTCAACACCGACGGAAGCTCCAATTCTCGACATCATACTCCCTGATATCACAATGGAGAGATATAGCATCATGTTCGGGAACCTTTTGCAGTCTGGACCGAGCCGTTCATCACTCTTGGAGCGACGACAAGGAAATACAGAAAAGGTCAAGCCGTTGAACGAGCTTTCTGTCAAGGTACGTTTGATAGAGTCTTGAGCTCTCTTTGTGTATACTAACAGCAGCATAGGACAATCCACCAGTCGAGAGCTTCCCTCTTCAGCGCAGAGTGACTTCGCCGGTTGTGGCGTCTTCACCACGGTTAACACTGTTCCCTCCCACGACCACATCTCGCGCACCTTCACCATTGGGTACACCCGTCATTAACCGCAGCAAGAGGGATATCAAACGTTCCAAGACGTTGCCCTCGAAGTCGCCTGTTCGAACCGAGTTTGTGGAGATTTCAGATCGCTCTGAAAAGAAGATCGATCCCGCAAAACTTGCACCAGCAGCATCTCCATACCTGAAGCCTGCCCTGACGCCAACCTCCATGTCCGGCTCCGAGTCTGAAGCCGAATCCGTTAGCGTTGTTGCCGCCCCGATCTTGCACGGCCACGGCCAACCCACGACGTTTCATCTCGACGACCGGGAACCCGACTGGGAACTTTGTGCGCCGCCACCTCGAGCGGCAAAACGCGAAGCTCTCGTCGTCCCGGATAAGCCTGTTTCAACACTTGTTCGTTCTCCCTCGCATAGGCAGCCAAAAGTCACCAAGATGAGCGCCCTCTGTTCACACCCGGCTTCTGCGCCTATCGACGTACCTTCGCCGCTGCAGCGACTACAGAGTCTCTCGACCCCACCGCATTCGGCTAGTCGGCTTGGGGAAAAACGTGCAGAGATTCAAGCACGCAGACGAGAAGCAAATGGCGACAATATAGTAACCGCAAAAGCTACAGTGGGACTCGCGAGAAGCGTTTCTCTCAGCAGAGCACACAGTCCCCGAACTGTGGTCCGTGTCTCAACCATACCGATTGAGGAGCGAGTCCTTGACAAACTAGCCCTTACACCCACCATGGTCGAAGTCAAGAACCGCAAGAGTCATAGAGTACAGCTCGAAGACGCTTAGACGATTTTCCTTTCTTTTTTTTTCTATCTTTATATCTTCCATCATTCAAACTCTTTCCACAATCTTTAGCTTCTGGCATCTTTTTCTTATGTCATTGGCATTTCAAGGCTGCGCTTCTAGCGATAGGGGTTTCTACAGGCTTTTTTTAACGGCGCCATGTCTTTTTCTACCTGGCGGGCACTCATCGTGCTTCGCTCATTCACATGGATAGTTTTTTTTCGCCCTTGTTGCTAGCGGGGGTCGTTTCGGTCGGAGTTATCAAAGGCCTATTTGGCCGTTGTTTGATTGCATCAATAGGGGGATTCTGGTGTCACACTGTGCAAGGCGTACTGCTGGACGGTGTGCAAGGGTGGTTGGGTTGGGTGGGTAAAGGGGGAATGGATGGACAAAGACATTACAAATAGGTCGGGCTCCTAGATCAGAAGCCCAGCAAGACTCAAATGCCAGTTATTACAAGGTCCAATTGTGCAGTCTAAGCGTAGGATTATGACGTGGATGTACGGTGCTTTTCAAGTGAGGCCCTGTAATACAGTAAGATGGGCTAGGATATGCTTCATTATTTTGTACAATGGCTTTGCAAGTCGAATTGTCAGGCCACTTTGATGTCGGCCCCATGCTCACAGGAGTTCCGGGTCAGTGTCGCACCGGTGAGATAGTGAAAAATGCTAGCGCAGGATTTTACTGTCAGTCTATTCCGTGACATCAGCATAAAGTATGGTAGGGGCGACGCTTGGGTGGAGGCGAGACTACTAGGGAGAGGCGGAAGGCTGTAGTAAACGGGACGGCCCCGCCCTTTTTCGCTGATTTCCTCACCCCTACGTCGTAGTACTACTACTACTACTACTACTTCTAGTTTTCGATACTATAACTCGTCCGCATTCATCAGACGTGTACTTGTATACAAGCTTCATTCTCGCCCGTCAAGCTCAGTTTTTACGCCACAGGGCCTTGCGAAAACATGACCCCTTGTGTGTTGGGGCATATATCGCCCCTTCGCCTCTGCGCGGTGCATGCAGCGCGCTGATAGTGGGCTTCACGCGTCGTAGTAGGCGCAGTAAAGAAAGTCCAACTGACGGGACAGCGACCCGTCAGCCAAGTGTGTCTTGCAGCCTCCGTACAGATATCGAGTCGCTTTTGGATCGGTGGCTTCACACAGCCCGCTTGCATCACAGCCATAAGCGTGTATCATTGGAGACTGCGCCATCAAGTGCTGCACCTGGGTTAAGCAACACTGTCGCCTATCGTTAGCTCAGTAGAAGCTTAGCCAAACACACACATTGCTCGCATGTCCACCGGCTGGATCTGAGTGAGGCTGAGTGTCTTTTTCTTCTTCTTGTTGTACTGGCTGCCTCGATGCAATCTGCACCAATCTTTCATTCTCCCCCCGCTCCTGTCCGCCGTCTCTTGACATAGTCTTATTACTCGCGTCTTTGTGCTTGCCTGGTTTCCAACTCGATTCTTCTCTCATGCGGCAGCCTGATACGTGACGTATCCTCGGCTTTTCCCCGCATCAACCCAGCCGGCGGATAACAGCCCTCACCACGCAAGTCGAACGACTTGCTAGGAATATTCGGCCCTTGACCACACACAACCTAGTCCAGCCATCAGCGAGCTTGTAATCCCTCCACTCAGACTCTTCTTCCTGGCGAATGCGCCAAGCTTAGTACAAAGCTGCTATCAATGCCCCTCGTACGGACAGGGACCACGACCTAGACAGTGGGGGTGTCGAGTGCAAACTCGCCGAGCAACCAGCAACCATTTCGAAAATGTCTGGTCTTGAGGTGAGACATTTTTTTTGCCACTTGATATGGCCTTTCCCTCCGTGCTCTCGTATATCTTGTCCATGATGAGATATCGAATTGTAACTCAGCAGTCACTTACCGGGCCCTAGGTTGTTGCTGCTGTGGCTGCTGTCGTCTCCGCTTTCCATGCCGGATCAGAACTGCTGAAACATGTGCGGAAGAAACGCAGTGCTCGCAAAGCCCGAAACTCGGCGCAACAAGAATGGGAAGAAGAACGACTACAAGCTTCTCTTGTGGCGGGCGAACAACAGATTGGCCTACACTACGATCAGGACCAAAGAGAGTTGGGCGATCTAGTACGCATTGGTGATGGTAAAACATACCCCATCTGGTATGACGCATGTTTACGCTGCTTATCAATACACATAGATATCGCCCGAGAGCGTCTATACCACGTAACATTGATGCTACAGGCTGAGATAATCAACAGTCTCAAACAAGCAGCTACAAGGTATGTCTTCGAGAAACATCAACATGACAACTGTGTGAACTAAACATGTTCCTTCAGTGAGGTTTGTGTACTCGATTTGCGGGTTCTGCACCAGGCCTCACTCACGAATCGCAAAGAGACACTCGTGACTCTCGAAGAACTCAAGCAAAGGATATATCTGAGAAGACCCATGGCACGGCAACCCCAAGATTTCGGCGACAAGTCCAGACTATGGCAGTCGCGCTTCTTACCGCCAACCACGCAGTCGAGCCACGAGCCGACCCATGCACTACACGATGCTTACGCTGACTATCCCCGGCATGCTGAATATCGAACGACAAGACACGGCTCAACTGAAAACTATCACCCGCTTGGCATCAAAGACATGTCCACTCCGACTCTTCCGGCCTATGTTCCTGCACATGCTTTTGGTGAGGATTTAAGCAATGCGCTAGAACGTATACATCCCGATCATCGCGCAACTGTAATGAGAGACATCCGACAGATGATCAACTCGTATCAAAGCCTTAGTTTCAGTAGCGGGCATGATCAACAACAAATACACGGATACAGCGGAAGCTACACTGGACTACAAGAACCCCTCGGTACGCCGAGCCCCCAAGATGTATCTGAAACAACAATGACGGAGTCTGAACAAGACCCTCACCATAAACTTCACCAGGTGCCACGAGTAACGACTGATCAAAATGGAACGCATTCTACCAGGACTCCGACATCCAACAAAGACATGTTTGCCTTGGAAAGTGAGCAATTTGACTATCGTCGACCCTTTATCGCTCTGAATAAACACTCCCATGCACAAGCCAGAGCATCAAGACAGCCACGATGGTCCGAGTCTTCGGGCGCCAGTTCTGATCCGTCATATCTTGCATCACTTAATCGGAACAGTTCCAATTCTTCACAAGGGTCATCTAATCAAACACCTGAGCAATCCCAGCAATCCCAGCCTTTTAATCATGGCCGCATTCCCTCAGTGCCAACGACACTGGACGGGTGCTATCAGCTGAATGACAAGGACTACCAAAGTTTGCCCAGCCCATGTTCTCCACATGAAGATTCAGAAGAAAGATATGACCTTCCACACATAGCACCATTGGCGCCCTCACGCAACCAGCCCAAGACTTTACAGAATGGCGTGTACAGGAAAGCTCCAACCCACAAGGCAGTCCCTGTAACCACTGCGGGTACAAATCCACCAATTCATGTCCCATGGCCAGGAATTCAGCAACATAGAGAAATATCATCAGCCACGCACCACGGTTCACGACAACGATATCGAGACTCATTTGACGAAAAGGAAGCCTTTGATACCAGCGATATGCGCCTACCGAAGTACACGGTAGAAATCACAGCCAACAATGCACCAGCCAACACATCAGGACATCATCGAAGCGTATCAGGGCTCTCAGCTATTACAGCCGCAGCTGCTGTCTTGAACCCCAAGAACCTGACCCGGAAAGCCAGCATAAACCAGTCTCTGCGCTCTCACCGGTCCACTTCAAGCAGCAGCAGCACCTCGATGCCTATTGGCGTCCTCCCAGGCCACCGCATGCACAGCATCCGCCACGACACGATCCATAGCGGGCCCGTCGGCAGCGACACAATGATGAACGGGCGCCCCGACAAAGGCAACAACTACTGGGGCTTCTGCAAAGGCGCCTGGGCCGTCCGCGAAGACCTCACAAAGGGCCTTGCCGTACGCGCTCAACCTGCAGGCCTCTACGCAACAAAGTCCCTCTGGGCCTGCAAATCCTGCACTTTCACTGGCGACGTATTCAAAGCCCCGCACCCCACGAAGAAAAACAAGACGCTCGACGTCGTAGATCCCCGTATCAAAGTCTCAAACTCCGGGATCCGATACCGTTGGATTTTCCTGGCAAAATCTCATGTCAAGAAGAAGGCTGGGGCCGCTTCCGCGGAGGCGAATAGTGGTTCTACATCTGCTGCGTCGAATGATGATAACTATGGGTGTATTTTTTGCTGTCTCCAGGATAAAATCACGGGTGTATATGGTGGCGTTGAAACACTGATGAATCATATTGCGCAGGTGCATGTGGCGGATATGAGCGAGGTGGTGCGGAGGAAGGCGCATTGTGTTTTGGGGAGAGTGGCGGGCACTAATGAGGAGTTTGATATTAATATCCCGATTTTTGGGTAGCTTTTTTTGGGATAGGGGGGCCTCAGGCTGGTTAAGACGCCTTCTCATTTGTTATCATTTGGATCTTCTTGAGGGTCGGGAATTTTTGCAACTTGTTTAGGATACCCATTCTACCCGTTATTTCCTTCTAATTTGGCTTTGCAAGTGCTCTGGTTATGTTCACAGAGTACTTGATACGCCCCCCCCTTTTTTTTTACAGTTCCCTTGGAAAATGGGCGACGATCTTCTTATCATGTGTTTAAGTTGGCTGGGCTTGAGCAGTTATGTTTTAAAACCAAGGTTGCTGGAATTGTTCACATCAGTTTCGCGTCTAGTTTGTCAGGTTACTATTTCTCAGATAAGAATAGAAGACCGCATGCCAACCTGCCAGTGTCAATTATCGAAAGAAAAAGTACATAAGAAGATGACTATGTTTTTTCTTATCTTCTCCGCTATGTTGTCAAAGTATAGATTCGCTGGACCAATTCTTGATGTCGCAGGTTTAGCCAAAGTGTGTAATATCGAGATTTGTGTAGTTTCCTATTAAATTGAAAAATGCGAACCTCAAACATCAAGACGTCATGGGCTTTCTGTTTTCCATACAACAGTCAAGGTCCTTTTCTCCCACTTCATCTCAGGAAGAAGCTCTTCTTCGCATGGTAGCCAGAACTCCCCATAGCTTTCCTTTTTCAATTCCTCTAGCATGCTAGTAAACATATCGTATGCTGTTCTGCAAGCATTAGATTCAGGTCCCAACCTAGGTCTCCACAAGCCAACACGACGGAAGACGCTGGGTCTTAATTCCTCCACAATCAAAGCAGTCATGTTATCTTGAGCACCCCATTCCTTACAGGCCCCCAGATAGGCTAGGTGAAGTGTATGGCAGTTTTCGCTGGGCTTGCAGTCGAAATAGATACCATCTTCAAACAATCCATAGAGGTGTTCAAAAGTCTATTCGAATGGATATTGGTGGACCCAGGTCGTTATCTCCATGGATGGGAGAAACAACTCGTGACTATCCGCATTCTCGAAGAATGCACGCGGATTCACTTTTCCGCCTCCCTTGCTTGTCAGGAAAATTTCGATATCGTCGTGATGTACTAGTCTCTCCAGCGGATTGGGGTGAAATAGCAGCCCTTGTAAATGGCTTGCTTTGGCTAAAGCCCAGCTCCAGGAAGGAAACATGTTCGTTTCTCGTTGTTTAGTTATACGAGATAACGTAACATCTGCCCTCTATATATGTAACTACCAACAAAGGCTCGATATGAACGACTTTCGAGCCAGGTCTTGATCGTCATCGCAGTATAGCGCTAACACGCCATAAAATTGCTTCACTCTGAAAAGGAAGTACTCTAACTCATCAAATTCATTGACAACGCCATCAAATGCAAGTATAGAGTCCATACCGAATGATAGATCTCTCCGGTAATATTCTCTCAATCGACAGTATAGATCGAAAATAGATTGACCAATACCTTGAAGTGGGAAACATGCAAGTTCCTCGCCCCGCCCCCAATCTGAAGCCATGAAACCCGGACTGAAACTCTCCATGCAATATACCTTCCTGCACTGGAAATACATCTGGTTTTTGGTGAAGACCAGCCGCCGACGAGATAGGAGCATTTCTTGGTATGTCCATCCGCTCCTCGACTACTTTGTTACTTCTGTTTCGTATTGAATATCCTCAACCAAAACGAAGGTTACTCCTCCTATTTCAATTGTGAGTGGCTTTTCTCTCAATGTGCCTCAAACTCCTGCAAGGCCATGATGGGGGTCGTCTCCGATGGCAGCTATGATTGTAACCTCTGCTTGTTCATAAATTCTGTTCATGTTTTTGACGAGACGGTGCTTCTCTTGGGGATTTCCTTGATCGATGCAGTACCGATCTACCCATAGATATGGTATGCCCAGGTTAATCGCTATAGCCATGGCGTCTTCTACTGCTTTGGGGACACCCGCTGGCAGTTCGTTCCCAAGTTCCCTCACATCCTGCGTAGTGCCGCTACCCCACATGTAGCTCAAGCATATGTATGGTTCGCCAGGCTTTACTGTCGTAAGCTGGCGGGACTTGCAGTCAATGACCCTTAGAGTATGCTTGCCAGTCATTGATTGTTTACATTCCTGAACATGAATCTCCTCCCAGATGTCCAATTGTGTTTGAATGAATTGATAATCTGGGTGAATAGAGCAAAATTCTCGGCGATAGGGTGACGGGCCTCTATATTTGACATTTCGCACAGGGAAGAAAGGACGAAAACCTCCTATACCGATGGGAAAACACATTTCTATATGTTCTGGCAACCCAATATCTGAGGTCCAGTACACTTCGAATTGCTCCATCGACTTCCATCCAGGCATTTTCCTGTCCATATATTTGAAAATACAGTTGAATTGATGAAGGAGAGAACAGCCGGCGCAGATAGATTGTCTTGTGATGGTAGCGAAGATTTCACGAGCAGGAGATCCCTAGGAACTCTTTATAGACTTAGGTATGCGCGTCGGCAAAGTTTCGCATCGTTCACAAAGCGTATTTGTCGTCAAAGAACTCGTGGTGGAGGTTGCGGTGGCATTTCCCAACTCCGTCTTGCGCGGCTCGTCGGTCAAGAGTATCCCTTAGTCGTCTGGATTAGAGTGCGGCGTAAGGTTTTGCATTGCTTCGTTCCCGATTTCACAAAGTTTGCAGCTTGTGTCGGTGTCTGTTGTGGGAAGCAGAGTCTGATCCGAGGGGGGTTTGGCAAGTCTCATCTTTACACGTAGTGCTAGGTACGTAATGGGGTGGGTGTAGAGTTTGTTTCTCGCAAATTTACATAAGAGTGATACATCAATATCTGCATTGGAGTTTTAGGGTCTTAAGCTCTCCCCTCAGGCTGAGATTGTAGAGAAGGCGCAGCATTGATTGGCGAAGTGGCTGAGTTTCATTAGGCAGACAGCTCGTGTAACAGCCACCGCCACCAGCGATTTTATCTGCAGAAACATCTAGAATCAGGAAAGCGAGATTGTAGGGATAAATTTCGCCGTGTGCGTACGTTAGGGGGAAACTGGGCCAGTATTCGACTGATGATCTGGTGTTGTTCAAAACTCAATTGTTCAGAAGGAGCAACGAATAACTACATGATCTCGAAAACATAGTTTTCTCAGAAAACGAATAAAATACATGAATCTCATTGAAGAACAAACAGCCACCATAACTGTCTCAAAAACGCCTAGTCACATGATACTCGCGCAGCTGAGAAGAAAACAGAGACCGAAAAACATGAAACCCGAACTACCATGAATCAAATAATGTGGAGAAGATCAAGAGCCTTATACATGCTGCTGGGCCTGCTGCCTCATTCTACCCGCATTCACGCTGGTATGATACTTATGCAACGACATACTGTCGAATGAATGTGATGGGGTCTCTTCAACTTCCTCTTCCATTTCGAACATACGCCGGAGTTCTTGACAAGCAATCGAGTACTGCTGCTTTGCGCTAGCACTTTCTTTGAGAGGATTTGGTGCCTTGTCCCAGGCATGCGGCACTCCCGGTACACAGTGGTAGTGGACGCGCTTGCCGAGATCCTTTTGAAGACGGTCGCGGAACCGTTCGCCTTCGGCTTGAAGCATATCCCATTCACAACAGAAGAGTACAATGTCATCGGGCAAAGCTTCGAGCATGTGGGTTGGTGCTACACCGGGGCTCAACCACGGGTGCGAGAGGTCAAGGGAGGGCGGTTGGAGGTATGAGTCGTCGAAGAGGTCAGTGAAGACGGCAGGCAGGTTCTGGTCGACCCTCGAGCAGGTTTCCCTGCGCTGTGCACGCGTCTGTGTGTAGTCTGTTGGGGGATAGAAGGAGACTATTCCTCTAATCTTGAGAACAGCATTGGTTGCTTCTGTCATGACTGACACTCCAGACCTGTCTTTGTACGAGGTAACAAGAGATAACGACGAGGCGCCCGTCTGGCGGAGCATGGCAATTCGATCGAGGCGTGATTGCTGGCGGATGAGGTTGATGCGCGAGCCATGTGGCGTGAGGGTCTGGGAAGATGCTTGGGGTGCGGGGACGACGCCGTTGGGTACATTGCCCGCTCGCTGGTCGATAATCTTTGCGCCCCACGGGGTTCGATCGAAGAGTTCGCCTTGTAGACACAGAGGGACTGTGAAGCTCATGTTGCCGCCGGATGAGAAGCCAGAGATTGCGAAGCGATCCGAGTCGAGCATCAGCTCACCTGCGTGGTGGGCCAACCAAAGCAACGCATCAGCACCATCCTCTACAGCAGTAGGGAATGGGTTTTCGGGTGCAAGACGATAGTCGACGCTGACCACAACGGCTCCCACTTGGTCAACAACGGCGCCACACCAGCGTGCATCATCATGGGCCGTGCCGAGAACAAAGCCACCACCATGGAAATTGATAACGACGGGGTATTTCTTGGCACTCTTGAGTTTTTTCTGCATTTTATAGTCCTTGGGTGTGTAGAAATTGAGGCGGAACTTGCCCTTGATTGGCGACACGGTGGCATCTATGTCCCTATGGAAGGCGGGTTTAGGGGGCCATGGGCGGGCAAGACGATGGAGCACCATACCGATGCCCATCAACACGCGCCAGAACTGGGCTTGAATATGGAGGATCCATCGTGGCCGGCTGGCCTTGTGTTGTGGTGGTGCGGCATCAACAGACACTGTCATTTTGGGTGATTGGAGTTAGTTGTACGTGGAGCCAGTCTAAGTCGGGCGCGCCATTTATCAGGCTGCGGAGGGTGAAGGAAATAGACTGAAGTTACCAGGTAAGAAAAGATTCTGGAAATGTCAGAATGGAATGATTTCATTGGGTGATGACGTAGGGGTGCTGGTTTCAAGGGGCCCGTTCGTCAGTGGGCCGTGACGCTGTCCGGATGCCGCCGTCGCACTATGGTCCGCTTTAGGCAAGAAAGGGCTGTGCAGCGCACACGATAAGATACGGCTGACGACACAACCTCGAGGCCGCGACGCGCAACACGCCATGCCTCAAGCTCCTTATTCGTCGCTACAAAGCCAGCTCGGTCGGAACGGCATGAATTCATACCGCTCACTAATGATGTGATTGTGGACTAAGTGTGCTACATACAGAATCAATCCCCCCATACATACATACTCTGCAAAACCACAGACGGGAAAGCTGTCAGCCGCAACACGATGCCGATAGCCAAAGTCACAAACACCCCAAAAAAAGCAAGCCGGGATGGGTATAGGGCTGCTCAAGTCCTCAGAGAAGCGCCAGACGCTCGCCTATTGATGCTGCCATAAATTAAAAAGCCATACCAAAAGTCGACAATCAAGTCAAGACCACGTGTCAGGAAACGCCGATAAAGTCATATGTAAGAAGTGAGAAGGAAGGAGAGCAGACGAGGAAGACTGGAGAGTCACGAGACTTGGCCCAGACAGTTAGGCGTCAACGAACTCGTACTCCTCATCCTCGGGAGCTACGCGTCGCTTGGTTCGTGGCGTGTCGTCATCAATGTCCAGAACCTCGTACTCGTTCTTGACCAGCTTCTCCGTCTCCTTTGTCTCGAAGCGCTCGACAGCCTTGTCGAGAGCATAGTTGAGGATCTGGCTGCCGTGGCTGGGACCGCGGGCGGCATCGTATGAGTATGCAATGTCAGCATCTGGGGCTGGGGCAACCGACGGGTGGTCAACGTCTTCGTCGGCCGACGACTCGTCACTGGCCGATGCCATGTCCTTGTGGAAGGTAGAGCGGGCCTTCATAGGGCTAAAAGAGGAGGACCTGCGCAGATTAGTACTCTGATGGCCTCGCAAGCACGGTAGTAGCAGAGGAGACTTACTTGACATGAGGGAAGGGCTTCGCAGGGCGAGGCTTGCCGTCTTCCTCGCGCCGTCCAGGGCCAAACGACTGGCCATGCGCCCACTTGGCCCTGCTGTTCTTGTCGCGGTTGAACTCCCTGGCGCTGCTGCGAAGGTCGCTGGTGAAGGTCTGCGAGGCCGACATGGTGAAGGTCTGCGAGGCCGACATGGTGAGGGTGCGAGTGGTCGCGGTGATGGTTGGAAGGGCCGAGGGTAGTATTGGAGGGAGTGTGGTAGGTATAATGGTATGACGGTATGGAGGACAAGTAGGGTGTGTCGGTAGGCTGCAAGGGGGACTAGGTGTGTACACTAGTAGTATGGATGTATGCGTATGTGGCTGGGTGGTCAAGGAGTAGGTTAGGAGTGACGGAGCTAGAGGGATGATGTGCAAAGATCAGGTATGTAAGTAGTATGAATGGAATAAGTAGTATAAAGGCGCACGGGTAGGAAGGCGTGATTGATGACTGGCGGCTGTCTTGTGAATGACTCTGAGAAGTGACTCAGGATGACGGACGTCTATTGGGAGCAAAGACGGGGTGGCTATGCAGGCAGCTGTGAGGGATTATGGCTCATGTAGCGTAAGTGTGTAGTGTATAGCAGGAATGGGCGTAGGTAGGATCTATCTACTGAGCCCGTACGCAGATAGGCATGTCCTGCACCTAAATAGTCGGGCGGACGGAGCCGCCCTTTGAGATGAGGTCAAAGGCGTCAGCGCTGTCCCCGCTCTTTTGTCCTGGCTCTTGATAAGGACTGTGTGAGGGAGTGGGAGCTCATGACCATGGCCCCCGATGCACCCATCCGACTCGCCGAGGCATTTCCCGCGTTAACCCGACGCGGCTCCGGTTTGACGCTGGTGGCCGTGGTGTCATCATCGGAGTTTCATGAGCCTCTTGGTGGCCAACGTGGGCGGGTTGCAGGCTTGCCGTGTTCCTGGATGGCAACACGACGACGACGGACATGGGTCAGGGGGGAGGCGAGGCGAGGCGAGGCAAGCTGGAGCTGAAGCTCAGGGCTCCAGTCCAGTCCAGTCCAGCTTCCCATGGTCCCGATTGCCGACCCCACATGGCCGCCCTCCCCCGACTATCTTACTGTGTAGTGCAGTGTCTTGTAGTGTACTATCTATCGACTCATCACACACCAACAGTCACGGCATCTCGCAGGTACAGGCGTCCCAACAATCGCAGCCAGCTTACATATTAAGTCCATGGCGCCCCTTTGCACCCACCCACCCAACCAACCAACCAACCCCGATAGCTGTCCGCATTCGGCCTCCGTATCTGCGCCCTTTCTCCCACTAGCTCCGTCCAGTCATGTAATCTAGGGCCTTCGGGATCCGGCTCACGGCCATCTTCCCCATACTAAGCACCCACGACTCTGGGGTAGCCGCCGGCAATCAGCGAGCTGGGAACTCTAACGTGCCAGGCAATACACACTTTGTTCGCTCAACGGCAATGCACCGCTGTAACAAGACCCCTGGTTGCTGTAACTACACCATGTATCCAAGTCCCCCCCCCTAAAGCTTCTCAAGCATATACCTCAAGTATGGTACGCGGCCTCGTCCTCGTCCTCGTCCTCGTCCTTGTCTTCGTCCATGTCGCTGCCCTCTACCTGGTCTGCCTCGCTCGGGAGCATGTCCGGGAACCACCCGTACTCGTCCAGCTCCACTGTGTACTGCCCCATGCCATCCTGCCTAACCTCTACACCCTCTCTCCGCAGAGCATCTGCTTGGTGCGCCGCCGCACTTGGTCCTCTTTGTGCTTAGTTAGCAGGCAGATACAAAGAAAGGCAACCAGGCCTTGTCGCCATGACGAGGGCGCAGACCTCGGGCTGATGCCGCCTTTGGCGTTGATCACGCGCTGCCAAGGCACGTTGCCGCTATGAAACCTAGGCTTCGTCCTGCTGCTGTCGCCCGATGGCGATGGCGAAGGCAGGTTCTTGAGACACACGCCCACCTGTCTTTTGACGTCACCTGTTAGTCGCGGCAGTGACATGATGGTGATGAGTGCTGCTACCTTGGACATTCGGCTATGATCAAAAGAACAAGTCAGCCAGTCGTCGTCATCATCATCATCATCCTCCAGCACGACGCACGCTTTCCCACCAGCCGGGCAATGTGTCCGTAGCTGGTGACCTTGCCATACGGTATCTCTTGAATCGCCTCGTACACGGCCGTGTACCACAGCCACACCTCTTCAGAGCGTTCTCCAGGCGCCATAGTAGCAGTGTGTAATCCAAGATGAGGTGTATTGGGGCAGGTGAGATCGCCGGCCAGGGGCCCATCGCGACTGGTCACACGCCATGACGCGAGATCACGTGATTCTGCATGATGCACGTGCCAAGCCTGTGGACTTTGCCTGCCAAACTTCGCGACTTGTACGCATGCACAATGGGCAGCCAACCCCGCCATCCAATCAAGCATGTCTGGACTTGCCGACTACCTGGCCAAAAACTACCTTACGGCTGATTCGGAAAAGAAGTCCAAGAAGCGCAAAAGAAAGAACAAGGATGCTGGCCTCATCATCGAAGACGATGACAATCTGGGTTGGAAAGACAAGGCCGACGATGACGACGATGACGCGCCAATGATAGGTAAGGGTGCCCCCCAACTCGCGCAAGCTGCACATGTCTATGGCTAACACTGTGCTGATCAGTCGGCGGAGGCACGCTGAAGAAATCAAAGAAGAAATCAAAAGGCACCAGCGCAGCAACGTGGACAGCTGTCGGTGTCGCTGCGCCCTCACATGCCGCACAACTTGCTGCCGACGCTGCTGCCGCCGATGCCATCATTGCAGGCACTGCTGCCGATCGCGAAAAGGCTGCGGCAGCCGAGGACGAAGCCCCAGAGATGGTAGATCAGGATGGTATACTTCGAACAGCGTCAGGCACAAAGGCAGGCCTGCAAACGGCCGCCGAAGTCGAGGCTGCCATGAACAAGAAGCTAGACGAGGAGAAGCATCAGGCCGAGAAAATCGCAAAGGAAATGGGGGGTGCGGCACCGGAAACCATATATCGAGATGCCAGCGGTCGCATCATCAATGTCGCCATGAAGCGTGCCGAAGCACGCAAAAAGGCCGAGGAAGAAGAGCGGCAGAAGCGTGAAAAGGAACGCGCAGCACGCGGAGACGTTCAAAACGCAGAAGCCGAACGGCGCAAACAACAGCTACAAGACGCAAAGACAATGACGGTCGCCCGATACGCAGATGACGCCGAACTCAACGACGAGCTTAAGGAACGCGATCACTGGAACGACCCGGCCATGGGCTTCTTGCGCAAAAAGAAGGCTGGGCGCAGTATCACCGGAAAGCCACTGTACAAGGGGCCTTTCCAGCCAAACAGATATAACATTCGTCCTGGTCACCGGTGGGACGGCATTGACCGTAGTAATGGGTTCGAGAAGCAGTGGTTTGACTCGAGGAACCGCAAGGCGAATATCGAGAAACTCGAGTACCAGTGGCAAATGGATGAATAGTCATGGTTTATTGCTGTATTCGCAAAAGGTCACCTGCAAGGCACTTTCTTGTTACATTTTGCATAGCGCAGGCGTTTTGAGATGTTTACCGAAATTATTAGTTTCGGCCGGGTACAAAGCCGGTCCATATCCAGTCTCGTGTCCTCATGCATTCCTATAGTGTGAACAAAAGTACGGCGTAAAGACGTGACGGAGTGTCTTTCTTTCTGGCTCGTCGATAAGAATGATCTGAGACGCTTTGTAAATCAAGACAAAAGTGAAATTCATCATGACACATGGAAACAATCAGACTTTACAATTCGTACCACGTCTTGCTCGACAAGTACTCTATGGGCATCTGCAAGGCTGAGCTCAAGTCTATGGACTACTCTTGTACTCACGATGACCGCCCGATGTTGTATCCTGAACCCACCGCCTCGTACGTTACACTGAACAGATTCGTAGGCTTTGATTATTCTTCCAAACTGATAGAGGATGTATGTCATCATGACCTACTTGTACACGTATCTTAGCCATCTTCAAGTCTGTCCAAGTCTGACCATCCAAACATCATGTTACGGTACCTTTGGTCATGCGAATCCCTAAGATGCAGAAATCTTGAGCCCAAAGTGAAGACTATGACAAATGTAGCATTTCCAAGGATAGTAAAAAAAAATACCTCAATGACATGTTGATCATATTGTAGCTCAACATGCGGGATTAATGGTAGTCAGGTGGGCGATGTGTAGAGTCTTGGTACAAATCGCTTGTTTAGAACTACCTATGTGGGGTACGCGGGATGAACGATTTGCTTGAATATATCGCAATGAGTTGGGCGAGATATATAAAGGTAAATTATAACTAGTGTTCAGTAAGAGAGATAAGGGGAGAGAGTTTGAGGGCAGGGGTTACCTTGTATACACCAAAAAGATAGTTAACTGTAAAAGTTTACATGTTCAGCTAGCAAAAAAAAAATTGCTACCATGAATATCAAAACACACAAGACCTATTGTCAAGCGTATGCAGCTGCTACCCCAGTCGTCCAGACTACGAACCATATCCAATTCGATCAATTCTTCAGGTGCTAAATCAAACTCTCACATACATCACGAACAAACAACATAGTCTACGTTTCGAATTCTTATTGTTTGATTCAAAAGAGTGTCCATAATTCATAATGCTTCATGCAGGAGCTTCCCATCTCCACCCTTCCTACTAAATAAAAAAAGGTTCCTATGCCAACCCTCTCAAAGCCACAAAATAACAATCATCTTTGAAACAAAAGTCTTGTCCATCTCTCCAAATATCGCTCGATGGAACCCGTGGCGTTATTGTGCTTTTTCAAAGGTTGCAAAAATCGGGTGGTGTCATATTATTGACTTAGTGCTATGAGGATCATTGGTATTAGCAAACTTTGTTTGTTTGTTTTTTGTTTGTTTCTCGCACAGGCCTAGAGAGGAAGGAAGAGAGAAAACTTACGGAGCAAGAGCCACAGTTGCAGCTGGAGCAGTCGCCCTTGCAGGAGCAGGTGTTGCAGGTGCTGTTAAGACACAATGCAGTTAGCAAAAGGTTCAATCCTTGTCTCAAAGAAAGGGGGGTTCGACACGATCCAACAGGGTGCACCACTGCTAGTAGTACATGATGAGGTGGGAGAGCCATCACGGTGCTAACCGCTATCCCCCATCCAGCAGCGTGCCCAGCAGGCGGCGTGATGCATCGTGTAGGGAGGGAATATGGCTGAGCAGACATACCATGGAGCCATGGTGAAGTTGGTTGATTGGTTGGTTGGTTGGTTGGTTGGTTGAAAGTAGCTTAGTGTGTTGAGTTGGACAGATGAGCAAATGTTGGAGCGCGATGAGGCCATCAAGGTGCTGAGATGGGGGGTATTTATATAGACCTGCCGACTGTCTCGCCTTACTCTGGCTCATTCGTCTCCCTTCTCTACCCACGCTCGGCCAGCTGCTCGTTTGAGTGGACATGGAGGCGCTTGGGTCATGCGCGACTTGTGCGGCCGACCGCCCCCCATGATGGTGGGGTGTCTTGTCCCAACGAGTGACATATCGAAGACACTAGATTTGACCCCTCCTTTTCAGTAACGACCAAGACCGGCACCATGCGCGCCATGTTCATCACCCTTTACCCATACAGACGACACTGTGACGCTGGATCGGGAGGCTTGGTTAGTTGGCATCATACATTGGCCGTCGGACAAGACTTGATTGGATAGCTACAGGCAGGCTGGAGTTGGTCGGTTAAGGCTTGGAAGACTCGGTGGGATAACCGCTTGAGGCGATGGGCCACTCGCACAAGTCGCGCAGTCACCCGGTATACTCCGTAAGGCGCGTATGGTGGGCTCCACTGCGCCCTGCTTTCACTTCTCAGTTGTTGCCTCACCACTTGATCGTCCCGAGAGCCCGGACATGGCTCTCGCCTAGGTATCGTTTTCTAGGGTCTCAAACTTGATGCCACGAGCACACGGAAGACGGTGTGGAGAACAAGGTCCAGAGGGCCGCTTCTCTTACGCAGGGCCATGGAACAGCACAACCACCAGCGTGGGAACAAGCCTGGCCGCATTTATCTGATATCGAATGTTTACGTATCCGTTGCTGACTGGCCATGGATGTGTCTGTTGTGCTTTGAAGGCTGGTGACACTGCACCTACAGGTGCGAAGCCCGCCCTTTCTTCACCGCATACAGTGCGTGTGTGACATGGCTGATAATGCAAGACATAGCTAGGTGCAGGTGTAGATGACGGCAAGCAACAGACGGCTCTACAATGCCATGGTACATAGTACTAGAATCGTGTGGTCGTCGTTCGCAGTAGAAGACTGGGCGCATACATGGATCGATTCGGTGACGTAGCGCCTCCAATGTAGATGCCCACACTAGCTTCCACGCTAGACCCCGCGTGACTCGATCATGCCTAGTCACATGCCGGCCAATCGTGACAGCCCTGCCGTGTAGCTACTAGTACGCAATCACGTGGGCTTGGGCTTGGGCTCTCGGGCTTCAAGCAACTAGTGAAAGTGACAAGGCATGAGATGAGCGTACCTAGTACCCAAGGACATCATGACATGTATCATCTCCATGGTATTTCACCGGCAACTGCTAGCTGCGTAGTAAACTCTTACGCAATACTCTTACAGCTGACTGCTTAGGCCTACAATGCTACATGTATGCAGGAGCATCTTGGCTGTGGACTTGTACACAGTGACATGTATCCCCCCACGCAACACTTACTAGTCTCCAACACTAGTACTCATAATTTGTGGCCATAGGTCCGGTAGGGTTGTGTTATCAATTCAGCCGAGTTACATTCATCTGCCTCGCCATGGAATCTCGGCATATGATTTCTATTATTAAGTGTCTGAGATCGATATCGCACTAGGTGAGAGGTACCGGCTTCGGGCTTCGCCGAAATAAGAAACACTAGTACTACAGAGCGTGGCTGATATGTTACCGTTTTCATGAGAAGCGGCTGTTGACGTGGCATAGCTGTCGAATGCAACCACGATGACATGACAGGGTCATGCGTGATATTGGCCGTCATGACTTTGATTCGTATTGATGTGTGATTGATAGTTAATACTAAGGGTGTTTCGACAGGACCTGACGAGATGTCATATTTTTCGCCCTGCATCACCATGCCAAGCAGTGACATCTGGCCCATGGTGCACTTGAGGAGACGGTGAAATATCCGCCATGATTTTCGCAGCATCCAGGACAAGCTCATCATCTCCGTATTGACCAATCACCTGCAAGCCCACAGTGTTGAAGTTTGAATCACTTCCTCCTAGTACCCCAACATCTTCTTTCTCTAAGTTTACACCTACGGGGATACTAATGGCTGGTAGTCCGGCCAAACTGGCAGGAACAGTGAATACATCGTTCATGTAGGATTGAATAGAATCCTGGGCTTCCACTTCTGATAGCGATGGAGCCATGGATGGTACCGTGGGGCACACAATAACATCAACCCCCTCCTCTGGCTGTTTTGGGGCTGTCCCATCTTCAAAAAGAGGATTCGGTCTTGCAAACACTCTGTTGAAGTCTTGTTGCACTAGCCTGCGGACCTTTTGTGCCTGAATAAAGTAGTTGTCAATAGCTTCGGCGCTAAGCGAGAAGGCTCCAAGCAAGATCCTGCGTTGAACTTCGGCTCCAAAGCCCTGGCCACGAGTTTTGGCGAATAACACGCTATCAGGCGTTCCATCAACACCCCCTTCTCTACTGCCAAAGCGTACTCCGTCGTACTTTGCAAGATTACTGGATGCTTCGGCTGGTGCAAGTACGTAGTAAGCTGACAAAGCCTGTTGTGTCGTTGGTAGCCGAATAGGATGCAAACTGTGACCGTGGTCCCATAGGTTATTTAGTTGCCGAAGCCATGCCTTGCGAACAATGGGCTGTAGGGTGTCAATGTTGTAATCGAGGGGAATGCCAATCCTTAGAGGTGATGGTTGGTTCTCCTTTCGCTGTCCAAAACGTGCACGTGTTGAATGAGGAATGGAAGTTGGGTCTTGCTGATCATACACGTTGAGCTTGTCTTTATGAATCGTCAGTTGTGCTGCATACCCAGGTGGGAACTGCACTTACCAAAGATGGTCCTCACATCCTCAGTGCTTCGCCCAAATATACCAACAGTGTCTAGAGAGTTGGCATAGGCGATCACGCCCCACCTTGAAAGCAGACCGTAGCTCGGTTTGAATCCGACAACGCCTGTATACGAAGCAGGAAGTCTAACAGAGCCTCCAGTATCGGTCCCTAACGCTCTGCTTGTCTTAGCATATATAGCCTGGTCTCGGCAACACCTAGGGACTTACGCCCAGCACTGAGAACTGGCGACTGCAAGCGCACTTCCGCCTGAGCTTCCTCCTGCACTCAATTCCTCGCCCTCATATCTCTGCATCCTTACTGGGCCGAAATGCGAATGTGTCGAATGCGAGCCCATGCCAAACTCATCCATGTTGGTTTTGCCAACAATGACAGCACCTTCATCTTGGAGGAGCTTGACTACCGTCGCATCGTACGGGCTGATGAAGTCCTTCAATATATTGGAGGATGCTGTCGTCTTCAAGCTTTTTGTGCAAATGTTATCTTTTATTGCGATTGGCTTGTCCTTGATGCTGCGAGAAGCAGGACTCGATTCGGCGGCATTGTCGCGCGCGGCAAGGACTGACGGAGCAACTAGTGAGTTGAAAACATTGAGATATTTGTACTTGGATTGGTTCAATAGGTATGTCTTGGCATACTTGGAGAGTGACATGGAGGGTGAGTCGCATCACTGTCGCGGTCTGGAAGTCTGAAGTTCGTGAGCGGGACGAAAAACTGCCGCGACGTCATGCACGGCTCCGTCAGCACGCAGACTGACTCGAGGGCGCTCAACCCATACACAGTACACCTCAGCTATCCATGCACTGCGCATAACCGTGGAATGTCACAGACTTTGACCTAATTTTGCCAAAAGAAAGCCCTCACCAAGCCGAATATGTATTTCCAACAAATCCAGGTTCCTATGGGTCCTCACAGCGGCATACATGTCTATATAGCTAGGCTGTGCCACGGCAAGAGGTCACCACCTATTATGCATTGCAGGAGAACAAGGGTATATGAAAAGAAAACATCAAAGCTCAACTCAGATATCAAGGTGTTGCCTGATATCGTCACCGAGTCTCCACTCTTCATCCCTAACTATACGGTCAAGCGGACTCTGCACATCGTCCTCGTCGCTTCTTCTCGTTCCACTAGTGCCCGCATCACTAACTGCAGTAGCACCGCTCACACTACCGCAGTTGCTCTTGCTCCGCTTCCTCTTGAACCAGCTTCTCTTGCTCTTGGTGCTTGCAGCATCGGTATCTGAAATGACCGATGCAGCGTACTCTCGTCCATCGCCCTCGACGAGTGTCGGGTCGGTGCTTGATGTCACGCTGAGATTTGACGAAAGTTTCCGGAGATGGTTGGCGTTGGAATTGCCAGAGCTGTCGACTGGAGCAGGCCTAGGTGTTGGGATGGGCGTAGTCTCTGTCGAAGGAGTTGATTCGACAAGCTCGGCATCACGGTACCATTTCCGACGGCGCGTATAGCGACCCCAACCATCTTGACCTCTTCGACCATCTCTCCACTATTACAAGTCAGTGTCTTCATGTCGTACCCATAATCTGCTTGACTGTACCTTATTGTCATAGTAAATCCAGCCTAGCTCCTCCTTTGAGATACCCTTCTCGGCCTTGCCATCTTTGGCAGCGCCATCAATCTTCCACTCACTACCCTGGACCCACCGCCATCTCGCGCCACCACCTTCAACTTCAGGCAGCTCAAACTGTTCCTTGGGTGGCACAGGATTGAGATGCTCATCTGTCCATGATGCCCGCTCATAAGCAAGCATCGACGAGGTCCAGCCAATGCCTAGCCACCTCCGCTGGTTCTCATAAATGGAAAAAGTAAAGCGTACTCCAGTTGACTCTGGTTGGCGCTTAGCGGCCAGCGAGGCAGCAACTTCCTGGGTGCTCTTTTTCCGCGGTGGGAGAGGAGGTGGCCCCTTCTGGTTTGCTGATGTTATCTCGCCAAAGTCCAGACCGGTGAGGAAGGCGCATGTTTTTCGGACCGTCTTTGATCTCCAAAGCAGTGTGCGCGTGACGCGCGCCGGCCGCGAATGCCAGCTGAGCATCACTGTGCCTATTGCCAGTACGGCTCTCTTTGTGGTAAGAATGTAGAAGGGTGGGAGCGTAAGGGCTATCCATAGCGGCAGTACGAAGAGAATGCGGATAAACAGCACAGTTAGTGCTGGTCGTGTTGTAGCCGATGTCGCCGTCCTCTGAGTAGAAAGGAAATCTGTCAGGCGCAAAAATGGATCCAACAGTATATTGCAGCGCGAAGTAAAGAGTTTCAGGCTATCGACAATCTCCTCCAGACTCTTGTGGTGCTTGATGCTGGTGTCCGACTCGACTCGTTTGTGTTCCGTCTGGCCCTTTTCGCCAGTCCAGCCCGTGGATGATAGGGGCGAATATCTGCGCGTGTACATGCCCAGTATCAGAACCGAGACTATGATGATGGGCCCGGTATATCTCGTGACTGCATCTCCATACATAACGACTGCCCAGAAGGCGGCTACGAGGAGAAAGCTCTCCCATGGATCGCCCGTCGTCCATGTCACCAAGCCGGCAAACTTGTTCAGCGGGAGTATAAACGGATGCGAATATGCGAGGACGCGGGTAATTTGAGGCGGCGTAGCGGCAAGCAATGGGGATTTCTGGTGGACAAGTATGGCGGAGCGGCGCTTGGTCTGGGGCGTTGTCTGGCCTAGATGGGCGGGCGAGAAGGAGGCATAGGTGGGCGGATTCGGATCACCGGTAGACGGCGGAGACGACGCATCGTTAGTGGACTTGTGAGGAGTGGACATGTGCTCTATCCAGGGTGTATCTAGTCGAGTATGAGCATGGTGGTTGTGCGACCACTTTTACACGCAATCTGGTTGCGAGTCTGGAGGCGACGGACCTAGTGCTGCCATGCATGGGGATGTGCGTCATCGCCTAGCTGCGCAGAGGAGGCTGAGGGCCGCGTTGATGTCAAGCCACGCCCGGCGTGTATATTTGTACAGAATGAAGCGAGTGCGCAAATACGGGCGAGGATAGCCTGAGAGTAAACAGAGGGTGTCATGCAACCAACTAGCACTTCCGGCGTTGCTGCACACGGTCATGTCTTCTGCGGGGGTCCCCGAGCATGTGAAGGTCTTAGTCCGAGGGCGACTTGTCGGAGCCTTGTGACAGCCCTCGGCGACGCGTTCCTTGTAGACAGCAAGCTGAGCATTCTTGTACGACATGTGCGTGCCAATCCGGAATCTGTTTGGCTGTTCCACTCGCATCTGCATGCGCCAGAGCACACAGGAACAGAGTCGTTGCGGACATGACGGTTTGCGATCGTGGCGTGATTGGCCAAGCTGCGATGGTCACGTGCGAGCCTCGGAAGCAGACCGAAACTACGGAAGGTGCCCCAGAAATTTTGGAGATGCCCTCATCGCCGTCCGCACCCGCCACCACGAAACAGAAGCCGAGCACCTGCGCCTCACGACCCTGAAAGAGAAGCAATTCTTGTTACTTCGTCGCCCCTGCTTTCATCATAACCATAATGGTGCGCTGCAACAATATCCTCTTCCCACACCAGGCTGAACTAACGCCTGCAGGCCCACCGCATAATAACACAAGTCGTCTTTTCTGGCGCCCGGATAATAGGTCGAGCCGTGTCCGAGTCGTACCGTCAAGCGGCTGCCTCGCAGAAATATGCAGCAGCCAATCAGGGTGGAAAAAGCGGAGGCGCCTTCTCATCCTCAAACATCACCATGGACGAGGCCTGCCAGATCCTGAACGTGGGGCCAGGAAAGATGGGAAACATTGAGCTGGAAGCAGTCACGGAGCGATTCAAGCGACTGTTTGACCTGAATGACCCAAAGAAGGGCGGCAGTTTCTATCTGCAGAGCAAGATCTTGAGAGCAAGAGAGAGGATCGAGAGGGAGGTACAAGGCCACCAACGGGTAGCGGAAAGAGAAAAGGAACTAAGAGAGGGTTTCAAGCCAAAATTCACAAAGGAAGACTAGGTCGGATTCAACGCAGACGAAGTGGCGAACACTTTGGTCATAGACGGCAGTGCAAACCACCCAAGTAGGGGAGGCAGGTTGTTGCAGAGATCAGGGCGTCCAAGTGTTGTAGATGGCGATGAAGGGTTTCTTGTTGCATTTGAGCGGCGTTTGGCATAGCGTTTGGACCTTCTCTGGGCACAGTTCAGCGAAGGCGCATTGTGGTTGAGGGTGCAGTTTGACTGGCACGGGTATGCTTTTACGTCTCCCCACTCCTGCACGTACATGTGCTATTTATTTTAATGTTCGAATACTGTACCATTATACGCTGTAACAAGGAAATCGACAGCTGAGCCATACTCAATGCATCCCAAGCCGAAGCTACCCACATGACTGTTTTGATCCCAATTGCAGCGATGGTTTGGCTTAGGAGCTAGTGAGGCCGTGTGTTGCTCGAGCATGCAGCTTGTGGATGTACTATGTACTATGTATGTATGTATGTACGTACAACATGCTGGCAATCGTAAACGACACAGACGTGGAGTCGACGAGGGGCTGGCAGTTCGCACCCCCACAACGCCAGAGGGTCGCGCTAGAGGCTTGGCTTACACCAGGCCCGTCTCGACACAAAACTTTCGCGCGCAACCACCGCCGCCCTTTTGCATCACACCACTGATCGCCAAACGCCATCTGTGCATACACACACACGAATATACACACAGCCGTATTCACTGGCCGCGCACGACACTGACTGTACCTGGAAACCACGACACGCCATGGCCGACTCATATCGCCCTGGGCGCGACCGCCCACCACCGCTCGCTGACCGCATGACGTTCACGGGTGGAGATGGCGATAGTTATCGACCCGGCGGCGAGCGCAACGGCAATCGCTCGCAATTCACCTTCGAGTCTGGCCACCCCGCGCCCCGCTTCCCACCCTCTGGCCCCGCCAACCCGCGAGGCCCTTCTGGTTCTGCGGCGTCGAGAAGACGCGGTCGTGGCGGGGCATCGCGAGGCCAGTCTCGTACCGACGGCAGGAACAATGCAAACGGCAATCGTAGAGGTGGCTTCAAGAAGGCTGCACCTCACGAGCGTGCTCTGCTTCAGCACCGCGAGAACGGCAGTCCTGAGCGTGCACTGGGCGTCGCAGCTGATTCCAACCGCTTTCAAAATCCCGACGACCTGTCAGATGATGATGAAGCCGACATGGAAGTAGAAAGCGACGATTCCTCCAATAGCCAGCAGGACGGCGACGCGTCACAGAGTAAGCCAAAGGCTGCTCGGACCCAGGTCAAGCGTGCTGATGGCAACTCTGTCCCTAAATGGTCTAACCCGGATCCCTATACCGCATTGCCACCACCGGATGAGACTACGGGGAAAAGGGTTGACTTTGTGAAGTTGATCCGGAAAGCAAAGAACCAAGAGGCGGAGAAAGCTGCAGGGCACAATTCTGTCGTTGCCAATGATGATTTCATTTCGTTTGCTGACGACGATGATGACGCTCAGAAACCCACACAAGGCTCATTGAACGAGTTTGCACACATTGACAGCATTGTCAGTAGACAAGAAGCAGCTGTAGCGGAACATCGGGCACCTCGTGGCCCCAGGGCCAACAACAAGCGTAAAGCCACGGTAGGCGGTGTAGTTAGTGAGTGGTTGCCCACTCGCAATCGCGATCCAACACCTTGGCTTCCTTCACCTGATGCTTATGCGCATCTTGCTCGCGAACCAGAGAAGTGGTAAGTTACCAATGTCCAAAGGATCAAGCGTCTGCGCGGAGCTTTGTATACCGTATGGTATCCATGAGTGTTCCACGCAACCTTGACGCCAAACTCCCACAACTACGTACTGATTTTCCACTAGGCTTCACAATGAAATACTGGACTTTTACGGTTTCGTTGCTCCCAAGCCATTCGAACACGAACAGCGCAACAGACTTGTCAACCGAGTCAACAATGCGCTGGGCCAACGCAGATTTCCTCAACAAAATGGCCGTGTGCTATGTTTCGGCTCTTTCCCTGCAGGTCTGTATTTACCTACAGCTGACATGGACCTGGTCTATGTTTCCGATCAGTACTACAACGGCGGGCCTCCTGTTGTCGATATGTCTCAAAGAGGCGCCAACAAGAGCCTGCTTTACAAAGCATCCAACAGGCTCAAAAGCATGGGAATGGACGCGGATGGATGTCAAGTCATCCATGCCAAGGTTCCCATCATCAAGTTTCAAGATAGGCTTACCCAGCTTCAGGTTGATATTTCCTTTGAAAACTTGAGCGGGGTTCAAGCTCAAGCCACATTTGCGCAGTGGAAGCAGGAGTACCCTGACATGATATACATGGTAGCACTTTTGAAGCAATTCCTCGTGATGCATGGACTGAACGAAGTGCATACGGGCGGTATTGGAGGTTTTAGCATCATATGTCTGATTGTTAGCTACATTCAGCATTCTGACAAGCATGAAAACCTCGGCGAATGCTTCTTGGGGTTCCTCAGGTATTATGGCGATTTCGACTTGTCTAGGAAACGCATCCAGATGTATCCGCCAGCTATTATCGAAAAGGTGAGCAACAGTTGATACTGCGCTGCTGGCAGATATTCAAAACCTCTCCCATCTCTTCCACGAGGCTAACATGTTCTAGACGGCCCATGGAATCGATGGTCGCCCGGAAAGGTACGACGGTCTTTCTATCCAAGATCCGAATCGTCCAGAAAACAACATTTCTGGTGGATCTCACAGGGTTCAGGATGCCTTTGATGCCTTCAAAGAAGCCTACCACACACTTGAGGACCGAATGAAAGCTGCTCGCGCAGGCCAAGATATCGGGCCTAGTATCCTCGAGTGTGTCCTGGGCGGCAATTATGAGACTTACATCAAGCAGAGAACGCATTTGAAGACATTGAAGTGAGCTCTTACATACCGGATTTGAAACAAAACGCCATTGGCGTTATCCTTCCTTGCTTCTTCTATACTTTGCGGCCGCTTGAACGTCCTCAGGACTAAGTTGACTTTGCGTTTCGAGCAAGGAGCTGGGCACCATACATTGTTCTTTGCCTTGCCTACCTGCCCCATCCCAGGATAGGACGACCACTGGAGAAGAGCCATGATAGAGGCCATCCAAGTGCACTCAAACGATATAATGCTATTATATATGAGACGGGAAGCATATGTATTGTTTGGGCGGACGAGCACCCCTGTTCCTTAAAGAATTGGGGTAATTCGGGCGTAAGGTATTACTGTGGGCTGGGCAGGCGAGTACAAAATGCTTCGGCACACTCTGCTCATCTGCTCATCCAGACAGGCTAGGGACGGCATATTATATTTCAAAAATACTTGTTGCAACAAGAGATACCCCCAGAGTGGCGCTCTCCCATGGGCAGCTACTCTAGGCGTTTGGCGAATTATAGACGGACAATACTTCCGCAACGGACGGACAGACGGACAGATGCAACCCTCTATCGATGCGCAGATGACAAGCCTAGCGAACCAAACCCATGTTGATCGTCTCCACGAAGTTCCGCCTGGTTTCGTTGCAAAAGCCGTCTTTTGTTTTCGTCTCGGATAAGGTGTCCTGTGTCCGGACCGGAACCCGCACAGGCGATGAGAAGAAGAAAAGAATCATATCGAACAAAATAAGGACCAGACATAAACGATGAGTACGACTCTGTATGATCTGTTGTCTGACTCTACTTGTTGGCCTTTTTTTTGTCTGTCATTTTGTTTGTTTGTTTGAACGTTTAATTCTCTGTACTGCTAAAGGCGTGGCTCATGACAACCTAGTTTTCCAATCCCCTCTCTTCTCCTCTCCCTCTCCCCTGTTCTGCTTCATCTCTTTGGTTCTTCTAGATGGATACTGATATACTAATGACACCAACTTCTTTCTACAGCAGAAATGTCACCAGCAATGGGACGTCTTTTCTCATTGGGTTTGCAGGCCTTTAACGCATGCACCTGAGGACGAAAGACGGACTATTTGCGTTTGGCTGCAATGTGGATAGGTTTTTGTTTTCCATACAAATTAGTCTGGTTACTATTACTAGGTAAGGATACTTTTCATCCACTCTTTACAACTTTCCCCCAAGATCAAAAGAATCAACCAGGTCTGGCAAATCTCGAGGTTTAAGAATAATTAACTCATTGCCACGTCGGAAGGCGATTAACATACTCAACTACCACTTCCGCCATCTACAACTCCTTCTTGTTCTCGACGACAGTCTCGTTCTTGGCCTGCTCGATCAGGTTCTTGGCCACAGCCGCACTCTCCCTCCAACTCCTCTGACGTTGCCAAAACCTAATCTCAGCCGTAGTCTCGCTCAGACTGCTTCGTCGCGCATCTTCCTCGAGACTCTGCCTAGTGATCTCGCCACCCTTTTCACTCAACGTAGGAATGTTTTGAAGCTGACTAAGGTTCTCTTCGAAATACTGCTTGCGGACAAGGTAGCGCTCGCGGCGTTCCTTTTGCAGCCCCGGAGTATCGAGCTTTGATAGAATAATGCGAACGCCCCAGCGGAAGAGAATGAAGAGATGCTCGGCGAAGAAGACGGTAAGGAGGAGAGCCCAAAGTTGAATATTGCTGGGGCTACCGCTGGGACCAGTGTTGTCATTCCAAAACATGTAGACGAGAGCCGACGTGGTAATGCTGCCGAGCCAAGTGAGGAAGGAAAGGGAGTCAAGCCAGGGACCGATGGTATCAGCACGCCATGGCGTAGGTCGGCGCATCTCAACACAAATCTTCATGGCGTCGGCACGGAGCTCGACCCAGTTGTTGATGAGAAAGGAGACGGCAGTCAGTGGCCATACGACCGAGAAGAGAGACAGGTAGCCGAATTGAACAACCATCTCGCGAAGATCGGCCGTGACATCGTATACTTCGAGCTCCGCCTCTTTACGAACACGCTCAAGGAAAGCGGCGTCTTCAGGTGGGTCGTTGGCAACAGCAGGCGGTGCGGATCCACCGTTCTTGGCAGCTCGGTCGGACTGCATCTCCTTGTACTTGTCAAGTCCACGACGCTTGAGGTATGGAACGATAAGTTCCATGCCCAGATTGACCACCTGGGCAGTGACGGTAAAGTAGATGACCTGCTTGCGGAGGCGATCGGGGTTGATGCTCCAGCTAGCGCTCTTTGTTTCGAGATGAAGCTGCTTCTCGTCCTGGGCAAAAGGTCGAACAGCGACATGGAAAACATCAAGGTAGGGCACAATGACTTTGCCAAAAGGCACATAGACGAATGCAGTCAAAAAGATACCGAGGTAAGACATGATGAAGTTCATAACAAAGATCTTCTGGGTCAAGGCTTTCTCGTACGCGGCATGTGTCTCGTAGTTCTCGAATTGAGTCAATCGTGTAGCCGCTTTAGTCAGAAGGGTGTTGAGGATAGGATTGACAGTGGTCAGGATACCAGTAGGAATGAAGACCTAGGAAGATTTAGTATGGTCAGAAGCGGCACTTCTGTTGTAGTACTTACCAGGACGCTCTTGAGCGGTCCGTCATAGACCTCGGAGATGAAGACCTCGATGCCGAAGCAGGTTGCAATGACGGCTCCGAGGGAGCAGGCTGCAATGATTGCAAAGGGAATTTGCAGCAACTGTCTCTGGAAGCGCTTGGATGCAGGAAAGAAACCAACTTGCTCGCCGGTGACGGGATCGGTAATGGTCTTCTCGGGCGTGAAGTCCTTCTGCTTGACCTCGATGTTGGAGACGCCCTTGACACCCCAGCGGACACTCAGGTCTTTCTCCTGGTGCTTCCAGTATTCGGTGAAGACGGTGCACCACAAGGCGCTGGCGAGAGCGTAAATTGGCGAGAAATAGCCGAGGAAGAGCCATGAGAAGAGGCCGAATGCCGCAGCTGGAATGAGAAAGGTAAAGTAGGATTGGGTGAAAGCAAAGTAAAAGGCGATCTGGCCGCGTTAGTACTAGACTGTCCCAAGCCGAGAGACAGCAGCTTACCTTTTCTCCCATGCGATTGCGGATGTCGTCCAAGTCTTCAGTGCTGAGGATGTACTGTGATGTCCATTTCTTGATCCAATCCTTGTTGTACGCATGGTCATGCAGGGCGAAGATGGACTCGACGTTCTTCCATTCGCCTTCCTTGGGTGTTATGCCCGCTCCGCCCTCTGATGTGGGGTTTGTAATGAGCTGGTATATGATGCGCAGCCGCTCGGCCTCGTACAATGGCTCTGCTTCGAGCGATTCGCGCGTAACATTCTCAGGGGCAGCAGACCGGACGCCGTGGATCCAGTCGCGGACTCTTAGTTACGGGTTAGCCATCCATCTACTGAGGTAACACAGGGGCTATGTGTACCTGGATCTGTATACTTCGCCAAACAGGTGCTCGTCAGAAGCAACCCTTACGAAGAGCAGAAGCGAGTACGAATCGCCGTTGCGGACTTCGGTCTGTAAGCCAACGTTTGCCAGCGCCTCGCACAGCTTCTCAAACTGCGCAGCCGCCTTGGCCTTTTCTGTGTGCCCGTCAGCCCAGTGCTTCGCTCACCCTGCCATGGGAGCAAGCATACCCGTGTCGGCAAAGCGGTAGGTAATGACATAATCGACGTCGAGATTGGTCTGGAGGGCGGTTGATTTGGCCATGTCCGACGTCGAGGCCGAGGCAAGCAGGGCGATTTTCAATTGATAGACGGACCAGGAGAGGGTGGTGAAATAAGGAATGGCACGAGCAGCAGCAGCAGTGCTTGTCCCCTCTTTCTGGCTCGACATGCCCAGTAATGTTGTAATCAAGGTTGCACGCCGGCCTACTGCCGACCACCAAACGTCATCGTCGCCTACATCCCTGCTCCGTGCTACCCCTGCAACCCCTGCACCTCACGACAACTACCTGACTATGGACATATGTACATACAGTACTAAGTAGACTAGACTTCAGCTTCTCGTATGTGCATATGTATACTGCAAAATACATCCGAGCAAGCCTCTATCGCCAGTGCAAACAAAAAACAGATTCGAGCAGGAAAAAGCAAATTGATCTTTCCCCCCCAAAAAGAACTGTAGATAATATATGTGCTTCTAAATTTGTGAGAGATGCTTGTTGAACCCTGTCATTACTACACGTAAGTATCCCGAAACCAAGTAGCTAGATACATTGACTTGGAATTATTGTTAGAATACATCAGGTCACAAGCATCGCACAGTAGAGCACCCGACTCGAGTCGGAGGACCATGACATTCGACGCGTGCCAATCCATCGGGCAATACACACTACGTACGCCCATATGGAACATTACCCTAATGATTTTATTCATCTCCACACGACTTCATGCAACCACGTCCCCACCAAATCCAATCGGCCTTCGGACCGGACCCTGCTTCTTATACGGCACAATGGCCATGGCCTTGTACGTTTTACCCATACCATTCGGGCCTCTGTCCACAAGTCGTTTCCACCCCATCTCTAACCGTTTCTTCGTTTCCTCATCCTTCGCTGCCTTGAACAAGCGATCAGCTCGCTCTTTGATCCCCATGGTTGACAGGAAGAAAGATTGCTCAACAGGGCCATGGACCTCCACGCCAGGAGAGGCATCCAAAGCAGAGTCTGCTAGACCAATAAAGTCTACATCCGCCGAAAGATCCACAAGACCTGGTGCTGCAAAAGGTGAGACGGTCGTGTGTGATCGTATGCCGCGAAGTGTGTTTGCAGGAATCGTATTCAGTGGGCCGTAGTCAAGAATGAGAGCGGCTCCGGAAGGCTGCGATTTTGTAAATGTTTCCTCGTCTTTGGGCAGTACTTCAGAATCTCTGGTAGGCGCTGAAGAATTGCCGGCCTTGGAATTACTACCGCCTATTCTCACAGCAAAGTCGGAGATGTATGCAAGCGATTCCGGTGATATCTCAATGACTGCACCTGGAGTTTCTTCCAGCTTCTTGTAACGATTGGACAGCTTAGGCAAGTACAGTGAATGTGGTGTTGGCGTTTTTGATACAGTTAGCTCAAAATCAAGCTTTTCTGCATCTTTCTTCGATGTTGGAGAGCCTGGTTTGTTCGTTTCTGTGTAAGGAGAGGTCGGCGATACAACAAGCTCATGCCAATTATTCTTGGGGGCTGTCACGCCGTGCTTTGGTTTTATGGGGCCGGTTGGTGTCATGATCGTTGACGAAGCCGGTATAGAAGACTGTGTTACATTTTGAAAAATATGTATAGGGAGTGCATCAAAGAACTCATGGGCAAGTATGAAAGGGGTCGCTGTGACCTCTATGTCGTTTGTCAGCAATGTATCAAAAACTGGACAAAGCCCAGCCGGAACCTACCCTTGGGCACAAGTCGGATATCCTCACACCACTCAATCCTGCAGCCCGGAATGTACTTGCAAGTTGCAGTCAGGCCAATCTCGCTCTTTGCCAGATCCTGAGTCTCAGAAAGCAATTTTGCCTGTTGTTTCTGCAGATAGGGCGACGCTTCGATGAGATAGATGACTTCAATGCTCTTCATGAACGCTTTGAAGCTCGAAATAGTCTAAGAAAATTTCAGCCTTGATCCTTTCATTTCTCTTATCGGTATTTTACCATACCCTGAGAACATCATCCATCAACGTTCCTCGTCCAGGGCCAACTTCCATAATTTGGACCTTGTCCTTCCTACCCTGTGCCAGCCATTCGGCATATATCCATATACCAATTAACTCGCCAAATGTTTGACTGATTTCGGGTGAGGTTACAAAGTCGCCCTTGGTTCCAAATTGATCCTGCCCGCTCGTCGTCTGTCTTGTGTAGTAGCCGCCTTCGGGATGCGTAAGGCATTGACGCATATATGCCGCTACGGAAATTGGTCCAGTCGTCTGGGTTTAATGTCAGACCCTTTGTTCCTGGTAGACAAATTGAATTCTTACGGTAATGGCTTCAGCCAGCGTCTTTGCAAGAGGCGTCGACCATTGCCGTTCCGAACTTGCAGCAGCCGAAGTCGACGACCACCGGGAAGCGCATTTTGTTACATGACATCCAATTGGCCGAGATGCTGAGAGGCGCGTATGCGCTGCCATTCGCAGTAAACTTAGGGATTGGATCCTCATGTTGGCATGCTCATCGCAACTACATAACGTCTGCGCGTTCGGAATGACAAAAGTTCAGATCGGAACGCCGGGGTGAACGAAGCTATGACCATCATCCTAAGCCTCCGCCTCTTGCTGTCTGCAACGCTCCAATCCGGACATCAGTCATATTTTGATATATATCAAAGTTGACTTGGTATGCAATTCGCGTCATAAGTCTCTGAGGATAAAGCCTAAACGTGGGAAAGAGAAGGAACAATGGCCTCCCGCTGGGCAAACGACGAAGTAGACAAGGCCGAAGAGCTGCGTCGAAAGAAAGAAAAGGAAGAGAAGAAGCGCCTAAAATTACAGAAACAACAACAAGAAGCTGAGGCGGCAGCGCGTGTGGCGCAAGAAGCAGCAGATTCGCGCCCGGCGAAGCGTAGAAGACTGTCAACAGGCGATGATGATGAACAAGTGCCCAAAGAAAACAAGACTCAAGAAGAGCGAACACTACTGCGCTTCGAGGGCGGAGGCTGGACCTCATGCCGACACACATCCAACTTTGAGACTCTGAACCAAATTGAAGAAGGCTCCTATGGCTGGGTATCACGAGCGCGTGACATAGGCTCCAACACCGTCGTGGCTTTGAAGAAAGTGAAGATGGACTACAACCAAGACGGGTTCCCCATTACAGCATTACGCGAAATCTCGATTCTCCAACGCTGTCGGCACAACAACATTGTCAATCTTCACGAGGTACTCTCAGGCGACGATCCCCAGGAATGCGTCTTGGTCATGGAGTTCCTCGAACACGACCTCAAGACGCTGCAGGAAGACATGAGCGAGCCGTTCATGGCATCCGAAGTCAAGACGCTGTTGCGTCAACTGGTATCCGGAGTCGGTTATCTACACGAAAACTTCATCATGCACCGGGATCTCAAGACATCAAACATTCTACTCAACAACAGAGGACAGCTCAAAGTTGCAGACTTTGGCATGGCGCGGTATATCCCGCCTTCCAACGCGCCTCTCACACAACTCGTGGTCACGCTCTGGTACCGCGCGCCCGAACTGCTTCTTGGCACTCGGGACTACGGGACCGAAGTCGACATGTGGAGCATTGGCTGTATATTCGGGGAGCTGTTGGCCAAAGAGCCCTTGCTGCAAGGCAAGAACGAAGTCGACGAGCTCTCGCTCATCTTCTCGCTATGCGGATTACCCTCTGAAAAGACGTGGCCGCAATTCTACCGGTTGCCCAATGCAAAGAGCCTCAAGATGCCCCGAGACCACCGCAATGCACCTGGCTTTAATCGTGCAAAGTTTCCCTTCCTCACGGCCTCGGGCGTTGATCTGCTTTCTTCGTTGCTCACGCTCAACCCGGAATACAGGCCAACGGCGAAAGAGGTCCTGGCCCACCCGTATTTCAAGGAGCAGCCAAAGCCCAAGCCCACAGAGATGTTTCCCACGTTTCCCAGTAAGGCCGGGCAGGAGAGAAGGCGAAAGAAGAGCCCGAATGCGCCCAAGAGGGGTGAGGCGCCGGGCATGCAGGGTAGTCTGGATTTTAGTAGCATTTTCAGGGCGAGGGAAGACGAAGAAAAAGGGGCTGGGTTTCAACTGAAGATGACTTGATTACTCGGCAGTATTGATGTATAACTTGATAGATGGTTGCTTCATGGCCGCAGCGAAGTCACTAATCTATCCATGTACCTGCCGATCGAAGAAGGCCTGGTTGGCAGTACGCTCTAAATGCTGCCCATGAGGGCTCCGTCCATGTAAACTGTAACTTCTCTCAATACATTAAAGCCCAGGAAATAGCGCAATCATCGGCGGTCTCTGCTCCGACTGCGGTCGCTGCCGTAGGAGCTGTAACTAGGGCTTCTCCGTCCTCTGGCTCCGCCAGTGCCGCCGCTAGGGCCACCTCTTCGTGGCGGGCTATCCCTCCTGCCGTAGGCTCGGTTTGGAGGAGTTCTCGATGGAGACCGGCTGTAAGAAGAGCGTGAGATGCTCCTCCGTGGCGAGCGGCTTCGGGACCGTGTATACGATCGTGGACGTCCTCCCCATTCTCCTCTTCCCCCTCTTCCCCCTCGGCCACCTCTCCCCCGTCCCCACTGTCCACGATCAGGTGACATACGGCGCTGTGGAGAGCGGTAGCGTGGAGGGCCATCCATAGGCGGTGGTCTGTATGCTCCGGGTGGACCTCCTCCTCGCGGTCCCCGTCCACCGCGTCCATATCCGCTGTCGAAGTCGTCTTGGAATCTGTCGCCTGGCGGTGCGCCTCTCCGGGCTGGGGGAGGGGTTTGAGAAAAGCGACGTCGAGGGAGCACGATAGAGACTTGGATTCTGGAACCGTCCAACTGTGCGTCATGCATCTTTGCGATTGCACGCTCGGCTTCGTCGATCTCCTCGTAGAGTACGTATGCGATGCCGCGATTAATGTTGACTGCTTGGCCATGAGTAAACTGACTGCGAAAGTGCGAGATGGGGCATACAAGTGGGATTCATGGGCATCCTGACATCTTTGATGACGCCATACTTTCCAAATATCTCACGTATGTGGTCCTCTTTGACGTTTCTGGTCAAGGCTTCTACCACAATCTGTCAGACTATTAGTGGCCGGGGTGATGAACTGGGAAGGCTAGCCCGAAGCAAGTGTGTGTCCTTGGTATCAAGCCGTCTGATGTGCTCACCTTTGCACTCCGGGGTGCTGGCGACGCATCCCTGGGGGTAGGGCTGTGAGTATAGCTCCTCCCTCTTGAGCGCGATCTGCTGTTTGGTGTGTAGCTGCGTCGGCCATTGCGCCGGGGAGACAGCGATCTGGGCGAGCGGGATCGGGTACGCGACCGAGAACGTGTGGGAGAACGTGGGGACACTGAGCGCCGTGGCGAGCCCGAGCGTGGTGAAGTAGAGCGGCTCGGTGATCGTGTTTGCGACCTGTCGCGAGATGGGCTGCGCGTGCGCGATGGCGATGGTGAGTGTGCTGGAGACGGAGAAGGAGACGGCATGATATGGTTTTTCTAGGCAGTAGGGTCGCAAGAGATGTGCGTACGGTGATGTGCAAGCTCACATGCGTTTAGACATTGAGATGGTAAGATTCCATCGGATATCTGTTCACGCGTAATCTTGTGGCAGTGAGCTCTGAGCTGCGGACTGGGGCTTGGCACGGGCACGTGACTGGCGCGAGACACGGACAAACGACCAGGGTAACAGGCGCACGTCATAATGGTGCGAGGCCATGCAGGCAGAAGCAGAAGCAGAGGCAGAGGCAAAGGCAAAGGCAGAGGCTGAAAGGAGAGGCCAGGCCAGAACTCAACAGGACCACGTCAAATGCATTGCTGCTGCTGCTGCAACAACAACAACAACAACGCCATCATCACCAACAGTAGCCGCTCTTGTCTGCTGCTCAGCATTGCGTGGCACCCAGTGGACCAATGTCGAGTGTTGAGTGCCGAGTCATACAAAGCAATTGTGCTTCATCTGTGCAAGCAACTCGCCCAAACACGGAATTATTCTTCTGCTGGCCGGCGCCTAGAGCCACCGTTTAGTGATATGCAATGCATGGGTCCGCTTGTCTGATGCCAGCATTTCGACCCGCTGTTTTGCTTTTGACCCCAGAGAGACCAAGTGAACAGACACTAGGCGGGTATCGCGGTGGACTTTTGTTGTCGCTGCTGGTGTGTTGGGCCCAGAGCAGCGTCGGTGGCTGTCGACTTGACAAGCGGCCGGCTGCACGATGGCGCAAGAACAAGGACAAGACGAAGAGGATATCAAGACAAGGCGGCCCGGTATTGTGTGAGAGAGAGAGAGTTGTGGGTCTCGATAGGAAGAGGTGATTCCGATTGCATTGCGTCGGTTGCCTCTCGCGCTCGTCCCATTGACGCAGACAGGCAGAGAGAGGGCGGGGTCGAAACAGCCCCACTATCAAACCGCGACTTAGCCCAACAACGCAGCATCAAACCTTCTCACCGCATCTGCCCTCTCGTCCCGCTTAGTCAAAAGTACCTGCATCGACCGTGTGCTCTGCCTCGTCTTCTGTCAATCTTCTCATCACTCTAGCTCCCGCAGCACGCACAATACCCCTCACCTAACATGTCCTGGCAAGGTGAGCAACCATATTGCCCCCTCCCCTCCTTGTTCACGGCAAAGACTGACCCAAGCCAGCATACGTTGACACCAGGTGCGTCTCACCTCGACCTTCCTCACCCTGCACGTCTAACCACCTTCTCCAGCCTCGTCGGCACTGGCAACATCGACAAGGCCCTCATCTGCGATGTCGAAGGCGCAACCAACTGGGCCGCCTCCCCAGACTTCACGGTACGTCGTCCGCTGGCCTGCGCGGGGCATAGCTACTGGACCTGCAATAAGACATGAAATGGCAGTGCCGTTACGTGGTCCATCACAATGCACTCGCATGCTGACAGGGTATAGCTTTCTGATGAGGAAAGGGCAGCCATTGCCAAATCCTTCAATGACAAGTCGGACCCCAAGAAGGTCATCTCAGAGGGTATCAAGGTCAACGGCGTCAAGTACATGACCATCGAGGCAAGCGACGATGCACTCAAGGCAAAGAAGGTACCCTCCCCACCTCTGCCGCCCACGCCCACGCCCACCACGTACTGACTGTGTCACTAGGGCAAAGAGGGCGTTGTCGCCTTCAAGACTGGCCAGGCCGTCATCATCGCTCACCACCCCGAATCTATCCAGACTACCAACGCTTTCTCCTCCGTCGCCGAGCTTGGAGACTACCTGAAGAAGCACGGAATGTAGAGTGTCTCTGCTCCGGGACTGTTTGTATGTTAGAGATATTTGCATAGCCCCCACTCGACATGTGGCGGACAAGATGGTAGGGAGGAATGGTGAAGGATATAGATATGAATCATGACGCACCACATAGCGACAGAAGAGATTTCTCTTCAATGCAATGACATGCCTTTAAACTAAGCGCTTTGCTAAATCACACGACATTCAGCTACTACTCGCCCCACGGAGCCCAGTTCTGCCGAACTAGGCCCTACCCAGCTCAACGTCAATTCTGCCCCCTACGCGATTTTTATCGTAAATTAGCTGCGTAAATAAGTAAAATATTATATATTTATTATAACTACTAGATAGAAGGCATCTCCTAGTATGTAGAACGCGTTACTAATGCCTATTAACTTAACGTGCGAGATCAGTAAGCTGGAAAGATCAGTAAGCTGAACGCCCCACCCAACTTGACACGACGCTCTACACAACCACCACAATGCCGCGACAATAACGTTCTATACAGACTGCTCGTAAAGGTAGAATAAGTCTTACTATAGCATCTTATTATAATAATTTAAAGTAGTCTATTTACGCTCTTGCAAAGGCGTATAATATGCTAAAGTTAACACTATATACGCGCCTCTACGGTATCCAGCTACGATTAGAGACAGTCTCTATTAACCGTAAGCTATTACCTATTAAAGAGCAGTCTCTTATATAGTAGATTCTAGACCTTAACTAACGCGGTTTTCCGCCCTATATTATTAACGTATAACGAATAGTAGACGCTCTACTTACTACGCGCGGCTAAGATTTACCTCTATAGCCTATTAGTAAGAAGTAGGTATTACGCTTTATCTAAGGCTAGCTAAAGCTTTAGATGAAGTAGACTAAAAGATTTTATAGTTAGCGCGCCTTCTATAAGAATCTAGTCGTAATCGTAGCTTAGTTTAAGCAAGTAGAGAAGACGCGCTAAATATGTAGCGTTCTAGACTAAGATATCTATAACTTTAATAAGACTAGATTTATAATAGGCGTTACTAGCACATTTAAGATAGTTATAAGCTCTAATAGAGTTAGCTAAATAGTTATTATATAGCTAAGTAATTACTAGTAGGTAATAGTAATTAAGTACGTTAACGCGTTTAGCTAGTATCTACTACTATTTATAATTCTATCTAGTAAGGTTTACTAGAGTAGCTAGTATAATAGACTTCTACTAGACTAGGTTATTAGCGTCTTAGATAATAGCTAGATAACTAATTAGCTTAGAGTAGAGTAGGTAAAGTACTTTAACTAGTATATAGTAACTTTTATAGCTAGAGTCTATTAGCTTCTTATTCTAGATAGCTATAGTAGCTATACTACGCCAGAGTTCGACTAGTACTACGCTAAGAATAAGATTATTACTCTCTATATACTACCTTATACGTCGTATCTTCTCTAGCCGCTTAATATAAGCTACTTCTCGCCGCTTAAGTGGGCGTACGGACGTAAGATTAAGAAGCTTATCTACTAAGGCGTCTACTATATTAATAAGATAGACTTTCTTATAGTCTATTAATAGATCTAGTTAATAGTATTTACGTAGTAGAATATCTAGATAGGCTTTTAAGTAATAGGCCTTATCTCTCCTTATCTAGATTACGTTCTATTATTGCTAATAATTATCTATATACTATCTCTACTATCTCTACTATAGATAATAACGCTATAACGTAGCTAGAAATACTATATATAGTAGCGCAGCTATAGTAGTAGGTAAAGCTTCTTTAAGACTAGCTCCGTTAGGAATTATAAAGCCTAATAAGCTAGCTTCTCCGCTAAGTTATTAAAGGCTATTAGATTATAATATAATTAGTAATAATACTTACTAAGGAGAATAAGAAGCTACGTACGACTAACTAGCGCTAATAACGAAGGTAAGACTAGCAGCGTTAATATATCGCTTTTAGTAGAGTACTTTAGGTCTAATAGGCTTAGTAGATTATTATAGAGATAGAAATAGTAGTTATAGAAGTGTTAGATAAGTAATAGTATTTAAGTGTAATTAAGTAACTAAGTTCTGTAATCTGGGCCGATTAGAGCTGAGTACTAAAGCCTACCTCTAGGTAAGGCTAATACTTAGCCGCCTACCTAATATAAAAAATAATAGCGATAGCGCTTATAAGGCGGCGCGCCTTCGCGCCGCTAGAGGGCAGATAGAGAAATTAATATTATTAATTTCTTTTATTAATTATTACAGCTTTTTATTACAGTGATATAAATTAATCCTTAATTAAAAACCTCTTATAGTCTGATAATTAAGAGTCTTACTGCCTCTACTAATCTATAACTATCTTAACTAATTAATTAATTCGTAATAATAGCTACTTAACTTAATTAGTAGACTATAGTAGTAATACTACGCGATAAATACGACTACCGCGTATAGTATAACTAGCTTTAAGCGCGTTATGTCTTTTATAATATATAGGAGTAGGTTAATCTAAGTATAGTAACGCCGCGTTAAGTAGAGCTAACTAAACTAGAAATGCTAGATTTCTCTATCTATGCACCGTCGGCCTAACTACCTATAGAAGATATTCTAACGAGGCTGTCTAATCTAGCGACAGCAGGACTTTAAGTAAATGAGAACGATCTTAAGTTCTATAAGCTTTAAATAGATAGATATAAAGTAGCCTACGCTAGATATAAAGCTAAGGAAGTAAATATTTAGTATATTATAGCCTTTATCTAATCTATAGTTATAGCCTATCTATAGTAAAGCTACTATTAACTAGACTAGTTAGTCCGCGACTAGATTATAAACCTTCGTGCTTTGATAGGTATAACTAATAAAGCAGAATAAGAGTAAGCGTAATAGTAATATTATAACGCTCTTAAACTACTACGATTAGTAAATAGGTAGGATATCTAGCTAGCTAAGTATAATTAAGCTGTAACTAAGGCAGAAACACTTAACGTACCTAATACTACTTAGTTTAGATTAGTAGCTATAGACTTTATATTAGCAGTAAATAAAGTAGCCCTAATATAGGCAGTAACCTTCTAGTTAAATAAAATTAATTAATCTAAGATAACTAGGCAGACTATAATAAGACGGTTCTAAGAGTATATAATACTAAATTACCTAATTACGCAAAATAGAAGCTAAAAGGTAGCCTTTATAGTAGATAATCTATCTATATTTCTTACTGCGAACAGTAACGCTGACTAGCGCGTAGATAGGGACGCTTACTATATAGAAATAGGAAACTCTTATAGTAAAAAATAGGTTAGACTCTAATATTAATATATAGCTAGTAAGAAGAGCGATTATAATCGCTAGGCTCTAGGCTCTCTATACTCTCTAAGAGAAAGGGGTAAAAGCGTAATCGCGTACGCCCGCGGTAAAACTATAAAAGTAGACGCTGCTTCTAGTAAAAGCCCAAACGCGTACGCTAGAGGCTCTAAATATCTAGTATATAATATAGGGTATACTCTCTAGAACTACTTCTATATATATAATAAGAAAGCTTTAGAGTAGTAGGAACTAAACCTAAAAAGAGCTTAGATTGTAGAACTTAGACAAGAATATAATACTAAATTCTAGAGCCTATTAAGAGCCTAAATCTAGCTAAGAACTCTTACTCTAAGACCTAAGTAATTATAAACCTCTATACTAAACTTAACTAATAACTAACTATATAGACGATAGATATTAATAATTAATACTACGTTCTCTGCGATATCCGTATTAGATTACTATAAATACCTATTAAGAAACTTCTTTATTTTTAACTTAGAATCGACGTATTATATTACGAATAACTGTATTTAAGTCTATAGCTATCGTCTACTAATTTAAGAAGACTATATATAGATAGGTAATAGCTAGATATAGATTAGAGAATATAAGGTAATTATTCTCTAGCTAAAGTATAACTAGATAGTAGTAAAACTCGTACTCTATAATATAGTAATCTGCTTAGATATTCTCTATAATATTATCTCTTTTAGAGTACTAAGAAAGTAAGAAATCTAGTAGAATATTTAATTAGACTCTATAGTAATTAAGCAATTAGATAGATTAACTATCTATAAGCTAGCAGAGCTATATAGGTAATAGATGCTAGAGTACTAGCTAGCTAGATTAGTAGATAGAGTAGCTCTACACGCGCATACTTATACGTCCTAAACGCGTTAGCGACCTTAATAGGCGCCTGCTCTTCTCTAGTATAAAAGACTAGAATACCTAGAGCTAGTAGCGATTAAGTACTTAGTCTAGTAAGCTAAGGGGGTGTAAGTTAAAAGAGTAATAATAGTACAGTATAACGCGTATAGGAGAACAAAAATCTAATAATAGATTAGTCGCGCTCCTAGAATCTATAACTAAAAACTTACTAAGAGACTAATAATTAATTTCTATATATAACGGTTCGAGTACACACTAAACTAACATCCGAAAGGGATCCAAACATGGGCACGCACTAGCCGAGGGCAGATCTGCTAATATAAAACCCCACCTTCTCCATACCGTAGCTCAATAGATTTTTGATATCCTTTCGTACAAGGCCTATAGGTGTCTATTCGAATCAAGGCTCATTTAATGTCCCACGCACTCCCATATGCCTCTGAGTGACGCTACTGCCAATACTAATCCGAGTAGTCTTGCCTGCGCCGTTACATTATATCAAAAATCTCACCACCGCCGGTGACGGCATTCAAACAATATCGCAGCTGTCTGTTCAGACTACATCCAAAACCAAGTGTTTCCGGAGTTGATCCGGAACCTTACACCGTTACATCTAACATTCACATAGACAGGATCCCATTAATCTCCTGTCGACCGAAGCCTTTGGGTTTAGAATTTCTGTACTCACGCGAGTCGGATTAACTTCAGAAAAGCCGCGTAGAGTGCGCCAAGGTAGAGACACGGAGACTACCAAGAACCCATCAACCTAGGAATCAATCGCCATAGTTAACCGAATCACCACCGATTCTGCAGAACCGTCAAGAAGAACAACTCGCCAACAAACGCAGAAACCCCAACAGGAGAAGACAGCTGGCAAGCAGCCTACTATTGAGATAGAAGAAGAAGAAGAATCGGAAAAGGATCACACTAGTGCGCTACAGGCAGAAATCAATAGACTAACGCCCAAGTCGAACGATTAATGCGGGAAAATACCCTAAA